TTGGCAACCGTTCAGTGACCCTATCTACTACTAGTGCATTTATATCAAAGTTAACGTTACGATCTATCCGAGAATAAAATTTTAAATTTATATATCCCTGTGTCGCTTTACTAGTACCTCCGATGCCTTTAACTACAGGACATGAAAGTGACCTATTTATTACTAAGCCTAAGCGCTGACAACATTGTCGTGTTATAAAGCTATTTTGGGCTCCGCTGTCCAGCAGTGCACGGACGCTTTGTTTGTTTCCACGCGAATCCCTAACCAAAATACGCGCCGTACCCAGTAACACGGTTGAAGGAGGTTGTGCTCCCATATTTGCCAATGAGCACAGAGCGACATCACCAGGTCGACCGCTAGAATCGTTGACCTTAGTAGGGATGAATTCCTTATTCGCCTTACTTGACGCCGCTATGTTGCTATTTTCAAAATGTAATAGCGTGTGATGTTTCCTGGCGCACTTGCTACATACGGAACTCTAATTGCATTTTGCAACTAAATGCTTATCGCTTAAGCAGTTCAAACATAGGTTGTTTGTTTTTACTAACTTATAACGTTCGCTTGGTGAATATTTACGAAAAGTCGCACAGTTATATAAATTACCGTGTTTATCTTTACATACTATACAAGTATGCTGGAGTGATGTCGGCGTAGCGGTTACGTAAGTTAACGACCCTGCTATTTTAGATGGTTGAGTCTGTCTACGGTCGACGCACCTTTTAATCTCCTGTTTAACGTTCGGTGAGCGCTGCATCACCTTTATTTGATCTCGCACGAACGATGCTAATGAATGAAAGGAAGGCATCTCCGAGCTACGATGCTCCATTTCAAACGCACGCACGGTGTCGGAGTCTAATTTCTTTAATGCTATATGGAGAAACACCACGTCCATGAGGTCATTAAACTTCAAATTCTTAAGTGCAGCCACCGATGCCACAAATTTATCGAGAAACTGCTCTAAGCCGTTGATGTTCGCGGATGATATAGGTTTAAGATCGAATATCTGGTTCAAATATTCGGAAGCTAACATTCTCCTATCTTCATATTTAGTTTTAAGCGTTTCAAATATTAATAAGTAATTGTTTGCTGTAGGTGTAAAACCCGAGCATATCGATTGTGCTCTGCCACTAAGTTTACTAATTAAGTAATATAATTTTTCAGCGTCCGATAACGATGGGTTGTTGTGTATATTGTTTTGAAAACTACTGAAGAAGAAGGGCCACGTCTTAATATCACCATTGAATACCGGAATATCTATTGGCGGTAACCTAATTGAGTCACGAGGGCGTACCTGCATTTCAGGCTTCGCTTCACCTTGAGATTGTAGCAATTTTGCGGTTCTCTTCACGCGACACAACATATCTTCGAATGCCAGCAGCGGTTGGTAGTTCACTATGTATTTCGGGTCGGTTTGTAGTTCCGAATGATTAATTTGATCTAATATTCTTTCGTAATCTGTCCGCAAATTATCTATCGTTTCGATTTCATTTAAAAAGGCCTCCCGTACTGCCTCTATATGAATGTTCTTTATATAATCACTTATATTCTGCACACGCGAAAAGAGTATGTCCCTCTTGGCATAAAGCGTTTTAATTTTGATTTCACTTCCACTAACTGCCATTTTAAATTATTATAATAAAGTTATATTAATCACAATTAATCTCACACGCATAAACGACGTAGGATGAATACTCGGCGTGCCGTATTACGTAATCAGATCGAGCGCCCGATGCAGTCAAGGCTACGCGTCGTTTGCTAAACCTAATAATTTTATAAAAATTGTGGGGTAAGCGTATCAAACGGTTGCTATCACGCCGTTTCAATTATTTAATAAGCTTTAAATTTAACCAAATACGAGCGCTATTAAATGAATAATTCTGTTTGCGAGTAACAAATCAAAATTTTAATTTAAACGAACACTATTTAAGTCTATTCTATAAATTAGAGTGCGTTATCTAAACAATTAATTTAATAATTCGACCAGAAAATGGTTGGATAACCACTAAACACCAATCCAGATCCTGCCGAAGTGACCATAAAATGGTGGAGCCACGTGTTTAAGGCTGCCGAAAATCTAGTTCCCCGGTCAAACCTCAAACCTATTACGCGAGATTAACTAAAGTGGACTGTATATGCGATTGCTTCTACGCTTACGTAAAAGCGACTACTATAGCATGCGGTACAATGCACTCGCTCTTCCCTAAACTAAACTATTACTTGTCGAATCGATGAAAGGAATCCTGCTTGACTAGGAAAAAAAACACAGATTGGAGCGGGTTAAACTATTAGCAAGCAGGTATAATTAAGGAATATTGACTCACCGGGGTTTCTTCTTCCTGTCGATCACTATAGCGGCGACTTCCGGAACCTCCTCTGGACAGACACTCTGGGGCCTCAGTGGTGCGTCAGGAGAGAAGCGTTGGTTCAACGACGACTGCGGCGGGAGAAGAGGCTCGCGCATCGGTCGCGCGTGTCTTATATATCCTCGGCTCGGGTGATTACGCGATGTTCTAGAATCGTCTTCTTTCCCCTCCCACCCCACCACCCCGATGTGTCGATAGGAGGGTACGAATGATATTGTTTGGAAAGGAATAATGATTCTACAAGTTCCTACCGTCAAATAAAAAACGCGAATGGTTTTCCGCGCAACCAATTATAGTAATTGTTTATGAAAAATCTGCAAGATAAATTTATAATAAATTCTATAATTTTGTCTTTGTGTTGATCACAATTTAAAAAATCAAATTCTATATGTAGAAATAATATAGTTTTTATGAATTCTTTTAGATTTTCATAATATAAATAACGTTTTAAAATTTCGTTGGTAATGTCTTGCATTGCAGATATGCAAGAGAGGAGAGATTCGGAAGGACTGACAAGCCAACGTCTGCCAGCATATTCTCGGCATTTAATATATTCATTTTCTTGAGAGGCAACCATGTTTTTAGCGCATTGCTGACAATTTTTAAATATTTTCTTTCTAGCACTGTGTACAAAATATCCACTCACATATTGTAGAGCGCCTAGTACTCGGGGATCATTTTCCTTTTGACTTAGTTCAGTTACTTGCACTGTGGGTATGCTATCAATTTCACTGGTCACCGTGGCTTGGCAGTCATCTATTATGAGGGTGTATAAAACTTCACAATAGTCTTTTTCACAATTTGCCCCAGGGGCATGGACACTAGATATGTTATTTATTAATAAGCTAGTGTAGGCACTTTCAAACCTTTCTGTTGTGGGGTTTGTGTTGCGGCACCCATGGCTTCTAATAGCCCCGAAAAAGTTTTCTATGGGGTCTTGGTTTAGGTGCCTCATCCAAACAGAAGTTATGCCATAGTCATTTTTTAATTTTTTTAAAAGTATTTAAACACCATCTATTGTCCATACCCAATTTTCTAAAGTAGGGACTTTCTCAGCTTTACCCGTTACAATGTTAGTAAATTTAATGTTTTTCAATTCTTTTTAGCCTTATTCCATACATTATTGTTACAAGTATTTGGTCTTGCAGGTCCTAATAATGGCTTTCCATGTTGTTTTCGCTTTGTATAACTCCCGTTTAAAGAATCAAACAGTTGATCGAAAAAAAGGAGAACATCAGCTGTCTCTTTACATTCTTCGGAGAGAATTCCTTTGTCTGTAAAAAAAAAATGTTTTAGCAACATAATTCCGAATGTAAATACTATTAAGCTACACTTGAGAACAACATTTGACAAAATAATATTAAAAGTTTGTGTAGACTAGATAGAAGTGCATTCCGATCTTAGCAGGCTCTTCCAAATACCACGGCCAACTGCTGCAATCACGGCCGTGGTTGCTAGATCGCAGTCGCGCCTGTCGGGCTGTGACTGCCACAATCTAAATGTTACCTTTATACACAACATTAAAAGTTCTTAATACATGATGAGTAATTAATGTATAAAGGTACTTTATTTTACCTGCTAAATATCCCATGTTGGATGCTACTGTTTGACTGAAGATTTGTGTGGCATATTTGACCTTCATTTTGGAAATTTTATTTGGAATGACATGATTGTCCGTAAGCTTTGGCATTAGCCTTATACCTTTGTACCCAGGGTTTTCTTTGAGTAGCAATTCAATATGGTGCCATTTTGCTGTTCGCATTTGCTGATCACGTACATATGTTAGGTTTTTTGTTATTAAATTATTACGAGTGCATTTTATTAGATGGGGAGGGTCATATAGTGGAATGACTTCCTGATCGTTGACAAGAAACATATTCTCTATAGGCTCTCGTCCAGACTTTATAAAAATCCCTCTAGTCTCCTGTAGTAAAAGTTTAATGGCATGCCTTTTATTGGTGCCTTGATCAGACACTGTTGCTACCACAATAGGCCCAGCCCCTTGTAATTCTTTAATTACATCTTTGAGTTGCACTGCTAATTCCGGTCCACTTGTTGCTCCTGCAGAAAATGTATATGATACGGGCTGTTTATAATTTTTTATCAATCCCCGTATCATGAACACTTGTGCATGATCAGCATAGTCAGGACTAGTTTTCCGGCCATCAGTGGCGAAACCAATTACCCTGTCTTTCCGCTCATTATAAGTTACATTGGCTTTCAATGTCATTTCGTCGAATAAAACTATGCACAGTCTCTCTTCTACTTTAAACTTTTCTGTAGCTTTTTTGATCTGAGCAAATATTCTTTTATTTATTCCTGGTTTTACATTTGCATGGTTTAAAAGTTTTGTGAGAGTTTGTGGAGTTGGCAAGATGAATATTTTTCTTAAAAATCTATAGCACTTTGGACTTTGTTTTAAAATTGACAAAGCTACAATTTTTTCCTCTAGAGAAAATCGTCGACCTTTGTACTTCTTTTTAATTTCCCTGAACTGCAGTAAAGTTAATATCTTAGCTGTGCTGGGCAACTTATCAATGGCTTTTATAAATGCAGGATTAAAAGTTAGTTTTTTCGCTGCTTTGAGACTTGCAGACTGCTTTTTAACTTTGTTTTTATACTCGCTTAGTTTGTTTTTCACTTGAATAAGCTTCTGGTATAATCATGTTCTAATGTTGTAACAGCTTTGATTTTTTTAGAAACAATGGTCTTGGTTTTCCTTTTAGTGCACCCTAGAAACAAAAAACTTTGTATCAGAAACAAATAAAACAGCGTACTGGCATAAGTTTATCTATTCTAATAATAGCTATGCCAATATTAGCTTATATGTAGTGAATTCCTACTTAAACTCAAGTGAAACTGCCATACACCTGTGTCATGCGATTAGTATAGTATTGGACGGTGTGCTTTGGACTTACAATTGCACTCTCAGTAGATAGCCCAGACCGAAATCCAAACTGCGCGTCATGTAGGTTAGCTACTTTTTCAAGGTAAGAATTAAGCACACCGTCCAGCACCTTAGCGACATTTTTGTTTTACACATCGTAAAAAACAGAGTCAAAACCCTCGTGAGGTGAACACCAGCATACTTAAGATGCTCAACGCTAATGCCATCATGCCCAGGAGACTTGCCACCAGTTATGTTTTTTAGTGTATTTCGCACTTGTTCTGCTGTAACATGCACTAGTTTATTTTCTCTGCTTTTTTTTGCTGGCTTGTTAAAAGTAGGAACCGAGGGGCCCAGTGGCGAGTTGACATTAAAATGAGCCCTAAACATTTCTGTAATAGGAGCAGGCTCATTCTCCCCCCTCAACACTTGTTGGCAAACCAGACTTAACATCAAGCTTTCTTGTTGCCTCTCCAGAAACAATCAAAATTTTTAGTAGATCTATGTTTGGCCAAAACATCCATTTTCTAGATTTTGTTGGCACCATTTTAGTCGACTTTTGAATATTTTATGTGATTGGTACATCTGCTCATAGAATCTACCAGACTTAGGCCGATTAAACCACACTTGATAGTTAAGCATGGCCTGCTTGTGAGCGTCATAAACATGGTTTTTCCACCCACATAAATGACTGTTATTCTTATATTTACGCGAACACTACACATTGAAATAATACTGGTTTTTACGGAATAAAAAAATATAAAGTTAAATTTTAATATATGGTAAACGCGGTTAACTATGACATCTGAACGTTGAACATCTCAGTCCTTCCCGTGACCATGGGTGCTGTAAAGCTCTCGAAACGTCGGGTAATTAAAAAGTTAAATATACGCGATAAATTCCTTAAAAACTAGTATTATTTCAAGACTGTCATTCTTGTTCCTTCCCCCACGAGTCATACTGGACTTACTTGCCGCGTCGCTTAGGGCATGTACAATATTCTGATACAAGCAATCTAGTACTTTTTTGTGGTCACTCAAGCAATACATTTCTCTGTATATAATTTATATTAAAAATAATCTCAAATTACTCATTTAATTACAGTTATATATTTTCTCAGATACATTTATTTCAAAAGCAGATTCTTTTATAATGTTTGACACTTCTGGTATTACTTTCTCAGCTGCATTTACTTCAGTTACAATATTTGACACCTCTGGGATGTTGACAGATGGATCTGAAACATGAGTATTAGTATACATACATTATAATGTGTATTATAATGCTAAGTACTGATACTAAAAATAAGAAACAAATCAAGACAATAAATTATCTGTATCTATATCTATATACCTACTATAGTAAAACTTGAAGAAACAAAATCAGTACATATGTAAGTTTGTGTGGGAATTTCATGTTTTTAACTGTCAGATCTACAAAATATTAGCATCTCCAAAAATATCACACTATAACTAAAGGGAGACAAACAGTTTTACCACAAATTTTACCACAAAAAGTATTCTCAGCAGTGACCAGTACATGAATAAACTATAAGGTTCAGAATAGAAGTCTAAAAGGAATAATGTCCTCCCGACCGAATTTCGGCCACGGCGGTCTGCCTCAACGGAGGCCAGCCATCGGCGCAGGACAGGATTATAGTGCCCAAGTGTATGCGCAAGCACAGGTGCACTTGTTCTGCTGTAACATGCACTAGTTTATTTTCTCTGCTTTTTTGCTGGCTTGTTAAAAGTAGGAACCGAGGGGCCCAGTGGCGAGTTGACATTAAAATGAGCCCTAAACATTTCTGTAATAGGAGCAGGCTCATTCTCCCCCCTCAACACTTGTTGGCAAACCAGACTTAACATCAAGCTTTCTTGTTGCCTTCCAGAAACAATCAAAATTTTTAGTAGATCTATGTTTGGCCAAAACATCCATTTTCTAGATTTTGTTGGCACCATTTTAGTCGACTTTTGAATATTTTATGTGATTGGTACATCTGCTCATAGAATCTACCAGACTTAGGCCGATTAAACCACACTTGATAGTTAAGCATGGCCTGCTTGTGAGCGTCATAAACATGGTTTTTCCACCCACATAAATGACTGTTATTCTTATATTTACGCGAACACTACACATTGAAATAATACTGGTTTTTACGGAATAAAAAAATATAAAGTTAAATTTTAATATATGGTAAACGCGGTTAACTATGACATCTGAACGTTGAACATCTCAGTCCTTCCCGTGACCATGGGTGCTGTAAAGCTCTCGAAACGTCGGGTAATTAAAAAGTTAAATATACGCGATAAATTCCTTAAAAACTAGTATTATTTCAAGACTGTCATTCTTGTTCCTTCCCCCACGAGTCATACTGGACTTACTTGCCGCGTCGCTTAGGGCATGTACAATATTCTGATACAAGCAATCTAGTACTTTTTGTGGTCATTCAAGCAACACATTTCGCATCAATGTATATAATTTGTATTAAAAATAATTTCAAGTTACTCACTGTTATATATGTTTTCAGATACATTTATTTCAAAAGCAGATTCTTTTACAATGTTTGACACTTCTGGTATTACTTTCTTAGCTACATTTATATCAGTAACAAAACATCCATTTTCTAGATTTTGTTGGCACCATTTTAGTCGACTTTTGAATATTTTATGTGATTGGTACATCTGCTCATAGAATCTACCAGACTTAGGCCGATTAAATAGCAACCACACTTGATAGTTAAGCATGGCCTGCTTGTGAGCGTCATAAACATGGTTTTTCCACCCACATAAATGACTGTTATTCTTATATTTACGCGAACACTACACATTGAAATAATACTGGTTTTTACGGAATAAAAAATATAAAGTTAAATTTTAATCTATGGTAAACGCGGTTAACTATGACATCTGGACGTAGCATCTCCAAAAATATCACACTATAACTAAAAGGAGACAAACAGTTTTACCACAAATTTTACCACAAAAAGTATTCTCAGCAGTGACCAGTACATGAATAAACTATAAGGTTCAGAATAGAAGTCTAAAAGGAATAATGTCCTCCCGACTGAATTTCGGCCACGGCGGTCTGCCTCAACGGAGGCCAGCCATCCGCGCAGGACAGGATTATAGTGCCCAAGTGTATGCGCAAGCACAGGTGCACTCTCTCTTCCCTTACCCTCATAATCCGATGGGACGGTAAACTGACACGACCGGAGAGAGATCAGGTGCAGGATCAACGGCTTTACGTGCTTTCCGAAGCACGGGGGTGAGACACCGCCAACTTCCCGACTCCGGGCAACTACTGAGAATTTCTTGACGGAAAAATCAATAGTAAATTTTTTGGCCCGACCCAGGATTCGAACCCAGGACCTCATGATCAGCAGTCGCACTACTACAACCACTAGACCAACGAGGCAGTCTCAAAGCAATATGCTATTTAATATAGTAGATTTAGACATTTGGTAGAGCCATGCCACGGTTATATTAGTAGGATAGTTGTAGCATGAATGGGTCGGCTCGACCGGGGAAGGACCACGCTCTTACAGAATACCAGCGTAAAATAGTAGCTTAATAATTTGTCACCCTATCTTATAAAAAAAATACTATAAACTGAATCAATCAAATGGATAACAAAACTGTAATATAGTTAATCTGAACTGCATAAGGGAAGAGCCACTGACATCACTGGTTATATAGACAAGCTGCATGTCTTTTACTCAATCAGACTAAAATTGGTTTCGTGAAAAATTTCTGTAATAAAAATAGTTCATTCCAGAAAATTTATTCTTTCCTGCAGTGAGCTAAGATGTCTCTCTCGTTATGCCGAGCAAGACAAAGTATTATTGGACCTATTTAGTTGCATCCTGCTCCAGCAAAAGATAAAGCAATGCAAAAATTATGTCGCATGTTGCATTTTAGTTTAGTATTAAACAGCGGAACATACCTATGTTTTCTTTCATCCAGGCATAAGTGCTGGATGTAGCCATGGCATCAACCGCAAAATCTGAAATAGAAAGTATATGAATGTATATAATTGCGCCGAAAATAGTTATTATGACACCAATTTCAAGCAGCAGCTCAAAACAATTAGAACCATCACTGATCTAGCTAGCTATCTACCTTTTGTGGTTGATGGTTCATCTTCTGGTGAGTGCTTCATCTGTCGAAGTGGTCTTCTTTCTACAAAGGTGAATTTGGGTAGGGCCAGTGGTCCTGAAACATAGATGTGCAAGAACTTAGACAAAAAACTTTTATTCAAGTGAACCAAGTTTCAAATTAAGTCTTAGTACTTTAGATTTTTAGCCAAAAGCTTAACAGAAATAAAATATGAAACAATAATAAATTGCAATTGGTATGTAGTCAATTTAATATTATTTTAACAAAAAATATTAAAGGGTCCACAAACATTATAAAGTGTCACTTTTTTTAATTTCGTTACGACCTACTAAAGTCCACTGCTGAACATACATAAGCCACCCCTAAAGATTACCTCATTGGGGAATATTTGCCATAGCTGCCATGCTTGGCAACCGCATTTTTTACCTGATTTGTTTTCCTCTGTCGCCTCTTACGACACCCATGGGATGATATAGGGTAGTAGTTTTTCTTACACCATCACTACATGGCCTATTTTTTATTTATTTGCTGAAAACTAATACTTCTTTTTGTTGGCAACAATTTTTTTTTTTCAATAAAACTGCTATTTTTGGAAAGAGCATAAGTTAAGATTAAAGATCTAGCATATTTAAATAGGTTGATCAAAAAAAAATGTTTCTCCAACTGGTTTCTAATTGTGAAATTATATTGCCAAATACGTTCAATCTTACACTTTAACATTGATTGAATGATTTATTGATATTATTTTTCCCAATAAAAAGTTATAGAATGGTCCATCACAATAAGAACAGAAGCAGCATTGTCTTTAAATAATGAAAAGTTGCCCTGATATATAATTTAGGTAATGCTTCATAATTTGTCCTGTATTTGAGAGTAGGCAGGTACCAGTCGTTTTATAGATTAGATATAAGGTTTCAACAAAAAATTATCCCTATAGCCCAATACAAAAAGTTCCTTCCCCTTTTTATTTACAATAGTTTTTTTTTATTCACAAGTCATACATTTGAATTATTTGTTTCTTTATTCAAAAAGGGCTCCTAGTAGTGGCCAAGGTTCCATTAATGCCTAGTGTTAAAGAGCTAGAGATTGCCTGTGAAATCAAGGGACATATAAAATATAATAATAATATAAAACACAAATAGTACATAAGATGCTAATACTAACCTGGCAGGTTTAATGTTGGTGTAGAAATATTACTCAATCTACCATAGCGGCAACAAAAAATTTTTCTTCAAAGTGTGCATGATACACACAGCGGTGTTTGTATATGTCATCAGAGTCCAACCCAATAATATCACCTCCAATAGAATGGACCCATATATTAAAGCGTAGTCTATCTTTTTCTGGATTTGGAAATAAATGCAGAGGCATCTGCATACCTGAACAGAAATAAACACAATATGTTAATTAAAGTTATTAACTCTTATTGAAGTTACATGGTTGACCTTCTCAGAGTGTAGTCAAAAGACCTTCAAAATTTACTGGTCTCAGTCCAAAAGATATCACTTTCATCTGTATAAAATTATATGGATCTAGTTCAACCTTTTGGATCACTATTTTAAGCACTTATTCTAGTTATAGAATGACACTCTGACCAAAATGAGTAGTATGGCAACCGCGTAGACAAGGGCATTTTTACAGAAGAGTAGACAAAATGACAGTATGGCTTAATTTCGCCTAAACTTGTTCTCGTTCGGACATTGTACGGAGCGTCCCAATCTAGTACTTGTCTACTCTCCGTCGGCAAACCTATTAGTAATGCTACGCAGGCACCTACATGCATTTTTTCTTAAGCATTTGAATTATATATTTGACTGAATGCTAAAACTTGATAATATTTAAAAAACTTACTTCCTGAATCCAAACAACCAGGAACACAACACTTTTTACTAGATAGCGACATAATGTCTGAAGTCTTTTAAAACAAAAACAAAAGTATTTAACAAACAAAACTCTATCTCAAACACAAACAGTGAACAATTTCACACAACCCAACGTAGACCTGGAGGAGGAGGACAAGGCACTCAACTCAACTCAATAAACTCAACAACAAAATGCAAAAATATCGAATTTAAACAAACAACCAACTGGAAGAATGTTAAATTGACATTAGAGGACATTTTGATTTTGATAAGTCCCGTTCAAAATGGCCGGCAATAAAATTTTTATTTCTACTATACTTTAAACCAAAAATAGTAAAAAAAGATTTGTTCTATGTTAATCGTGTAAACTGTTCGCTAAAATAATGAGACAAAAATAATTATTTAATAAAAACTATATTTTACGAAACGCACGGAAATTTTTTTCTTCTTCTATACGTTCGTAAAATTCTACCAAAAGAGAAATAAATTCGTACATGGTTAGACAGGTTATGAGACTAATTTAGGAGTACGCCCAACACAGTTAGAGTTCGCACGATCAGATATGTTTCAAATTTGGTACCATAATCTATCGCCGGTGGCGCTCCCTGTATTACTGCTATAGAAGTAATAAATAATAATGCTACTATGTTAAAAAACCACAAATTTGTATTGGTTTTCTAACATTTTACATTCAACCCTAATTAGTACGAATATTTTTTTAAAATATCCTAACAATTAGTACTGAGATTGAATACCCTGGCCGCCGTCGGCTTGTGGTCCATTGATTTGCAACCACGAAATTATTTTACCTCACAGAAGACCAGCTTGAAGTAGAGGCTCTGCTTCTGCGTTTTGTCTGGTGAGTGCAGGTGGCCAGAGGCATAATCCCCCCTCACATCCCTTCAACATACCACAGGAGGGTATGCTTCCAGCTCCCCTGTAGATTCCCTCGCTGAGCATCCACGATTTTTCACTAAAACTGGTAGTTTCGACTTCAGTTTCGAAATATATTTTTACTTCATCTCAGGAGTATTTACTGTTACTGTGTAGAAAATTGGGTAGCGTTTGAATATTACGGCATTCATGACAGGCCTTTGTCACTTGCTACCTGCGTGGAATAATTACCTAAAATCGCGAGGCGCCCTGGGCGTTATACGCAGTCGGGGCTAGTGCGATGTACACGATTCAATGTTAAAGTTTTTAACGCTGTTTACGTAAATAGTTTTATGTAAATACTTGTTGAAATAGTTTTTGTTTAGTGTTTAATATATTTAATTGTAGGTAAAAATAGTTGTAAAAATTTTAATTTATTTTAAAAATTATTATTTGATAAATTGTAACAGCAAAACGTCGTTCCTACGTTCCTATAACTGTTGCGTGGATGGATACTAAATGAAATGACCAACAAAAGAATTCATCATTCTTTAAGTTACCGAAGAATTTTAGAAGGAAGTTATGAAAGGTGAATTTATTTAATTTTTTTATTGGATATGTACTGACAGCAAAAAAGAATTAAGTAATAATTTGGTCTACAGAAGAAATACCTAAGTACTTTATAACAAAAATTTGTTAAAATTTACTTCACTATCCCAGTAATTACTTACATAACTATACTTGTATTTTGTAATTAAAATATTTTAATTTATAATAACACAAAATACTAAAATTAAAACTTTGTATACTAAGAAGATTTTTAACTAAGTAGAATAGATCACATTTCTATTAGGAATCGTATTTCTGATTTATTTGTTGTTTACACAATCTACCTGTTTCTTCCGAACCAAGCATCGCGCTTCCCAGCTTGCATGCTTGCAATTTGCATGTGTTAGGCATCGCAGAACTCACATAGGGGCGAAAGTATGGTCAGTCGGTAATAGTCACCTAAGTCACATAATTAACATTTCGAAATGGATTTTTTTACTTTCTATTGACATCCCTTAATAACCACAGAAAGTCCGCCGTAACTTAGGAAGCGGAAAAAATGCAAAGTAATATGGACACTAACGTGCAGCGAGAAAGTTTTATTTGGCTTGCGTGCGCGATTTATCTGATTAATAATAATTATGTAGGCTATTTAACATCGGCAAACTGTCAACATCAAAGGAGTGCACCTTTTGTACGTAGTACTATTATATATTCTGTGCTCATGAGATGATATGGAAGCAGTATATAATCTTGCACCACCCTTATACGGGATCAGAGGGTAACAAATCAGATGGGCAGTAGTGCCTTCCTAATAACGACTAAAAATAAATATCTACGGTTGCTAACCAGTTTGCCAAGCTTGGGAACTATAGCAAATATCTTCCTTATGAGGTAAATTATGGGGAGGCTTACGTTCAGCAGTGAACTTTAATAGGCTGTAACGGCCATGGTAATGTTTTGAGTATTTGGCCATAAGCCTTAGTGATATATAAAGTGAGGTGGTGTGTGCGGCAGGTGCATGTCGAGCGCGGCGCTGTCGCAGGAGCTGCGCGCGTCGTTCTGCCGGCTCATGCTGCACCTGCACGTGGACCGCGACCCGCAAGAGCCCGTCACGCCCGTCAAGTACGCGCGCCTCTGGAGCGACGTCTGCGACACCATACACGTGCACGAGTCAGTACACAGTACACACTCATTCTGTTCTATATGAACCATCTCTCAGCTGCCACGACGTCCTGCCGGCTCATGCTACACCTGCACGTCGACCGTGACCCGCAAGAGCCCGTCACGCCTGTCAAGTACGCGCGCCTGTGGAGCGACGTCTGCGACACCATACACGTGCACGAGTCAGTACACAGTACACACTCATTCTGTTCTATATGAACCATCTCTCAGCTGCCATGACGTCCTGTCAGCTCATGCTGCACCTGCACGTGGACCGCGACCCGCAGGACACAGTCACGCCCGTCAAGTACGCGCGCCTCTGGAGCGACGTCTGCGACACCATACACGTGCACGAGTCAGTACACAGTACACACGCATTCTGTTCTATATGAACCGTCTCTCAGCTGCCACGACGTCCTGTCGGCTCATGCTGCACCTGCACGTGGTCCGCGACCCGCAGGAGCCTTTCACGCCCGTCAAGTATGAGCGCCTCTGGAGCGACGTCTGCGACACCATACACGTGCACGAGTCAGTACACAGTACACACGCATTCTGTTCTATATGAACAATCTCTCAGCTGCCACGACGTCCTGCCGACTCATGCTGCGCCTGCACGTGGACCGCGACCCGCAGGAGCCCGTCACACCCGTCAAGTACGCGCGCCTGTGGAGTGGCGTCTGCGACACTATACACGTGCAGGAATCAGTACACAATACACACGCATTCTGTTCTATATGAACCATATCTCAGCTGCCACGACGTCCTGCCGACTCATGCTGCGCCTGCACGTGGACCACGACCCGCAGGAGCCCGTCACACCCGTCAAGTAAGCGCGCCTGTGGAGCGACGTCTGCGATACTATACACGTACACGAGTCGGTACATAGTACACTCGCATTCTGTTCTATATGAACCATCTCTCAGCTGCCACGACGTCCTGCCGGCTCATGCTGCATCTGCACCTGCACGTGGACCGCGCCCCGCAGGAGCCCGTCACACCCGTCAAGTACGCGCGCCTGTGGAGCGACGTCTGCGACACTATACACGTGCACGAGTCAGTACACAGTACACACGCATTCTGTTCTATATGAACCATCTCTCAGCTGCCACGACGTCCTGCCGGCTCATGCTGCACCTGTACGTGGACCGCGACCCGCAGGAGCCCGTCATACCCGTCAAGTACGCGCGCCTGTGGAGCGACGTCTGCGACACTATACACGTGCACCAGTCAGTACACAGTACACACGCATTCTGTTCTATATGAACCATCTCTCAGCTGCCACGATGTCCTGCCAGCTCATGCTGCACCTGCACGTGGACCGCGACCCGCAGGAGCCTTTCACGTCCGTCAAGTACGCGCGCCTCTGGAGCGACGTCTGCGACACCATACACGTGCACGAGTCAGTACACAGTACACACGCATTCTGTTCTATATGAACAATCTCTCAGCTGCCACGACGTCCTGCCAGCTCATGCTGCACCTGCACGTGGACCGCGACCCGCAGGAGCCTTTCACGCCCGTCAAGTATGAGCGCCTCTGGAGCGACGTCTGCGACACCATACACGTGCACGAGTCAGTACACAGTACACACGCATTCTGTTCTATATGAACAATCTCTCAGCTGCCACGACGTCCTGCCGGCTCATGCTGCGCCTGCACGTGGACCGCGCCCCGCAGGAGCCCGTCACACCCGTCAAGTACGCGCGCCTCTGGAGCGACGTCTGCGACACCATACAAGTGCACGAGTCAGTACACAGTACACACGCATTCTGTTCTATATGAACCATCTCTCAGCTGCCACGACGTCCTGCCGACTCATGCTGCGCCTGCACGTGGACCGCGACCCGCAGGAGCCCGTCACACCCGTCAAGTACGCGCGCCTGTGGAGCGACGTCTGCGACACTATACACGTGCACGAGTCGGTACACAGTACACACTCATTCTGTTCTATATAAACCATCTCTCAGCTGCCACGACGTCCTGCCGGCTCATGATGCACCTGCACGTGGACCGCGACCCGCAGGAGCCCGTCACACCCGTCAAGTACGCGCGCCTGTGGAGCGACGTCTGCGACACTATACACGTGCACGAGTCAGTACACAGTACACACGCATTCTGTTCTATATAAACCATCTCTCAGCTGCCACGACGTTCTGCCGACTCATGCTGCGCCTGCACGTGGACTGCGACCCGCAGGAGCCCGTCACACCCGTCAAGTACGCGCGCCTGTGGAGCGACGTCTGTGACACTATACACGTGCACGAGTCAGTACACAGTACACACTCATTCTGTTCTATATAAACCATCTCTCAGCTGCCACGACGTCCTGCCGACTCATGCTGCGCCTGCACGTGAACCGCGACCCGCAGGAGCCCGTCACACCCGTCAAGTACGCGCGCCTGTGGAGCGACGTCTGCGACACCATACACGTGCGCGAGTCAGTACACACGTATTATGTTCCTTATGCCACCTCGGCGGCGTCACTTTAGGTAGCCTAGTATACACACTAGTGTGTAACTGTCAGGTTTGCCTAGTAGAACTAATAGTAGTTGGTCAGGTAAGCTTGAACTGAATAGAAAACATACACGTACCAATTATTACAACAAACACACTCCAGTCAGGTACATCCTAGTGTATATGGCTACCGTTAGTTATGAGGTCAACTGTTTGACAAATGATATGGCGGGGAAGTGAAATACATTAGAGAACAAACCACTGCGGCATTGTTTGTGAATTTACCTAATACCCTAACTCTCTCTTCACAACTTCTGCCTTGTTTACACTATATTAAATTAAATTATAGTATAATATTCCATACTAATTTTTATCGATGACTTACACTGTCCCATAGCGCCATACTACTCACACAAAACATCTTTTAGTATGCGTGCAGCGTGTACCTTAACTTATTTTCGAATTGACGTTGTGGTTCGCGTTTCGTAATTTTGTCAAAAGCATTATGTAAAATACAATAAACAAACTAAAATGCATTTATTTTTTAAATCATAATATATAAGTATTTTGTTCTTGACTTGGTTTTTTTACAAGTTATGTTTTTAATAGTGTTACGCGCTAAAATCAGCGCACTAGCGCCATCTAGTCTCTAACCGAAGAACTAAACTTCTTGAAGTTTAAAACTCGAACTCTCGGTACCTTGCGCGTGTTTACTTGAAGATTCTGGATATTTTGCTAATTTATATAAATAGGCGCTGCAAGATGCGATCGGGCAGAGTTGAACTCGGCGACACAAGCGAAGCTTCGGAGCGGAATTATGTGAATTAGTGTGTTTAATTATTAGTGTTTTTAGTTTTAATTTGTGTAAAGTAAAATAAAGTTTTAATTTAGGTAATTTTATCGGCAATTTTTATTGTCACGAACCTCAAGCTCGTAACAATTGGTGTCAGAAGTGGGATAAAATAATGCCGATTTTACCTAAGGAGGAAACGGAGGGTGTCCGTACCCGAAGTCAACGCCAGCAGGAGACGGACCAACGAAGATTTGCTGGTGCAACGCCGCAGACGTCGGAGGGCCAGCCACCGGCTGCAGGCCCGTCGGTAGCTCCTACATCTGCAGCACCTGACTTAGGTGCTCTGATGGTGATGCTGCAGGAGCAGGCTCGCCGACAGGAGGAACAGGTCCGTCGGTTGGAGGAGCAGCTGCGGGGTGGACAGGATGAACAGGTTCGTCAGCAGGCGGAACAGGTCCGTCAGTTGAAAGAGCAGCTGCAGAGCGGACAAAAGGAACAGGCCCGCCGACAGGAGGAACAGATGCTCCTCATGAAGGACCTTCACGCTACCTTTGGGAAAGAGATAAGGGAGGTGAAGGATAGGGTTGCTCAACATGACAACCGCCTGTCGGAAGCTGAAACCCGAATCGAAGAACATGAAACCCGAATCAACCATGTGAACAATCGGGTTGACAACGTGATGGCTGACGTGAAGAAAACGCTGAACGACCTAAAACTTGGGGATGGAACTACAGCTCCCGTAGTAGCTACAGCACCTTCGCTACGTGGATTCAAAGTGCCGCCATTCGACGGGACTTCTTCCTGGTCGGCCTACAAAATCCAGTTCGAGGCCGTCATGGAGGCAAACGGCTGGAATAAAAGCCAGGCCATGACTGCACTCACCTTAGGCCTGCGCGACCAAGCCTTAACCGTGTTGGAAGCTCTCGGTAAGAAAGTGACCTACGAGCAGCTCCTTGAGGCATTGGAGGCGAGATATGGCGACGCTCACCTGGAACACGTCTTTCGCGCGCAGCTTAAAGATCGCGTGCAGCGCAGCAACGAAAACCTGCAGCAGTGGGCCCTTGAGGTGGAGAAGATGGTTCGAAAAGCATACCAGTCTGTACCCGCGCTCATTAAAGGGAACCTGGTTCAGACATTCATCGACGGCATCCGCGACCTTGAAGTCAGAGCTGCTGTGAGACTCGGGCACCACGACACGCTTAAGGACGCCTTGGCCCGTACACTGGAGGTGGAAGCCGTGCGGCAGGATCATCGTTCCCATCGCATCAGGGAGGTTGCAGCAGCTACAGTACGCGACCGCAACAAAGGATACAGTCCTAGGTGCTATGGCTGTGGGGAAAAGGGCCATCTTCGATCCAGCTGCCCTAAGCGAACCCTAGAAAGGGAAGGTGAACGACCTCAGGAGGGTAGTGCGGCCAACAGAACCGCCCAGCAGCAGCAGGGAAACGAGTAAAAGCCAGAACTGCGGGGCGGGTCCTGGCTGATGTTAAAAGAGCCCCAATGATTTCGATCTCACAAACCCATGATGGGAACAGTCTAATCATCAAGGGCGAGGTCAACGGAATGCCGTGTAAACAGACACTGGAGCCTCTCGTACGGTTGTTAGTTCCCAACTTATAAGTCAGTTCCTTGGGGACTCCGCATACAACCTAGAACGCATTAATTTGGTAACAGCCACCGGTCAGCGTATACCCGACCGTGGAGAGAAGGAGATGGAGTTGAAGCTAGGCAACGTGATATACCTGCATAATGTCATCGTGGCTGATATAATGGACGACTGCATCCTAGGCTTAGACTTTATGAGGAATAATTGTTGCGAGATCGACGTTAAGCAAGGTGTTTTGAAATGTGGACAGAAGGAACTCTTTATGGAAGGTGCGTTATCAGGGAACGTGTACAGCATCAAGAAGATTGTTCTTCCGCCGATATCGGAAACGATTGTTCCGGTTAGTCTTCCTCGAAACGCTGGGCAAGCTCACCGTTGTGTACTTGTGGAAAGGGTAAACAATGACCTTCCATGGAAAGTAGCTCGAACCTTGGTCAGGACCACTGACATCTCAGGAGTACGTGTGCTGAACCTTTGCGACCGGGAACAGATTATAGAAAAAGGCACACTGGTTGGTACTTGTGAGGAAGTGGATTGGTTACGTCAGTGCCAATATATATCGATTGGGACCCCCAGCAAGGATTCAGAAACGAGAGTGACCACACTTTTGGAAGACTGTCGCAGTGTTCTGCCCCCGAACGAATTGGTCAAGGCGAAGAAGTTGTTACTCGAGTACGCCGATGTATTCTCATCAAACGATGCTGACATAGGAAAGACTGGTTTAGTTCAACACAAAATAAACACAGGTGAAGAGTTGCCTATCCGTCAGCGGCCAAGACGATTGCCGGTAGCACGTGAAAAGGAAGTGGAAACAATGATTAAGGGAATGGTGAAGGATGGTGTTATTGAACCTTCATCTAGTCCATGGTGTTCACCCGTGGTACTGGTAAAGAAGAAGGATGGCAGCTTGCGGTTTTGTGTTGACTATCGCCGTCTGAACGACGTTACTAAGAAGGATAGCTATCCCTTGCCAAGAATTGACGACACGCTGGACATGCTTACAGGAGTAAAGTGGTTTAGCACGCTGGACCTAAAAAGTGGCTACTGGCAAGTTGAAATTGACCCTAAGGACAAGGAGAAAACTGCGTTCTCGACGGGAAAGGGTCTGTGGCAATTTAAAGTAATGCCGTTTGGGTTGTGCAATGCTCCAGCAACGTTTGAAAGGCTGATGGAACTTGTACTTACCGGGCTAATTGGCGATGTCTGTCTGGTCTACTTGGATGACATCATCATCGTGGGCCGTACGTTTGAGGAACACCTTCAAAACTTGGAACGCGTGCTCATGAAGATTCAGAGTGCCAACCTGAAGTTGATTCCGAAGAAATGTTCACTATTCAAACGGCAAGTCAACTTTTTGGGGTATGTAGTGTCGGAAGAAGGTATCCGCACGGATCCAGAGAAAATTGCAGCTGTAAAGGATTGGCTGGTTCCAAAAGACAAGACGCAGGTTAGAGCTCTTTTGGGTTTGTGCTCCTATTACCGGCAATTCGTGAAGAACTTCGCAGATATAGCCAAACCTCTGCACAAGCTAACCGAGGAGAAGCGACATTTCTGCTGGGATGAAAGTTGCAATATCGCATTCCAGGAGCTCAAGGACCGTCTGTGCAAAACACCTATTTTGGGATACCCTGATGCAAGCAAAGAATTTACAGTTGACACAGACGCAAGTGATATAGGACTTGGCGGTGTGTTGTCTCAACGGAATGGTGACCAAGAGGTCGTGATAGCGTACTTCAGCAAGTCGTTGTCAAAACTGGAAAGGAACTACTGTGTCACAAGACGCGAATTGCTAGCTGTGGTAAAGTCGTTGCAGCATTTTAGCAAATATCTTCTGGGGCGAAAATTTCACTTACGAACTGACCATGCTGCACTAAAATGGCTATTGCAGTTTAAAAATCCAGAAGGACAAGTTGCGAGGTGGATTGAACTACTGCAGGAATACGACTTTGAGATCGAACATCGTAACGGGAAATCTCATGGCAACGCAGATGCGTTGTCAGGAAGACCTTGTCCTGAAGATTGCAAACATTGTACTAGGCAAGAGAGTAAGGAAGTGGTATCCGTGAGGATGCTCAGGGCAGACCACCTCAGCAACGAGTGGAAGGACAGCTTACAACGTGCACAGCAGGAAGATCCGGACATCAAGCCGATTCTGGAATGGATGAAGGCCAGTGCTCCCAAGCCCAAGTGAGTCGACGCGACAAGTGAGTGCGCGACGTCTCAGCGATGAGTTCGACCACTGAAAGTTACTGGGCCCAGTGGGACAGCTTGCTGCTTCAGGATGGAGTTCTGTGCCGTAAATGGGAAAATGTTCGGGGAGACAGCTGTCATTTACAAATGGTTGTCCCTAAAGCTAAAGTACCGGATGTTCTACAGCTGTACCATAATGATTATTCAGGAGGCCATCTGGGAGTTAAACGAACTCTACTGAAGATCCGAGAACGGTTTTACTGGGTCCACTGTCGAAATGATGTCGAGGACTGGTGTCGCAAATGTACAAGTTGTGCGGCTGTAAAGGGACCTCAGACTCGTAGTAGAGGTGCATTGAAGCTGTACAATGTTGGTGCACCATGGGAGAGAATAGCCATTGACGTGGCGGGGCCGTTTCCGGAGAGTGAAAGCGGTAACAGGTATTTCATGGTTGTGATGGATTACTTGACTAAGTGGCCAGAAGTCTTCGCCATTCCAAATCAAGAATTCAACAGTTGCTGATAAGCTAGTTCATGAAGTCTTCTGTCGTTTCGGTGTACCTTTAGAGATTCACAGCGATCAAGGAAGGAATTTTGAGTCTCAAATATTCCAGGAAACTTGCCGAGTTATGGGTACTCATAAAACAAGAACGACTTCTTATCACCCGCAATCTGATGGAATGGTAGAACGATTTAATCAGACATTGGAGAGGTACCTAGCAAAAGTTGTAGACAATCGGCAACGAGATTGGGACAAGCACATACAACCGTTTTTGTTGTCATATCGAAGCGCTGTTCACGAAAGTACAGCAGTGACACCAGCTTTCGCAAACTTTGGAAGAGAATTACGGCTGCCTGCAGACCTGATCACCGGGATACCACCTGATGCTCCACGCAGTATAACCGATTATGCAAATGACTTGCGGAACAAAATGAATGACGTTTATGAGCACGTCAGACAATCGGGCCAGCAAATGTCTGAAAAGACGAAAACCCGGTATGACCGCAAAATGAACAACAAAGGGTTCGACGAAGGTTCACTTGTGTGGTTGCACAATCCAGTCCGCAGCAAAGGGAAATCTCCTAAGCTTCAAGCTAAATGGGACGGCCCGTACCGGATTGTGACCAGGATCAACGATGTAACCTACCGGATACAGAAAGGCGCAAGAGGGACTCCTAAGATCGTCCATGTGGATCGCCTAGCGCGTTATTATGGGACCGATAATGCTCGGGACGAGCATGTCTTAGGAGGGGGCAGTGTTACGCGCTAAAATCGGCGCACTAGCGCCATCTAGTCTCGAACCGAAGAACTAAACTTCTTGAAGTTTAAAACTCGAACTCTCGGTACCTTGCGCGTGTTTACTTGAAGATTCTGGATATTTTGCTAATTTATATAAGTAGGCGCTGCAAGATGCGATCGGGCAGAGTTGAACTCGGCGACACAAGCGAAGCTTCGGAGCGGAATTAAGTGAATTAGTGTGTTTAATTATTAGTGTTTTTAGTTTTAATTTGTTTATTAATTTTATTATTAATTCTCATTTCTTTTTGTATATAAGATAGTCCTAATTTTTTACCTTTCCGGTACCTTCTACTTCTTGAGGACCAACAACGTACCTATGTACACCTGTAATACATATACAAGTACACTGATTCATTCACTGCAAATGTAACTTTGTAATTCTATATATTTATATGGGATTACAAAGTTATTTATGCAGTTAGTGTATCTAAAAAACTGGACAGAAATTAACAAATGTTTTAGTTTTTCCTTGATTTATACACTAAACCCTAATTGTATTCTAAATTTGAAGCTTCTATAACTGCTAGAAGTGCCTTACAGTTTTGATGATCGGTCAGTCAGTGAGTGACAAAATTAAGAAACTTTGACTGGTTACAATTCTTAAACTACTGGTTCAAATTGAATGAAATTTGAAATATACCATGTTTGTACAATGTTTACTCGGTTAATGAAAATTCAGGCTTCTAGTTTTATTAACCACGAAGTTATAAGGGGTCGAAAACGGCCTGAATTGCTTCGAGAAAAGATGGTACGGTCGTGCCGCTTTTTTGCTCGACTTGGCGACAGATTATCACACATTATATTATTCTAGCCAATTTAAAATCAGATGAGTTTGTAATAATAAATATCTAATCTCAAAACGAAACAATACAGCTACAAACTATAAATAGGCATAATACTGTTATACTATAACTTTTTTGTATTTATTTATTTATGCGTTATTTGCACATCAAGTACAAAAAGCCGAACTTAACGCAACAAGATTCTCTAACAGTCTTCTCCACGCTAAGCAGAGAAGATCAGTGTTTGCGTAACTTGGTATAATTTGTCGGTATAATGGTATATCTTGACCTTTTTTGCAAGGTAGAGCAAAATAAGAATATTTTAATGATAGCTGAAAAAGAATTGTAAGTACAAACAATCAACAGAAATTTGGGGGGATATCACACAGCCAGTACATTTTGAAGTATCTAAAGAACGTAACTTCAATATCATATCAGGAGTAATTTCAATAATGTTTTTCACTACTCTCTACCTATTTTTTTTCTACAGTTACCAATGTGTAAAAGGCGGTCCAGACGCAAACCGTGAAAAAGTTAAGGAGCAGTTCGCTTCCACCATCCGCTTCGTAGAGGACTACTTGTGCAAGGTAGTCACAAGCACGTGGTATTTCAGCGATCACGACCAAAACAAGCTCACATTCGAAGTGGTTAAGTTAGCCAGAGAGCTCATATATTTTGGATTCTACAGGTAAGTAAATGAAGATACAGATTTTTTTTTATAGAAGAGGGGGCAAACGAGCATGCGGCTTATCTGATATCTTCTTTATTAGTTTATATAAACTCAGTCCACCCATAATTTATAAATCACCGGAATGTAAGTGATCTTGTTTTTATCAGCAAATAAACATTAATATAAAGTAAATCCTGCTTCTTACCTAAATCATTCTTACGTAAATCCTACTTTCTACGTAATCGTCAAGGTTTTGCACCTTTGAACTATAAGTTGGCAGTCGCAGTTTTTGTCTTGACAATTTCGATGTTTGATGGTTTTATATTTAAAAACTCAAGTGACAAATAAACTTGCAGTTCACCTAATGGTAAATAGCTACTGCAATCCGAGGATACCGGGAGCCAACATCATACAAAGAAGGCTACAGGTTCATTATCACCCTAGGGACAAAGATGAGATGCTTTACAGACAGTAATTATACGGGCTCTCTGTACCCTACCGCCCGATACATAGCAATTCAAGCACCGTTATTTCGCAGCAGAAATATGTAAGATGTTGTTCCTAAATTCATTTAAAACATGTAAGCCTATGGACGTGGGACACTTGTTGCCAACTTCAAAGAATAATGTTAAAAATGTTCTGTCAATATACTTCTAAATTTTAATACCCTTCCAACAACAAACAGCACACAGCAGTGACATTTTAGCGGCAGAAAGATTAAAGGTATTTGACACTAGCCAATCGAAAGACCATATCAAATGACCATATGAGGTGGACGTTAGCATCTTCTTGAAAATACATAACTTAAAATCGTAATAAAAAACTGCGCTTGATAACCCATTTGCCAAGCGTTGCAAAATATCCTCCCTGCGACGCAATCTGAGTGACGCCTGTGTTGATCGGTGAATTTTTGATAGTCTGTAATGATTGAATGAATGAATGAATTGATAATAAGTGTTGGCAAACCAAATATTTGTATAGAAATTGTTAGAGAATAGAGTTTAATAACGTAATATTTTCTATAGTCGAATAATCATCATAATTGTATATTTTAAAAAATATAATAGTTCTATAACATAATAATGTTCTTTGACTTAATTTTATAATTGTCACCACTAGCTTCAGCGACCTGCTCCGGTTGACCAAGACGCTTCTTAGCATCCTGGACTGCGTCACTGCCATGGACCTGATCAACGAGACCAGCACCCTCTCGGGAGAAGTCGAGTGTAAGGAACTACGACAGTTTGAACTTGTTCTATAACGGTATATTATATTAAATCGTAAATGTCCTGTTTCCATTGTGACAAACGATGCCCAAGTTCGGTCATTAAATCTCTCAAATTGTCGGAAAATTATCTGTTCTGTCACTACTCACTTTTCACCAATTAGAGATTTGACCAACAATTACACTCAGGTTGTGTTTGAAACATAGTCGCAGACAAGTTGTGAGCTGTGCAAGATGAATATTCAACATGTTTGTATGTCAGGTCTCTTTTAGTATATAATAATAAAAATATGTTCAGCAGTCGACCACAATCGGCCAGACTCGGCTTTGAAGACGGAAACAAATTAATAAAATAAATGGAACTGATTAGTTATCGAATTTAATAACTATTAAGTTGTATCCTAACATTTTATACGTTATTGTAGAATTATATATATTGAAGGTCATTTTGAGAGGTTTAAATCCTACAAATACGAGTTTTAGAAACAAAACTGTTCCGAAATATATATGTTCAACATTTTTAAAAAAAATCCGCTGCCGTAAACTGTTTGGATTTGGCTAAAAAATGTTTCTTGTTGGCTGCCATCACACAGTTTTTTTATTTATTATTTAAATCTTGCATGCAGCACAAGAAATGGAGTTAAAGAAACGTAAGTTTTATAACGAATAAGTTAGATTGTTGTGTTAACAACTTACATCGATACCTTCTGTGGGGTTTTCTCCGTATGTTATTGTGATGATATAACTGATGTAATCCTAGTATTATTGTATGTACAGTACTACGGTCTGTTTTTATTCTGTAAACAGACATATAAGATATTTTTCAAGTAAAATAGGTATTAATAATTTTTGTGATGCCGGCAGAAATAAAACTTTGTCTGCTTGCGTACTTTGTCTGGAGGCGAGCGCTTATTCCCTGAGCTTGTTGTTTCTGTTTTATTTGTGGTTTACATTTTGTATTTCCTTATCGCAGCTGAAGGTGGCGTTTTGCGCACCATCGGCGACATGGGTGCAGTAATGACGTCCATCACGCTAGGCTCCGTAGCCCGAAATGTAAGTAAAACCACCTTGTTAGTTTGTTACATACATTTTTGTATTATAAGTTGCCCATTTAGAATAAAATATTTTCGAAGTACATATTTGCTACTTGGTAGCGGAGAAAGAAATGTCCATCACACCGTTTCATCCCATAAAGAGCTTGATAATTGACTGAGGAAATAGGAGATAACTGAGTGATGTTGAGTTTAGATATAACATATTATATAACATATTATATAATATATAGATATAAGACGTTAATAGGTTATTCATATTTATTTTATATTTATATTATTAATTTAACGAAAACACTATCGTTTCCTTCTTTAATCTCACCGCTAAATGAAGCTAAATCTCACTGCTTGCCTTCTCTTCCCTATCGAGCGCATGACCAACCAGGTCTTTAATTGTAACGATTATTTCGGTTTATATTTAGGTCTGACTTCAAAAGTGTTGCATTATATGGCATCATCAATATTAAAAAAAAAATGTTCAAGAAAGGATAACATTTGGTTACTATGCTCAATCACTCCTTGTAACGGTACGGGGCAATCATATCAGTGATTATCAACTCTTTTATTTTTAATCATAATCTCGCAGCAAATTTTTTTTTTATATAGGAACAGGATGACAAGCGAGCACACAGTCCACCTGATGGTAAGTGGTTGCTGTGACCTAAAAACATCTACATATATCCTCCATTGCGAATCAAAATGCAGATGCGTTGTTAGCCTTGAGGACCAAGATGGAATGTCTTGTTTCCAGTAAAAAGGGTCTCCGGTTCTCTACACTCACCATACGAAACACAGCAGCATTAAGCTGCTATTTGACGCTGGTATTCTGTGAGAGCGTGGTCCTTCCCCCGTCGAGCCGACCCATTCGTGCTACAACTATACAATTAATATAGCTGCAGCATGGCTACCACGTAATAACTATAATTATACAATTATTAAGATGGAAACTGAAGCTTGAGCTTTAAATAGTGGTTGGTGTTCCCAGGTTGTGGGCGACGGGCGCGGCGTGCAGCGCAGCGCGCCCGCGCTGGCGCTGGCGCGCAAGCACCCGCTCGTCATGGACACCAAGCTCAAGATCATCGAGATACTGCAGGTACATCTGCATTGCACGGGTCGCCCGACACAACTCTTATAATACTTTGCTATCTCAACCTATGTTATTGTGTGTTATGTAATTAATGAAATTTTATTTTTATGATATCTGGTCAAACACGAATTGATCGCGATCATGCACACGCACACGCACGTACCTACGCCTTTGTACGGACGTGCACGCAAACACTCGCTCACAAACTCACCTAAATACACTCAAAATTAAACTTACAAAACTAAGTAGCATCCGTCATCGGTATAGCCTTCACAAGTCCACTGCTAAACATAGGCTTTCCCCAAGAAAATACGGTCCTGAGTCGTTTAATTCCAACGACCTGCGCATGCCCTACCGGGTCGTCACTTCATCTAATGAGGCACCGCCTTACACTTCCCTTACCGGTACGAGACTATCCCTCAAGAATCTTTCTTACCCATCGATCGTAGATTCTTCCGTCGGTTTATTTCCACTATAGCTTACAGATATGTTGCTAAGTCGGATACTTTGTTTCTGTTATTCTCAAAATGAATTCTAACACAAAAAAAAAACTCCGAGCATAGCCTTATTCTAAAAGTCCTGTAAGGATCACGCCATCAGATCAGATCCATATGTATAAATAACCTTTTACTATACAATATAGCAAAAATTATTAATTAGTCGTCGCATACAATTAAATACACTAACCATTTTGATTTTTGTTCTTCTACACATTATTATTGTTATTTTTTAAACGTTACGGTTTTCTCTTATATCATAAGGGCAGTTTCAATTCATAAATTCTACAGGAACAAACATCCAGATCCGAAACAATTATTTGTAGGCCATACAAATACTTGTTCCTTGCGGAATTCGACCTCGCTGCCCTATAGTGGTAATTAAAATAGTCGTCATTACGACTATTTTAATTACCACTATAGGGCAGCATCTTAAGTAATCCACGGTGTAGAAACTGTTATAGTGCCTTGATTGTAACCACTAAAAAACAAGTGACTGGTCTTGTTCGAGAAAGGCAATTAAAAATAATAGACGCCCGTAAGCTCCATAATTTAAGTCACAAAATTTATAGTGCAATATGCAGTCTAATATATGGATGAATGAGTGTAGCGACTGGGTCGTCGAAATCCTGTCATCGTTTTTGTAAATTATAACTATTTTAGTCTTTGTTTTTACTCCAATGTCACAGTTCATCCTGGACGTACGACTTGACTATCGCATCAGCTGCCTGCTTTCAATTTTTAAGAAGGAATTTGAACAAGCTGGTGAAAGGCAAGCTGACAGCCTTGGACGGGCTGATGTGGAAGCCATTGGGCTACAAGCGGAAGGGATATTCAGCTGTCGGTGAGTTTAAATCTAATATGTTAAGACGGGGAAATTATATGTTAGTGTTAAATGGTCTGGATGGAAAGTTTTCTATTACTATAAGGGTGATATTTTAGCTGTTTTAATCATTGGTTTTATCTTCATTGGGGTCCTTTTTGATTCAAGCTATTCAAAATAATAAAATTAAGCTGTGGGAGCTTTGGGTGATTAATATTTAACATTTACTTTCTTTAATATTCAAAGAAAGAATTGAGGAATTTATAATTTTAGAAAGAACCGCTGAACTATTTTTAATTTTTTTCCGTCAAAGGTGTGTGATGTACATCGTCGACGGGAGGTTTACCAAACAATTGCTTTTTTGTACATTAAGAACAGGAAATTTGGTGTAACTAGTTTTTATTATACTATGTAATTGTAACTAACGCATGCCATATATAATTTTCTAATACTTTCATAGTAAACGTTTTTATTGACATAACCCACGACAATGTATAGATTGAAATAATAAGTCTTAGAAGAACTTTTTTACCTTTAGTTTTTTGTTTGGTTTTTATTTTATAAATTCAACTATATCATTCCTTATTAAAGCATTTTTAATATTGAAGGGAAGATATTTTGTGATAAACTTATATTGCATATTTTAAAAACGTAGCACTTAATTAAAAATAGTACATACTTAAAATTATATTTATAATAGAAACTCATCGTAAAATATTTATAGTTACTTTTAAAACGATTAGTGTAGAATTTATATGTTGATAATTTTACATTTTATTTATTAATAGCAAAATTAAATGTTAGATAAGTTTTATCTGGGTCACAACCATATACAACATTTCAATAATATAAAATTTCAACAGTGATTAAGATTCCTAAGCAGTGAATGACAGTTATCAGTAATTTCATACGGCATTAAGTACACCGTTTGTACCTTTAGTGCAAGAAAAAGGTGTTAGTTAAATATCTAAACGTTTTTTAGTTTATTCTTTAGGATTACACTCCATAAGGGCTACAACATTCGGTTTAGACACACTGAATGTGTATTAATTTCTTTTAAAATGTTAAAGACTAATATTTTTCGAAGTAAATTAGCAGTATACATAGGTCCTACCGCGCTGGGTTTTAGTAATAAAGTGAAGTTTTCATTTTTTAAGTTTTTTACTCTGAATTTCTGTAATGGTGGTGGTACATAATTATTAATTATACATTAACAAATCTGATGCATCCACAGCAAGAAAATATTATTTCTGCCTACTCCTTTTTTGAATTGTATCTTATATTTCAGAGCGATACAGACTGTGCCTGACAACTGCCTTCCAAAAAATGTAGATTTGTTAGTAAGATGAACAGTACAATGCATGATCCTTCAGAGTGTTAGCTAGCGCCTTGCTACAGGCATGGGGCTTTGCGCTAATATAATACTAAATAAAGTTTTATGCTTATTTTAAAACATAACTAAAGCTTTTAAACCCTAATAATAATAAAACACTAACCACAAACCACAAATTAAAAATTAAACCTCACATTTGTGTTTATTTAATGTGATTTACACTAATGGATTGTTTCTGCCCTGTATCAATATAATGTTCGTATAAATGTGCTACGTCTTTGTATGTGTGCGTGTGTGTTTGTGTGTGTTTTGTATGTGTGCTAGTGCATATCAGTGTGTTGACCTTGGTTTATTAGAAAAAATGAGAACACCCAACACATGTTAAAATTCATTAACATTTTGCTTTGAAGTGCTATAGTCGACCAAATCTAAGAAATACATTTTGACAGCTGTCAGACTTATTGCACCAGGCATGCCAATCAAAAAATGGGAACGTACAATATTCGATTCTTAAAAAATCGATATCGATTAATTAGAGTTGGTAATCATTTACGGTTTGGTGTGAATAATACCAGAATAAATTAAAAAACGGGTAATTTAAAACACAACATTTATCAGTTTCTATGTATTCGTTGTTAGGTACTGCTTATTTCTATAAGCACACTTATAAAAATGTAAAATTAAACTAACTTAACTAACTTAAAAATAAATTTATTCAATCACAAAAAACGACAGTTCAGTACAACTAGTTGAACTGTCGTTGTTTGATTTTCAATAATGCAGTCAAAATTAATGTCTCTTTCAAAGTCATCCATAATAATTTTTTTGTTTTTCTACCACTTGCCCAATGATCCTTTGTGAAATGGGCACATGCTTCAACGAATATTGAAGAAACAGTCCAAAAAGTTAAGCCGAGTTACAAAATAGGAGTACAAACACACATCACAAAATAACGCACAGTAAGCTCCCGAAATGGCGGGATTTTGAAATTACGTAGTGATTTTTATATCGCGGCCTTGTATGGGTTATTTTGCCTACACAAATTTACGTTGACAAAGTTAAAAAAAAATAAACTTTGTTTTATTCATGATTCATGTAATTTAAGGAATTTTAAAAATAAAAATTAAATTAAACAAATAATACATTAAAAAAATTAGTGATTCGATTTATTGAATATTTTAATCTATTATTGGAATATTTTTGCCGATTATTTACATAACACTTAATTTTAATCATTCAAACACTACGGTAATGTATATAGCGACGTATCATTGAAACGACGTCAAGTACAAACAGTTGATACTGGTTACTTTTTAATATTTTGCTTTGTTTGAAAGATTCAAATTAGTGATAAAAAAGTGTACACGTTGTAATGAAATATAGATAACTTTATAATTCTTCGGATTTACGTAAATGGTTATTTTAAATCGTATGAGTACGCTTGTGCAAAGTTATTGCTGAATGATTAATGTGAAACGTCAAAAGGTATTTCTTAGATTTGGTTGACTATAGTCAATAGTGATGCCATTTTATTTACACAAGCTTCATACAATTTGCTATTTTTCTTTCCGTTTTATAAAAAGTCTACTCATTTTGTAACGATAAATATAGAGCAAAACTTAGCTCAAATTAACAAAATGGATGGACTTTATATTACTTCGCTACTACTATATGCATACCCTCACTTTAATAAGTGTTTACATATTAGTTTAAATTCAACTCTACTGCCATCATAATAAGGTGCTATGTTCAGGGACGGATTGGACCTTGACGAGTGCGGCGGCCGTATGGTCCTGCGCGTGCTGCTGCAACTTTGCTCTCAAGGGGCTTCGGCTGCGCTGGTGTCTGGAGCGCTAGCTCTGCTCTTTAGACACTTTAGTCAGAGACAAGAGGTGCTTGCAGCTTTTAAACAAGTAAGTGATACGCAAAAATGTATCAATTATAAGATTGGCTACAATTAAAGAAAAAAAAATGTAAATTTTAATTTCAAGAATTTACCGTGACAAGACTGCAAAAACAGATTCAACACACCATTAAAACCCATGACTGTCTTAAGAGGTAACTGTGGAAAATGTTAATAGATATCCATCTCGTTTACCGATACCTTTTTTTATAGGAAAAGGTTGACAAGCGAGCACACAGTCCACCTGATGGTAAGTGGTTGCTGTGGCCCATAGACATCTACATCTATCCTCGATTACGAATCAAAATGCAGATGCGTTGACAACGCAGTCCGTGAGGACTAAGATGGAATGCCTCGTTTCCAGTAAAAAGGGTCTCCGGTTCTCTACACTCACCATACGAAACACAGCAGCATTAATCAGCTATTTGTCGCTGGTATTTATTTATTTACTTACTTATTTACTTACTTAAAAACTTACATGTAACACCTTAAGCTAAAGGGTACATAGGGCGGACTTAATGCCATGTGGCATTCTGTGCCAGTCAGCCCTGGGTACCAAGGACAATTGTTGGCAGGTGCGACCATTATACATAAATAAGTGAACATACTGTTACGAGCCCTACACTACACTGCCCCCCTCTTAAGACATGCTCGTCCCGAGCATTATCGGCCCCATAATAACGCGCCAGGCGATCCACATGGACGATCTTAGGAGTCCCTCTTGCGCCTTTCTGTATCCGGTAGGTCACATCGTTGATCCTGGTCACAATCCGGTACGGGCCATCCCATTTAGCTTGAAGCTTAGGAGATTTCCCTTTGCTGCGGACGGGATTATGCAACCACACTAGTGAACCTTCATCGAACCCTTTGTGTTCATTTTGCGGTCGTACCGGGTTTTCATCTTTTCAGACATTTGCTGGCCCGATTGTCTGACGTGCTCATAAATGTCATTTATTTTGTTCCGCAAGTCATAATCGGTTATACTACGTGGAGCATCAGGTGGTATCCCGGTGATCAGGTCTGCAGGCAGCCGTAATTCTCTTGCAAAGTTTGCGAAAGCTGGTGTCACTGCTGTACTTTCGTGAACAGCGCTTCGATATGACAACAAAAACGGTTGTATGTGCTTGTCCCAATCTCGTTGCCGATTGTCTACAACTTTTGCTAGGTACCTCTCCAATGTCTGATTAAATCGTTCTACCATTCCATCAGATTGCGGATGATAAGAAGTCGTTCTTGTTCTATGAGTACCCATAACTCGGCAAGTTTCCTGGAATATTTGAGATTCAAAATTCCTTCCTTGATCGCTGTGAATCTCTAAAGGTACTCCAAAATGACAGAAGACTTCATGAACTAGTTTATCTGCAACTGTTGAAGCTTCTTGATTTGGAATGGCGAAGACTTCTGGCCACTTAGTGAAGTAATCCATCACAACCATGAAATACTTGTTACCGCTTTCACTCTCCGGAAACAGCCCCGCCACGTCAATGGCTATTCTCTCCTATGGTGCACCAACATTGTACAACTTCAATGCACCTCTACTACGAGTCTGAGGTCCCTTTACAGCCGCACAACTTGTACATTTGCGACACCAGTCCTCGACATCGTTTCGACAGTGGACCCAGTAAAACCGTTCTTCAGTAGAGTTCGTTTAACTCCCAGATGGCCTCCTGAATAATCATTATGGTACAGCTGTAGAACATCCAGTACTTTAGCTTTAGGGACAACCATTTGTAAATGACAGCTGTCTCCCCGAATATTGTCCCATTTACGGCACAGGACTCCATCCTGAATCAGCAAGCTGTCCCATTGGGCCCAATAGCTTTTAGTGGTCGAACTCATCGCTGAAACGTCGCTCCACTTGGGCTTGGGAGCACTGGCCTTCATCCATTCCAGAATCGGCTTGATGTCCGGATCTTCCTGCTGTGCATGTTGTAAGCTGTCTTTCCACTCGTTGCTGAGGTGGTCTGTCCTGAGCATCCTCACGGATACCACTTCCTTACTCTCCTGCCTAGTACAATGTTTGCAATCTTCAGGACAAGGTCTACGTGATAATGCATCTGCGTTGCCATGAGATTTCCCGCTGCGATGTTCGATCTCAAAGTCATATTCCTGCAGTAGTTCAATCCACCTCGCAACTTGTCCTTTTGGATTTTTAAACTGCAATAGCCATTTTAGTGCAGCATGGTCAGTTCGTAAGTGAAATTTTCGCCCCAGAAGATATTTGCTAAAATGCTGCAATGACTTTACCACCGCTAGCAATTCGCGTCTTGTGACACAATAGTTCCTTTCCGGTTTTGACAATGACTTGCTGAAGTACGCTATCACGACCTCTTGGTTACCATTCCGTTGAGACAACACACCGCCAAGTCCTATATCACTTGCGTCTGTGTCAACTATAAATTCTTTGCTTGCATCAGGGTATCCCAAAATAGGTGTTTTGCACAGACGGTCCTTGAGCTCCTGGAATGCGATATTGCAACCCTCATCCCAGCAGAAATGTCGCTTCTCCTCGGTTAGCTTATGCAGAGGTTTGGCTATATCTGCAAAGTTCTTCACAAATCGCCGGTAATAGGAGCACAAACCCAAAAATGCTCTAACCTGCGTCTTGTCTTTTGGAACCGGCCAATCCTTGACAGCTTCTATTTTCTCTGGATCCGTGCGGATACCTTCTTCCGATACTACATACCCCAAAAAGTTGACTTGCCGTTTGAATAGTGAACATTTCTTCGGACTCAACTTGAGGTTGGCAGTCTGAATCTTCATGAGCACGCGTGCCAGGTTTTGAAGGTGTTCCTCAAACGTACGGCCCACGATGATGATGTCATCCAAGTAGACCAGACGGGCATCGCCAATTAGCCCGGTGAGTACAAGTTCCATCAGCCTTTTAAACGTTGCTGGAGCATTGCACAACCCAAACGGCATTACTTTAAATTGCCACAGACCCTTTCCCGTCGAGAACGCAGTTTTCTCCTTGTTCTTAGGGTCAATTTCAACTTGCCAGTAGCCACTTTTTAGATCCAGCGTGCTAAACCACTTTACTCCTGTAAGCATGTCCAGCGTGTCATCAATTCCTGGCAAGGGATAGCTGTCCTTCGTAACGTCGTTCAGACGGCGGTAGTCAACACAAAACCGCATGCTGCAATCCTTCTTCTTTACCAGCACTACGGGTGAACACCATGGACTAGAGGAAGGTTCAATAACACCATCCTTCACCATTCCTTCAATCATGGTTTCTACTTCCTTTTCACGTGCTGCCGGCAGTCTTCTTGGTCGCTGACGGATAGGCAATTCTTCTCCTGTGTTTATTTTGTGTTGAACTAAGCCAGTCTTTCCTATGTCAGCATCGTTTGATGAGAATACATTGGCGTACTTGAGTAACAACTTCTTTGCCTTGACCATTTCGTTCGGGGAGAGAGCGCTGCGACAGTCTTCCATAAGTGTGGTCACTCTCGTTTGTGCGTCTTTGCTAGGGGTCTCACTCGATAGATATCGGCACCGACGTAACCAATCCACTTCCTCACAAGTACCAACCAGCGTGCCTTTTTCTATAATCTGTTCCCGGTCACAAAGGTTCAGCACACGTACTCCTGAGATGTCAGTGGTCCTGACCAAGGTTCGAGCTACTTTCCATGGAAGGTCATTGTTTACCCCTTTCCACAAGTACACAACGGTGAGCTTGCCCAGCGTTTCGAGGAAGACTAACCGGCACAATCGTTTCTGATCTCGGCGGAAGAACAATCTTCTTAATGCTGTGCACGTTCCCTGGTAACGCACCTTCCATAAAAAGTTCCTCCTGTCCACATTTCAAAACACCTTGCTTAACGTCTTGCACAACGATTATTCCTCATAAAGTCTAGGACAAGGATGCAGTCGTCCATTATATCGGCCACGATGACATTATGCAGGTAGATCACGTTGCCTAGTTTCAACTCCATCTCCTTCTCTCCACGGACGGGTATACGCTGACCGGTGGCTGTTACCAAATTAATGCGTTCTCGGTTGTATGCGGAGTCCCCAAGGAACTGACTTACATGTTGGGAACTAACAACCGTACGAGAGGCATTCCGTTGACCTCGCCCTTGATGATTAGACTTTTCCCATCATGGGTTTTATGAGATCGAGATTCTTGGGGCTCTTTTAACATCAGCCAGCACCCGCCTCGCAGTTTTGTCTTTTAGTCGTTTCACTGCTGCTGCTGGGCGGTGCTGTTGGGCGCACTACCCTCCTAAGTGTCGTTCACCTTCCCTTTTTAGGGACAAATAGTCCGACTAGGTAAGTCCAACTTCGACCGAGAGGTCAATCGACCGATTAAACTCGGCTGGGCATCGTTCGGGAAATCACGACACATCTTCTCGTCAGGTACACCTCCCTCAAAATTTGAAATCGCGATTGTATAACATGTGCGTGTTGCCAGTGATGACTTACGGATCTGAGACGTGGTCCTTCACTGCTGGCCGTATTAGGACGCACAGGGTCGCTCAGCGAGCTATTGGAGAGGGATATGCTCGTGGTATCTCTGCGTGATAAACTTAGAAATTATCGGTGACTCCGGTTCTACTGCGGAATGCGGATATCCATCCGCATTTCGCGGTATAACTGGAGTGACCGACATAGCCCAACGGATTAGTAAGCTTAAAAAAGCTAAATGGCCGGCAACGCACCCGCAATTCCCTTGGTTTTGCAGTTGTTCATAGGTGACGGTAATCACTTACCATCAGGTGTGCCGTATACTCGTTTGCCCGCTCTCTTATAAAAAAGCTGAAGTGGCGGTGTGCCGGCCATATACCGTGAGGAACCGACAACCGATGGGGAAAAAGGTTCTCGAATGGCAGCCTCGTACCGGTAGGCGAAGTATTGGGTGACCTCCCACTAGATGGAGTGACGACCTGGTAAGACATACAGGAAGACGATCGATGCAGGTGGCTCAGGACCGTGCTTTCTGGCATTCCTTGAGGGAAGGCCTGTGTTCAGCAGTGGACTTATGAAGGGCTGTAATGATGATTATGATTGTATTGTTACCAGGTGCAACTGCTGGTGTCGGACGCAGATGTAGAGTCTTACAAACAGATCAAAGCGGACTTGGATGTGTTGCGTCAGAGCGTGGAGAAGTCAGAGTTGTGGGTGTTCAACAAGGGACGCGCTGGCGCACTCGATGATCATAGCGGTAAGAATATTATTTTTATACTAGCAACCCGTCCTGGGTTCGCCCTGGATAAGCTCTATTAATGTAGCGTAGATAGATAGATTTATGTTATAGCGAGATTGATTGAGGAACATATACGAGTATTTTATCAATATAAAAAAATGTTTTTAATTTTCTCCTATACCTATATAATATTCTCCAAATGAGGTCAGCCAGCTCATGAGGTACCTTGAGGATCACCAGCTGAGTAGTGACGGCCAATACGGTTTTCGTCGTGGTCGATCAACTGGTGATTTTCTGGTCTACCTGATTCATAGATGGACAGAGGCAGCCAGTAGAGTCCATCGGGGAGGCAATAGCCATTAGTTTGGATATAGCAAAGGCCTTAGATCGTCTCTTGCGCAAAGCGCTTCTTTAGAAGCTCCCTTCCTATGGGCTTCCCGAGAAATTGTGCAAAATTGGATCATTAGTTTCCTTGCTGATTGAAGCATCAAGGTCGTAGTAGATAGTGCATGCTCTGATTACAAGCTTATTAACGTTGGTGTTCCACAAGTTATCATCTACTATGTTTCTTCTGGACATCAATAATAAGTTTCATACTGGTAACATTCATTGCTATGCAGACAACAGCACTGGTGATGCCTTACACACCGGCTGTGCCAATATTTTTCGGAAAAACGTCGCCGACTACCGAAAAGAGCTTACTCCTTTTTAAAAGGCCGGCAACGCACTTGCAATTCCCCTGGTGTTGCGATTGTTCATGAGCGGCTCACTTCATGAAGTAGCTCTGGGCCATGCTTGTTCGCCCCCCTCAAAACTTAGTTTATTAATTTAAATGAATAACTGTGTTTAATTTCGTTCTAATGTGTCCATATAATTTTCAGACATAAAGGGCACCCTTGGGCCTGGCGGAGCGGTCTTAGAACGCAACGCCTCACTCGATAACGTTTTAGATACGTCACGACCCAGCAAGTACGACCATATGAATGAATACAATAAGATCAAAGAGGTAAGAGATGATTTATAACAATGTGATCAACTCTTTTATAATAATTTTATTAGAAATATTCAATGGGACACATATAGGCTATTACTTTTAAACGGTCATAAGATAGAACAAGTAGGACACTTTTTTATGTGGTAGATTCATGCTGCAGCTATATTACGATTGTAGCACTAACAGCCTGGCCACGGGACATTCGCCGCAGGGAAAATTCGCGCGGCACGAACGGCGAGGCGTCTAGCGACTAAAACAAATGTATAGAAATGTATGGATCACGCCACGCGTAGTGGCGAGTGGCGACGCGACCGGCGAAAGGACATTGCTCAGCGCACATACATTATTCGCCCTGGAACCAAGAGCATCGGAAAATTGTGTGTTGTATTGTCGATCATTACGGAATTTCTATACGATCTTGTTTTACTACACAGACTAGCTGCAGAAAATATATTTCAAAAAAAGTATCAGATTTTGAGGTTATAATAGAACTACTAATACTATGGTTTTTATCATTTAGTAGGATTTTTAAAAAACAGAGAAGCAATATCCTGAAACATTTAACAGTTTTTAGTACCAATAACATAAAACCACCAGCAGAGTCGCAATTTACACAAAATACACTTATCATTGCATATGCATAACAAAGAGAATATAATCACTACGTTTGAGAGGCGGGACTACCATGGTAGAAGTAAATGTATCAAAGGGCGCCAAACTACTCTACCAACATCAAGACATGAGATTTTATTTTTGAATAACAGTGGTGACAACATAGGCGAATTATACTAGTGCTGTAAATGTCTATCCGAGAATAATTTTGTCGATATAATGTTTACCAATATATTGTTTATCGTAATTTTTATGTAATAAAAGTTAGATCTCTACACTGATTTATGTGGTGTTTGAGTGAAAATACCGATGAGGATAAGAAATCAATGTATTTTACACACACATGCACACAGCAATTTGTAATTATATCTCTACAATTATTAGGTACAAAAATATGTATGAAATAAACTTAAAATATAATTATACTAGTAATTAATTTGTTTACTTCAGCATTATTTTAACTACCTATTTGAAATCGAGTATAACCTCATTCATTAGGTATAGTAGGTTTTTAAAATTATACTTTTAAGGAATAACATAAAGAAATAGTGATTGTTTTTATTGTCGTTTCTACTATCAATTTATTCACAGTAAAGTCAAAATGTGAAACAGATGAAAAAATATGCAATAGTTCATTGAAAATTCAAAAGATCGATTACACTCGATTGGGCATCTCTAATCATTTTTTACACACCACATGACGTTTAGCGAAGATGGCTGCGATTAATGTCATTAATCGAATAGAATACTTTTAATGTTCATTATGGCATGCAGCTAGTCCGTGTTATTAAAGTATTTTTAACTAGGTATATAGTAAAATAGATAATTAATTATTCGTGTAATGTCAGATGCTCTTTATTTCGGTTAAGGTGGCTCAAGTCGCGGGCTCGAACTCATTGGTGGGCGCGGCCAAAAAGCACGTTGTCTCACCTGGCATCGTGCCCGACAGAGATAGTACCAGTGAAGAGCAGTTAGAACGCACGTCTGTTCGTACGGTGTTCCGAACCGTTAGAACAAAAACGAAGTTACACGAACACGATGCACACATACATACCACCCTATTCTGTGCCGCTCGACGCTTGCTAAGAAATCAGCAGTACCTACATACAACCTCGTACTAAATTATTAGGCACTGCGCTACGTTATCGCTTTATACTATACCTCTATAGATACCTAATATAGATTGCTTATTTTATTATGTTTTGTTCCCCGGGTGGTAGGGAGGGGGGGGACCATAGGCGCTGTAAAGCACCCGAAACGTCGGGATAATAATAAAAATAAATTAAAGTAATTAAGCGCGATAAAATCCGTAAATAATAGTTTTATTCAATGTGTAGTGTTCGCGTAAATTTAAGAAATCGTATTTATTTGTTACGTCGAGTTTTACAAGAAAAGCATAATATTTACTGGAGAGAATTATTTTATTATTATAATAGTACATGATATTCCCTTTAAAATGACACCAATATGAATAATATCTTATATCTATATCTACAAATAAATAAAATTTAAGTGTCTGTTTGTAATGTTAAAATAACAGCTTTTTATTAAATGCATATGAAAGTACTAGTAACAAAAACACGTTTTTTAAAATTTCAAACACCACAATCTCTAATTTTTTACTCTGCTATCTTCAGCGCTGTACACGAACGGAACGATGTCGTTGAGAGCCGTGGTATCTCACATGGTTAGCGCTCGTTATAGGTATCCAGTACGGGAGCAACCCGGGTTCGATCCCCACTGGCACCAATGAAATTGTTGCGTGCTGATTTAGCTATCAGTTGGAAAGTCTGTTTTTCTGGGCCGTTTTGTTTTGTTACACTGACATCTCGCAAGTCACCTAGGGACCTAGGAGGTTGTCGGTTGCTTATTTTTTATTTTTCTTTAAAATTTTCGTCGGTAAAATAACATATTTATAAAAGTAAAAAAAAGTAAAGTTACAGCATATATACGTCCCACTGCTGGGCACAGGCCTCCTCTAATTTCTGAGAGGGTTGGCAAGGAAATGTCCGCCACGCTGCCTCAATGCGTGTTGACGAACTTCACATTTCTTCGAAATATATTTTTTTTAATTTCTCAGACATGCAGACCCGAGTTCGATCCCCGCCGGTATAAATGAAATTGTTAATTGCAATTGTGCTGATTTACCACGTGCTCGGCGGTGAAGGAAAACATATTGAGGAAACCTGCACGTCTGAGAATATAATTATAATCGAATGTAAATCAAATTGACATAGGTAAGTACAGATAAAATTAGCGGAACATTAATAAAATTTTGAGATCGTTTTTTTTTCAAAATTTTATTTATATATTCCTCTATTTTTGTCTGTGCTTATATCAATTTGATTTAATCCAAAATTCAAGCAGGGGTCAATGTAGCGTAGTAATTTAGAGCGCAGGTATAGCTATAATCATGCGAACGTCACAGGCCGCAGCTGACAATGACGCCGAATAAAACTAGAATAAGCGCGCGTCACCGCGCATGCATGTGTGTGTAAGTGTCGTCCTCCCGCACCGCACCGAGGGAAAAATTATTCAGTGAGATGCACGATAATTCGTAACGCGCGCGTAAAAAAATACGAAAAGGCCTTTGGAAGGAGGGGTTTTATGAAAAACCCACTGCATGAATCAATTACCAATAAAATTTATTGAATTCTTCGATAATTGAGCTGTGTCCGTACCGACTTTGTTTTAGAAATTTTACACTGCTTTTATTACTAATTTACGCCCAAAGTTGTGTTAAAATTGGCAATAAAAACGAATCTTTGGTAGCTGGTAACTTGTTACTGACTTTTTATTTTACTATTCTGTTTCGGTACAGACAAAATTAATAATGAGACAAAACGATATCATGTTTAACTTTGGATGTACACTGTCAAACAGCGGAGTAAAACCCCTCCGAAATTTCTATGGAAATAATGTCGACTAGAGTCACCTTAACAGGGCCATTTTGGACATTGTCCTTTTCCGGGCGAATCGTGCGGGCGACTGGCGGCGCGGCGGGCGACTGAAACAAATGTATGAATCAGTACGGTGCACGGAGTCGGACGGCAGACGCGGCGAATAGTATAGGGAACAAAATATTTTAGTTGTTTTAAGATAGCGAATTCCAGGATTTGAAGATTAAAAATATACGTTATAAAATACATAAAAAATATTTTAACTAATTCCAGATCCTGGAGCGTATGATCAAGTATTGCACTCAAGGAAACAGTGGGGCGGGCGAAGCGGGTGGAACCGGAAAGCCAAGACGCCACGAGCAACGATTACTGCGCAATATTGGAGTGCACAACATCGTGCTCGACCTTTTGCAGGTATTATGTTTTTTGGACTGGCAGAAAACGATTTTAGCGGATACTTGAGGACAAATTGATTTCTGCTCCTGTCATTATTATTATCATTATCATTACAGTCTATCAAAATCCACTACTGGACACATGGCTCCCCCCACAGAAATAGTAAGACAATAGAAAACTCGATTACTTCCAAAACCGATGTCGCCACATCTTACAGTGTTATTATAAACATACGCAATGCACAATGATATTGTTGCGTGCTTATGTTGACGTCATGTACCCGGCACTAGCGCCATCTAGTGTCAGGGACGAGAGCGAGGGGAGCTTTCCAGAAAATGACATTACTAATCTTTCAACCGACAGTGCCATCTAGAATCTAAACGAAGAACTAAGCTTCTAGAAGCCCAATACTCGAACTTTCGACGCCTTGTCGATTGGCGCGCGTACTTACTTGAATATTCTGGATGTTTCGGTGATAATGTGTATTTAACACTCCATTAGTCGCGCGTTCTACTATTGTAGAACAGGCATGCATTTCGTGGGATTTTAACATTAATTGTGGGTGTCTAACGCACACACTCTTAGTATTCCTCTATTACTAGCTGGTGATCACAATTCCTTTTCTACACTACAACTACAACTCCCTTTCGGCAAACTGCGCGATCGCACTTGTTAGAAATTTCGCACCAAAACTAAAATTCTACAATAGTAGAGCGCGCGAGCACTCGCGTGTCATTTTTGTCGGAAGTTTACCTATCGTTTTTATTTTATGTAAGTGTTTATATTATGTATAAACATTGTTATTATGATTTTTTTTGTTTGATAATATTATTTTTAACCAAAGTAACTATATTTCGCACAATGATGGCACATATTTTGAGATGGTTGGAAGAAGTTATTACTGATGAAGCAACCAGCAAAGTATGGGATACATATATTTTTACTAACGGATACAAAGTTACCTTATGCCTACCATATGGAAATATAATACGCAGGTGCTCAGCCAGATGGTCCTTATGCACAATCAAATAAATTTGTGGACATTGTGCAACGAATGCTTACCCCATTGGATGGTTTAGGTTATAACGTCACAATGCACAATTGATTCACGAATATACCTCAATGTTTAGAACTCTTAGGTAGCAAAATAACTGTCGTAGGCACTGTGAAGAAAAATAAGCCACAAATTCCCAAACAATTCAAAATCACAAGAAACAGAAGCGAAACGAGTTCAATTGTTGGCTTTCAAAAACAAGGTATTTTAGTATCTTACATGCCAAAATCAAAGAAAGTGGTGCTTATTTACTCACCTATGCACTATGATGATCATATCGATTTACAAACAGCAGAGAAACGTAAGCCGGAAATAATAATTTTTTACAACAATACCGAATATGGCGTGGACATTATTTGTAGTAATTATGACGTCTCACTTACTATTTTTTTTAATTTAATGATTATAAGTGCTATAAACGGTTATATTGTACGTACAATAAACAAGGACTACAGAAATAAGGCCAGGAAGGATTTTTTATATGAACTTGGTTTTCACATAGTCGCGCCATGCATACAACGCAGAATAAATATTGAAAGTATTCCAAAATCATTGAAAAGGAAAGGGAAAATGCTGTTAGGCATGAAAGAGCCATCGCAATTACAACCATGCCCAGCACAACTCCCCAATACTGGTCGAGTCGCGAAATGATCCTTTTGTGGCAGAGCGCGCAATAAGTCCACTGGAAAACAATGTGACACCTGTAAAAAGTGGATTCGTCCTCAACATCAAGTTCTTCAATACCTTGACTGTTGTAAAAATGATAAAGACCGTGTGGAAGATATGAACGAGTAAAAAAAGGAGACTGAGAAGTTTTGATGCCAAAAAATCATTGATTTTTCTCAAAATTCACAAGAAGTCTGATATTAAGTGCCTAATAAATGGTAACAGTTATGTTTCGTCTATTTTAGTTTCTTATTAAAGTTTGTTTTAATACGATATTGAAGTATTTTTATATTTGTTTATTGTTCCTGTAAAATCTTTACACAAAATAGTTCTACATATGTAGAGCGCGCGAGCACTCGCGTCCCAAACAGGAGCGCGCGTAATGGAGTGTTAAAGGCGCTGCAAGATGCGATCGAGGAAGTATTGAATTCGGCGAGACAAGCGAAGCTTCGGAACGAAATGAAGTCAATTATTAGTGTTTTAAGTTTAATTAGTCAAGTGAATTAGTGTTAATTTTGGTAATTCAATCGGCAGTTTTTATCGTCACGAACCTCAAGCTCGTAATAATATCTAATGTGCCAAGCAATGTAATGTGAAACATTCATTGAAGTAATATGTACTTACGTAGGTACTAGAACAGCTATTTCAAACAAAAAATGTGCGCTACTCTATGTTCACGCGGTATGTTTTCTTATCATAGAATAAACATAGGTAGAATGATCAGTAGGTAATAAAAGATTGTACTGTTAAATAGGTAAATTATATCGAGAATTTTTATTTAAATTTTGTAATTTATTTTGTATATTATATTTGCTTATTTAATATAATGTTACATAATATTATATCACAATTACATTTTAATGATATTTTTATCTCAATATTTTAAAAGGTATCTATCTCAAATATAAAAAAAACATACTAAATGTATGTTTAACAAAACTTGTTAATATAACATTTAAATTACATATTCTAATATATTTATTTAAATTAGAATAAGAGCCGTTCATAAATACTGGGCACGCGAGAGTTAAAAATTGACGAATTTATTCCACTTTGACTTTGATGTGGAAACCTAAAAATAAAATATAAGAATAATTAGCAGATTTAAATATAAAAATTTGGCCTAATTATGATAACTCATATATGTTTCTACAAAAAAATGTGTATAATAATATATTCGTCCTATATTTAAGTACCCACAGAAATGTCGCATCTGAACAAATTAATTTCATTATCTATATTACGTGACACAAGATGGCGTCTTAAGAATAATTTGTTTTATTACTAATTTATAATACTTTTTTATTGATTAAGTATCTTATTAACCAATGAAAAGTAATTCCTTGGTTTTTACTGACATTTCTTGAATTATTTGTGCAATATCTAAGTACGCACGACGGCTTATTTTTATCACGAGATTTTTTTTTTAAATCAACACAACACGTGTCAACTCTACAAGCGCCTAGCGAGTTACTGATTAAAGTGCGGTGTATGCACCGCAGTGGAATAGAACATAGTAGCTGAATGCAGTGTCGCCTCTAGTACGTAGTACATATTAGCTCAATGGAAACATTTCATTTTTCTTGGCAGTTTGTCAAAGTCGCGTGCGTCGCATATTACGGTAGAACAAAAGCAGCAATAATAATTGTATAATACGAAAAGTAATAAATGTAAGTTTACAAACTTAAATATCATAGTAAAGTATTAATCTAGATATAAATTTGTTAAAACAATGATAATTAGTAAATAATCAACATACAACATGGTGATAAGTTGACGTGTCTATGCGACTTCTATTGTCTATATAGTTTTCTCATCTGGTTGGGTTCTATAAATATATAATTATAAATTAAAATGAAAGGATAAATATACATAAATATAATTAAAATAAAATAAATACAAAAGTACATAAATAAATAAAAGCCCAACGAGATGGAAGCCCTCGGCACGGGAGACCAAACGGCCGAGGGTTAGGAGGAAAGGGAAAGAAACCGGCGGACAATGCGGGCGGTATCGAGGAGCACCGCCTTCTGCATTTGAACCTGGAGCGGTCCGTCACGGAGTCCCAGTCGCCTCAGATGACCCGAGAGGCTGACTGGGATTAGCCCACTCGTAGAGACGACTACAGGAATAACTTCGGCCGGCATACCACCCCACATGTCAGTCACCTTGTGAGCCAGGTCCAGATATTTTGTTCGTTTATCTGTTTCAGCTTTCACGAGGTTCTCGTCATACGGAATGGTAATGTCGACCAAAAATATCCTTGACTGTGCCCGGTCCATCAGCACAATATCAGGCTTATTCGCAAGAATAGTTCTGTCCGTGATGATGGCCAGGTCCCAGTAAAGCCTGGCGCGGTCATTTTCGAGCACGGCTTCTGGCAAGTACTTGTAATACGGCACTTTCCGGTCCACGAGACCGTATTTCAGAGCGAGCTCCTGGTGTAAAATTCTGGCTACTAGGTTGTGCCTGTGCAAGTACTCAGAGTTAGAAAGCGCCGAACAACCGGAGATGACATGCCTAAGTGACTCCCCGGGATGGCGACAAGCTCGACAGACTTCGACAGTGCCATCCTTTAGGATGTATCTCCGATAGTTGTTGGTCTTAATAACCTGATCCTGTATTGCACAGACAAAACCCTCGGTTTCCCCGAAGAGGTCACCGAAACGTAGCCAGTTGAGGGAGGCGGCTGTATCTCCGTGGGACTCATGTAGAGCCCTGTAGTACCTCCCGTGGAGCTCCTTCTCCTTCCATACGGTCTCCCGGTCGGAGATGCTCTGTACTGCCGAGTCCTGCCATTGCTCGTTGGCTAAGGATAGAGGGGTAAGTCCTTTATCACTAGAAATGACGTCATTATAGAATGGATCATCCGATCTCGCCAGGAAGTAATGACGGAGGCTGCACACTTCGCGATTATGCATGGTGAGCGCGCTCAGGAAGCCACGCCCAGCATGCTTTCGCGGCAAGTACAGCCTCATTACCGACGATCTCTGATGATGCATCCTATGGGACGTCATTGTAGTGCGGACTTTTCTATCCAGGGCGTTTAGTTCAGTAAGTTAGTAGTGGTAGTTAGTAGTAGTAAAAGTAAGAGGTGGTAAGTTCCAGTTCCTGGGCGACTGTTCCATCATCGTTTGAATCAACCAAAACTGGGGTATTCACGGCGGCATCCACGTTTGCGGGTTGCTCTGCAAGTTGTGGCGCCGCATCCTCAGCCGTAGCATTTTCATCCGATGAAGGAACAGCTTCACGTCGTAACCGTTCGAGTTCGGTGATATTAAATGTATTTGAGCGCAAGATATACCGAACTCGGTCTGCCAGGTTTTGCTCGGTGACGGTTACAGATGGCTCCAGCTCAGCAAAAAGTCAATGCATCCTTGCCCGATACGCAAAACCTCCAATTTCTCCCCCTTTCATCCTAAAATACGCCCGCAATGCGTTGCTGTTCATTTGAGTTGTGAAACGCATGCGGCGTGCTCCACCAGTGGTGGGTGCCGATTGCTGGGCCCGCGAAGACCCTGCCGACACCAAGCCAGCTGGTGGGGATGATGGATGCGAGTGGCTGCTGGGTGGTCGTGCAGCACCTCGCGCTCGTTGGCTGGCGGTTCGCATGCTGTCGCGTCCAGCGCCAGCTCCAGGCAGCGGCTTTTTGTGCATTCTAGTCAAATCCATCATCCATTTTTGTGGGCGTCATTTAACGGGAGACGCCCAGACCCGGCGCCGTTGCGTGGTGGGCCGAGGCACGGCACTAACACCTCTTGGCAAGGTGCTGACTGACTGCTGCTGAAGTAGCGGTTTTGTCACATAACCGTTACGTCAGCGGGCGATGGCATAATTTCTATTGTCTTATTATTACGATTTCTGTGGCTTCCCCATTAGAATATTTACCATAGTTGCCACGCTTGTCAGGTGGATTGGCAACCACAGTTTTAAATTTTTAGTTGCTAATAGGAAGACGCTGCTGCCCATCTCCTGCTTTCTTTCCCTCACAAGATGGGGTAGTGGATGCACTTACACAGCCGCTAAACGGTTAACTGCGCCTCAATTACCATTTACATAATGGCTTGAAGCGGATTTGAATGCGTACATGTGATGCTATTTTAAAAATTGTGTGGCTGTTAAAAATATGCCTCTACATGTGAACAATTAAAGAAAACTTTAAAATCTTGTGTGCTCCGTGGGTGCTGAAAACATTATGTTTTATTTGATTTGTCGTTGTGGGGTATTAAAGCATTCAACTCTATTATTGAGTTAAACTAGTGCATGCCGCTCATATATTATGCTCTTCATGGTTGATGTTAGTGATTAACCGCCAACATTTTCCTTGAAGGTACCCCACGACGAAGACGATGCAGCGATGGACGAGCTGCTAGCCTTGGCGCACGAGTTCCTGCAGCGGTTCTGCCACGGCAACCAGCAGAATCAGGCCATACTGCACAAGCACCTCGACCTTTTTCTAAATGCTGGGGTGAGTTATTTCAAATTCAACTATTTCTTTGCTTTCTAATCAACCCTCGAGTAGTCTATTGTGGAACATGATCCTTTTTTATCTTTTTTTTAAATATTTGTAATCTTTTTAATTAACATTACTAATATTACTTTTAACCACTCCTGGTAAGCTTGAAACGCTTGTGTTAGGAGTGGTTCACGACAGTAGTGAACCACTCCTAAATGGCGGATTCGAATCCACGACCTTTTCAGTTCGCGATCCACGCCCTGCCATTAGGCTACTGTCTCTTCTATTCATAAATATAATATTATATTTCATAAATATGCCGTAACCGCCAATCTTGAAAAATTAATTAACGATACTGCTTCACCGGCCTTCAGGTTTATATTCACATACATACACCCGTAAACATAAACACTCACGCCTGTCTCCCAAACAGGTAGGCGGAGACACTGACACACATCACATCCATATATGCGTAAGACACATGCTCGTTGGTTAATGGAACTTTTAATTTGGCCCATAACGTCGTTGCAAATTTAAAATCTCCTATGTGTAAAAAGTAACTTTTCGAGAAAAACGAAATTAACTTCCTGCTACAAAAAAATCTTAGAAAATATTTTTATTCCCTTGGTTATAAAGAAAAAACAAAGTGGTTCCAATGGATTGAAATATAAATAATTTTATATCATACGTTAAATGGACTAATTATATAATTTTAATTATTTTTTCTACACATGGGAGATTTAAAATTGCAACTTTTTGTCACGTAGGTGGTTTCTATAGAATAATAAAACATTATTATTGAAATGAAACTAGGTACTATCATTATTATTTCGTGTTTATTAAATCAGTTATGCAAAAACAATAATTATCTTTAATTACTATTTTCACAGTTTGACAAAATCTTGTACATTATGTACCTACTGAACCAAATTATAATTAATCTTTTGTGTTTATGTTCCTGGGTTAAACGAGATCGAGTCATAAAACGGATGATAATCTTTATCAATCACACTTTTTAATTCTTTCAAATGTTTGTATTTGCTTTCTGTGATTTTGAGGGGCTGTTGATATAGTTGCTGTGGTAGTAAACTTCCACGACTAGCTCTTCGCTGTGGTAGGATGGTCCATTCGTCAGGATGTCGCAATTTACATAAGACAGACCCATCTGACAAGTATTTCAGTCCTCGTATATCGACCACAACTGGATCACCTTTTTTCTTACCTGGTCTTATAGACTTGAAGTTGAATTCTAGTTCTTTATAATTAAGAACGAACTGATTGTGATGATACGGAAATATTGTTCAGATTTTCATTTGCTGCACTGCTGACTACCTCATTACTACCTTCTAAATTGGAATGTACGATAGCCCGAGTAGATATCACCAACGGCTCCTCTTCGTCATCACTACTGAACAAGATTGGCATAATATCCGCAGTAGATGTTGGTGACAGCACCAGTGATGGCGTCTCCGACATCGGAGATATAGATTCAAGATTAATTAATCCTAAATCATCTGGCGTAATTAATGAATCGTCAAGATGTGGAGGAAATTTCACCGATGCGGCGGCGACAGAGGCGACACGGTCGGTATTATCGTCAGCAAACTCAGATTGAAGCACTAAATTTATCATTCGATGACCCCGGCCAGTAGTTTTATATTTTTTTTGACATAATTACTAAAGTAACAACGCTAAGAAAGTGTTTACGCGCGACAATTTGCAGCTACACTGACGCATGGCCTTGACCTAGGGACGAATGTTTAGATTTGACGCATCCATCTCACTTTATTGCGTGCGTGACGAAATAATATATTCTCTTTCTAGCACAAAATAGGCGCGAAATTGTAGTGTAGTGATCACATAGGATAATTTAATTTGCAATGTTATGAAATAAAATTGTTACTAAAATGTCCTATGTGTACAAGAGACACATAGGTCATTTTGATTTACAATTAAATGTTGGCTGACACTTGAGATGTTTTAAAAATGATACGTGCTGTTTCGATATAATAAGAAATTCACGTGGGAGTTTTTGCTAAGTATGGGTATTCAAAATAGCTTTTCAAATATCTGTAAAACTAATTTTTGAGAAAAATGTCACATAGGAGATTTTAAATTTGCAACGACGATATATAATTTTTTCGAGATTGATCTAAGGATTTTATATCTAGTATAAATAAGACATAGTTATACCACTATTAAGAAAGCCACAAGATCTTCCATGCATTTCTCCTATTAAGTAATTCTTACAACTCAGCGGCATTCTTGTATACCCCATGGTACTTACTTTTCCCACATGTATGCTGGAACATGAGAACTATCTAGCAAACATCCGCCAATCCACTACCATAGCGCCAGAATAAACGTTCCCCCAGTATCCTTCGTCATCGGCTCCTCCGCCGACTACGATTCGAGCACGGAAAGTTGATAGAGCGGTAACTTCTTATACCAGCTCTCTCCTTCCCCGCAGCCCCACCACCATCGCATTAACAATAAGGCCCCATCAGAGTCGTACCGTATCGTACGCCGACTTTCCACCTTTGACTAACCATTTAAACTGATGTTGTTGTTGCAATCTTGCCGCACTTTGAAGCAGGTAGCCTGACTCACCTACACTTACCGGGAGCGGGCACTTCAGTTACTACTTAAATTATCCGCGAAGCGACGGCGAACTGCTTCCACTGCGGATGGAAGCAGGACTCCTTATCCCAAGCGTTCACAATATGTGCAACATTAGAAAGGGAGCTGATGATGCTGGTGAGCCATTAAATTACGCTGGTCATCATTTGGAATGAAAATTATAATTTAATTGTTTTATATATTAATTGAATTATATATTAGAATATTGGAATATTGGAATAGAAAGTCATGTTGGATGTGCATGGAAGATCATGCTGTTGATGATGAGTAGGGATTCGGCGTAAAGAGACGAAGAAGCTTGCTGAACAGGTTCTGGAAAGGGCAGATGGCGCTCGGAGATGAACGTTGTCTAAGCGTCGCACGTCGTTTCCTGGATGATGTCCTACCAGATACATGAAAGTAAAGGTAAAAGACTTCTTTGAAGTGATTGACGATGAAAGCATTTTCTAATGTGGGTGCAGGAATTTTCTAATATGTCTTATTTGTGTGGACAGATACGCGAGGCGCAGACCGTGTGCGCCATCTTCGAGGACAACCCTGCGCTGTGCGCGCACGAGGGCAACGAGAAAGTGGCCGCGCACTTCGTACACTGCATTGAGACGCGCGGCCGCCGCCCCGCATACCTGCAGTTCCTGCGCACCATCGTTCGCGCCGCCGGCCAGCACATTCGCCGCAGCCAGGACCTTGTCATGCAGGAGGTACGCATATTGTGCGAGCAGCCGGCCGGCACACCCGCCGCAGCTAGGACCTTGTCATGCAGGAGGTACGCACATGTTGCGCACCGCCAGCCGGCACATCCGCCGCAGCCAGCACCTCGTCATGCAGGAGGTACAGATAACATACACATCGTATGCCGGACTACAATATACGCACCGCACCACACCCCAATGTACTCCAGTGCAGACGGCAGCTGAGCAAAGCAGGCAAGCAACAGAACGAACTAGGCTATGACACCTACGGAAATTACTTCACCGTTGATTGCCTCGTAGAGGGGATATTTGCCATAATTGCCGCGTTTGGCAGGCGGGTTAGTAGCCGCTGTTTTTTTATTTTTTAGTTACTATCGGGAAGACCATAGAATACTATAATACATACGTAATAGAACGGGGGAGTGGGCGGAGCCCCGTGTAGCCACTAAAATGTCGCTAACATGTCAATTCACACGTATAAATGTCAACACGAGATGTGTTTTGACGTTACAATCGTTTCCAAATTTCGCATGCAAATTATTTAGAAAATGCCTAATTGCACACTATTTACAAATAGGTATGTATTAACATTTAAACGATTTTTTAATGATGATCTTGAACATTAATCAAAAGTCTAAAATGTTTAAATTTACTCAGTCTGTCAACACAGCGAATCGGTTTTATAGTAGTGATATTACGACGTTATTGCTTGTATGTGTGCTCCCGGCGACGCCGATCCTCTTACAAAATAAGGTTGACAGCTATTTTATTCTGTATTATAGTATTCTATGGGGAAGACACTGGTTTTTTTCCTCTGCCGCCTTTAACGAAGCCGAATGAATTAGTGAATATTATTATATTCACTAGCCACACTATATGATTGACGGACTACAAAAATAAATTTAGTAGTTAATTCCATGAATTCACCAACTTACAATACACCTGTTTAATAAAGAGGTGTATCGTAACAGCCACCAAACTTATTATTGATGTTTTTCTTTCAGATGGTAAACGCTGGTGAAGACGTACTAGTATTTTACAACGACAAGGTTTCGTTCAACTACTTCATACAAATGATGCGTCAGTACAAGCACACGAATGAGATGCCTGAAGCTTTAAGGTACACCGTCCTGTTATATAAAATGTTTTTTTAAGATTACTAAATTGTAATTTCATTATCAGTATTCATCAACTTATAGTACATGCGCTTTGGTGAAAGTGTAAACTATTATCCTATTTCGTGACGTGAATATCTTAAGATGGCAACGGTCGCATAATTCCATTTTCGTGCTACAGTAGCTTCAAAGAGTCGAGGCGTCCTTTTCTGTGATCTCCGATCAACTTGCCGAACGTGATCCTCCCGTATGGGGAGATGCTCGTGTCCAACCGTAATATTATTATATATAATGCCTATGAATATATAAATAATATTCATAGGCTGTAACCTTAAAAAGAAGAAACCGGTATCAGTCACTTCGTAACCTTTAATATAGGTTGCTTTAACCAACTTGGTTAAATTACCCTGGTCACGAGAGAGGGAGTGAGGTGTTTGAATGGAAAACTGTTTGTTTGAAAAGTGCTCGAAACTTTGGGAACCACTGAATATATTGTCAAAGGGATTGATTAAGGGATTTAAAAATCGGCTAAAGTAGTCTATGTTGTATCGCAAGGCTTTTTCTTGGGACCATTATTATTTGTCATCTATGCCCAATAGTAAGGAGACAAAGGTCTCAATTTGTGCTGATAAGATTCTTGTTAGATCCTTAATTAATTTCTTAATTTCGCGTATAATGTTCATGTAACACTATAAAAATATATCTCTACATAGTATAAAACAAAGTCGCTACTACTACTACTATTAAACTACGCAACGGATTTTGATGCAGTATTCATCAATAGTCAAAATGATTCAAGGTGAAGGTTTATATGTATTATTAAGACCGATTTACACTTCGACAAGTACAGTAGCGAGTTAACTTGCGAACCTGGCGAGTTAAGTTTGAACCTCGTTTGAACGGCAAAAAAGCGAGTTAAGTAGCAAGTTAACGATTAAGTTTAACGGGATAGCCGGCCGAGCTATTTTTCGGCGAGTTAAGTGCGAAATGTTGCCGTCCCGCGCGTCTCGCGCCACCCGCAACTAAACTCGCCGTGCGTGTAAACGAGCGAGTTTAGTTCACTGCATAAGTTGACAGGACGCAGCGTTTGCGTGCCAAAACGTACAATTGTACTTTTATAATGAAACTCGCCACTAAGTTTATACGATAGTGTTTATTGAATATTTATACGTTTTATATTGAGTTTTAATATAAAATTGACGGAAGATATCACGTATACATTACAGGAGTATTTAGAACACGAATGTTTATATAATAGTAGAAGTTCAAATTGTAAAATTAAACCTGCTCGAGATGCTGCACTCATAAAAATTCTTAAAAACTTCTTTAAAAATAACCATTTATATTTCTCGGACTAGATCATGTAATTATTGACGTAATACTAGAACCATTTTAAACGAAAACCAGAAAAATTCTGTAGTCTTGAAGCGTCATACTCCAACGAACTCTATGAACTAATGTCCTTAACTAAGCTCGCCACGAAGACATTGTTTGAACGCTACTGCTCACTTAACCGTTTACTGTCAACTGTCCTGTAACTTAATTCGCTACTGTACTTATCGAAGTGTAAATCGGTCTTTATACATGCATATGTTGTCGAGATCCAAAAATCACTCGTGCGAAGCTGGGGTGAATCGCTAGCCTAATATTATGAAAAAAAATTAAATTAACAACCCTTCTAGTTGTGTTCTTTTCATTGGACATCACTTTATAATCAAATAAATCAAAGCCCCAAAACACAACAAAAATGTTTACATATATCGTAGTAAAAACGCTTAATTTTTAACTGTTATTGTTCCAAAACATGTTCATGTATGAGATATTTGAGGGAAGGCCATGTGCGATGATCAGCGGCAAAACCCACCTCGCTTAGTTACCATCTGAACCTAAACATTTCTTAGATAATATTTGCGGTAAAACCTCATTTGACATATTTAAAATGTTTATAATTATTAAAACTTTAATAAGATAAGTTACAATTATTATGCCTTGCTGTAAGCATCGAAAAAGTCGTCTAAACATCGACGGGTCAGACAAAACAGGTAGGAAAATAAGCATCTCAAACGATGATATAAAAAAATCTAATTCATGAGCTATGCGATTAAAGGAAATCCTTGAAAATTTAAATACTCTTGGCCAATAGCAGAAATCTTTGCATTACATTACTTTGCTAATTATAAATGTGTATTTTAATGTATATTTTAGGTACCACATAGAACTGGTTAAGCTGCTGACGTGCTGTACATTAGGCAAGAACGTGTACACGGAGATCAAGTGTCACAGTCTTCTACCGCTAGACGACATCGTGGCAATGATCACGCATCCTGACTGCATACCAGAAGTAATAATAACCTTAATTAATATTTCTTATGACTATAGCACAAATGCTATAACGGCTCAAGTGGAAGAACCACACTCTACTATAATATCATTTGAAATAGCACCATAATTCTGCTAGGTTTCGTATGGTGAGTGACAAAAACCTTAGACCATTTAGAATAGAATAGAATAAAATTTAAACTTTGTTGTATTGAAATATTTTATTAATCGACATGGTGTAGCAATGCGTCTATATGTCGATTCTTATCCGCAAAATAAAATAAAAAAATTGCAGTCATTAAGGGCTATCGACGGAAGTGAAAACTTAAAACTTTAATATGATTAATAACAGTGACTTAAAATTAGGAAATAAACAATAATTTTATAATCTGTAATTCCACTGTTGTCAAAGTTCAAGAGTAACAAATCATAGATGTACTGTTAACATTAGCATGTTGGTGACGCGAACTCTATAAGATTTTGCCCGTACAAAAATCGCCCAATGCGTCATGAGGCTATGTCTAGTCCATACTCGTTTTAATCTATTGATGGTAAAGATTTTTGATTGTTAAATACAATTTGTTGGACAACAGGTGAAGGAAGCGTACGTTGGTTTCCTGAACCACTGCTACATCGACACAGAGGTGGAGATGAAGGAGATCTACTCCAGCAACTACATGTGGGACCTGTTCGAGCGCTCCTTCCTGCAGGACATGCAGGCGATACTGCAGAGCGACGGCGCCGCGCATTCCGCGCCGAGTAAGTATTTATAATTGATTATACATAGGTACTTGTATTTATTTGTAGACAAAAAACGACGGGTTGCACTCCGGGAGTGCCGACAGAAGTGAAAACTTGAATATTAACGTGGTGCATTTTTGATATTTTGGAATGGTTGGGAAATAATTTTGCACGAATTGCTTTAATTATCAGTATAAAAGTACTATCCCCCCCCCCCTATTATCCCGTGGGTGTAGTAAGAGGAGACAGAGGAAAACATATCAGGAGACGGGCATCTTCCTAATTTCTGAAAATAAAGGCAAATATCCCCTTAAATAAAATAAAATGAAGTTATCCGCGTAGGTACGTCCCGCGAGGACGCGTCCTCGACGCAGAGCAGCCCGGCGGGCAGCATGCACCGCGCCTGGGCCGGCTACGTGACCGACGTGCTCGTACACACCATCTGCACGTTCTTCAACTCTCCCTTCAGCGACCAGAGCACCACTGTGCAGGTAAACTATTCTCGAAGCAGAGCAGCACGCACTACACCTGGGCTGGCTACGTGACCGACGTGCTTGTGCACACCATCTGCATGTTCTTCAACTTGCCCTGCAGCGACCAGAGCACCAGCGTGCAGGTAAAATATTCTCGAAGCAGAGCAGCACGCACTGCACCTGGGCCGGCTACGTGACCGACGTGCTCGTGCACACCATCTGCACGTTCTTTAACTCGCCCTTCAGCGACCAGAGCACCAGCGTGCAGGTAAAATATTCTCGAAGCAGAGCAGCACGCACTGCACCCCTGGGCCGGCTACGTGACCGACGTGCTCGTGCACACCATCTGCACGTTCTTTAACTCGCCCTTCAGCGACCAGAGCACCAGCGTGCAGGTAAAATATGTCTCGAAGCAGTGCAGCACGCACTGCACCTGGGCCGGCTACGTGACCGACGTGCTCGTGCACACCATCTGCACGTTCTTTAACTCGCCCTTCAGCGACCAGAGTACCAGCGTGCAGATAAAATATTCTCGAAGCAGAGCAGCACGCACTGCACCTGGGCCGGCTACGTGACCGACGTGCTCGTGCACACCATCTGCACGTTCTTTAACTCGCCCTTCAGCGACCAGAGCACCAGCGTGCAGGTAAAATATTCTCGAAGCAGAGCAGCACGCACTGCACCTGGGCCGGCTACGTGACCGACGTGCTCGTGCACACCATCTGCACGTTCTTTAACTCTCTTTATGCGCAATTCCGACTCGCACTTGGCCGATCTTTTGACATAATATTTATTTTTACAAGATTCTTCATGGCAGCAATGAGAATTATAATTGTTTTAAATTTGTATGGTTCTTATGATTATTTTTTCTAATTTATAATGCACTTTTCCCATTAAGTTACTGTGCTATGAATTGACTGGGTGTAAATCCCTGAAGGCCATTAGCCTGCCATTTAGAAGCGAATAGTCACATTCCTCTATAACTCATATGCCGTTCCTTAAATTTATCAAAATTCGTGACTGTCATAATATGACATACATTAATATATCATTAAAGTGTTTACTGAAACAGTTGTAGCAGCCAGATTAATCAAACCGAAACGGGAATAAATAATATATACTCCGCTGCTACCATAACGCGGAAGGCGAGAATAAATAAAAAAAACATTTTATTTCCTAATTATTCTTGGCTACTGAGATACTGCGGACTGTATATAGATAATTTGACGTTCTTATAAAGAAACAAGAAGCAGCCGCAAATATCATTCAGAGCCACACCGACTTCACACGCCGCTATCGTCACGTATCCGTCGACCAATGGTGAGCCGTTTCTTCAACGCCGCAGTTCGTTTCCTCTTGCTGTTCCGGAGCTGTATTCCACACCGCCGCCGCCCGCCGACTACGCGTGCGCACCGATCTGCATGTCTTATATAGCCCGGTCCAGCGACGTAGCTTCGTGAACAACAAACAAGTCTCACGCCGGGAAACGAAACGTAGATAATTGTATATTTTAAATAGTTTTCATTGGTCATAAAATAAGCAATATAATTGGCTAGGCAAAATATTAATTGTTACCATTGGCAAATCAATAGTGAGCCAGCCATATAAATATAGGCAAGGTTGATGCAAAAGATATTCCATTCCATTCCGAATCCCATTCGACAGTACATTCATAAACATAAACAGTAGTTTCATTTCTCCACCTTAAAGAAAACCACTCGGAGTCTGTTAATAGTGGACAGTTCGTCTCCACTATTACAGTGGTGACCCCGTACGAACACCGAGGGGGAAGATCCGGTACGAACACCAAGAAGGAACACCCTGCGACGTACCACTACTATTGCACGAACACCGCGAAGGAAACCCGTACGAACACCGAGAAGGAAGACTTCAGTTTATATAAAATCAGTGTAATCAAGCCGTCATTATGGAGCAAAAAGGCGAACACATATACATCAATTGTCGAGGAAATTCGAAAGTTATCACACGAAGTCGCTGCACTCAAGGCTTCCTAGCATCACACCTTTTACCAGCAACAGTACAACCAGCGCAATCAGCAACACCGAAGATCACCTTTTCGTCGCAACCGCTCTGCAAGTAGAAGTCGAATAAGCTCAACATCAAGATCCCCTTACTGCTACTATCATCGACGTTTCGGGGTCGAGGCAAGAAAATGCACAGCACCGTGTACATTCAAAAATGAAAATACGAATACGGAAAACTAACTAGTACGCTCGATGCGACGGGATCCAGCGTAACAGCAAAGTCCTACCGTCTTTTCGTCACCGATAAAAAAAGCAAGCTCACTTTCCTTATCGACACCGGAGCAAATATCTCAGTGTTACCGCCGAAGCAAGGACAGAAGTTGAAGCCACTAGATTTTCAACTCTATGCAGCAAACAATACGGTTATTCCTACATATGGAGAAAAAACAATGGAACTTGATTTTAATCTACGCCGACCATTCAAATGGAGATTTATCGTCGCTAAAGTCAGCAAACCAATCATCGGTGCTGATTTTCTTCAACATCACCAGTTGGTCGTCGACATCAAAAATAGAAGAATCATCGACGGGAAAACCAATCTTGCATCTCAGTCTTTTGTACAAGCAACCAATCTGCCCACAATAAGAAGCATAGATGTGCAACAACCGTATCACAAGATCCTCGAAGAATACCCTGGTATCACAAGAATAACTTCAATGAAATTAACACCGAAGAACGACGTTGAGCATTTCATCGACACCAATGGACCACCACTTCATTGTCGTGCACGTCCAATCGCACCACACCTATACGAGCAAGTTCGAAAGGAATTCGAAAACATGATTGAGCAAGGAATATGCCGTCCAAGCAAAAGCCCTTGGTCATCACCACTTCACATTGTACCGAAGAAGAACGGAGAATTACGAGTTTGTGGAGATTACAGAAGACTGAATTCTATTACCACTCCTGACCGATACCCAATACCGCGAGTCAGGGATTTCACTCATCAACTATCAGACAAGACTATATTCTCCACCATCGATCTCAACCGAGCTTACCAACAAATAAGAGTCCGCGATGAAGACATAGAGAAGACAGCAATAATTACCCCAATGGGATTATTCGAATTCCCAAGAATGATCCCAGGATTAAAGAACGGAGGTCAAACTTTCCAAAGATTCATACACGAAGTACTTCATGGACTGGATTTCGTTTTCGCATTTATTGATGATCTCCTTGTTGCAAGCCCTGATAAAGAAACGCACGAAACCCATCTACGCACCGTGCTACAGCGATTAGAAGACAACGGAATCACAATCAACCCTTCGAAATGCATATTTGGACAGCAAGAAGTTCAATTTCTTGGTTTCACCGTCAGCAAGGAAGGAATAAAACCGCCTGCCGAAAAAGTCAGAGCAATCATCGATTATGCAAAACCTAAAACTATCGAAGAGCTAAGGCGTTTTCTTGGGATGATAAATTTTTACAGAGAACACATACCTAAAGCCGCTGAAATCCAAGCACCACTTCACGCCTACCTTCACAACACGAAGAAAAAAGATAAAACGTCAATCGAATGGAACGATGAAGCCACGAAGGCATTTGAAGCTTGTAAAATTGCGATCCAAAATGCAGCTTTACTCGCTCACCCATCACACGAAGCAACCCTTGCTATCTTCAGCGACGCATCCGATCTCTCAGCAGGAGCAGTTCTCCAACAATACAGCAATGGGAAATGGCAACCACTTGGATATTTTTCGAAGAAGTTCTCCGATACTCAACGTAACTACAGTACATTCGACCGAGAGCTACTCGCTATTTACATGGCTATCAAGCACTTCAGAAAAACGTTCGAGGGTCGAAACCTGATCGTTTTTACCGACCACAAGCCATTAACATATGTACTTCCAAAGAAACCATCACTATCGGAAACACCACGAAGAGCAAGACAACTTATTTTCATAAGTGAATTCACGACCGACATACGTCACATCAGTGGAAAGGACAACATAGTTGCCGACGCACTCAGTCGCGTACCAATCGACAGTGTAACGTGCCCTACATCAATCGACTATCATAAGATCGCCGCAGCACAAGACAGAGATAGTGACAACATAAAACATCTATCGAAGCAAGGTAACTTGTCCATCAAGCAAGTTACAATGCCAATGACGCATCTACCTATATACTGTGAAGCCTCAACGACAACCATGCGACCATACATACCAGAAGAATGTCGTCGCGAAGTCTTCAATACACTGCACAACATTAGTCATCCAGGTGTTAGAACAACAAGAAAACTCATCACTGAAAAATTCTTTTGGCCTGCAATGCAAGCGGATGTTGGCAACTGGGCGAAGCAATGCATTCAATGCCAAAAATGCAAAGTACAAAGGCATACATCAAGTAGTCTAGCTACATTTCCACCCACGGAGAGATTCGAACACTTGCACGTTGACATCGTTGGACCATTACCTACTTCACCGCAAGGACATCGTTATCTCGTAACAATGATCGACAGAACAACAAGATGGCCAGAAGCAATACCTACCGATGATACTTCAGCCGAATCCGTCGCGAAGATAATTTATGAAAATTGGATTACTCGTTTCGGATCACCTAAAACCATCACAACGGATCAAGGAAGGAATTTCGAAAGCAACCTATTCCTCAAACTTCTTCAAACTATGGGAATACAGAAGACGCGTACAACAGCATACCATCCTCAGTCAAACGGAATAATCGAACGATGGCATCGTACATTAAAGACTGCACTCAAAACTCGTTTATCTCAACATACAAAGTGGATTGATGAGCTACCTACAGTGCTACTCGGACTACGAGCAACACCGCGTGCAGACACTAGTCTTAGCGCCGCTCAGCTAACCTACGGCTGCAGCATAAGGCTGCCGTGTGACTTCTTCAGTTCAGCAGCGTCAAACAAACAAGAAATGGATTACGATTTCGTAACTAAACTTCGAGAATCAATTAACAAAGCCTTATCGTTGAAATGCACCGAAATGCAATCACACAGAAATAATAAATCAGTATTCATTCACCAAGATTTGAAAACATGCAAACAAGTTTTTGTAAGAAACGACGCAATGAAAAAACAATTTCAACCTACCTACGATGGACCGTATAAAGTATTAGAGAGAAATAGCAAGACTTTTAAACTACAAATACCCGGAAGGAAATCTACGATTATATCGATCGACCGACTAAAGCCAGCCTATATTATTAACGAGGATACTGCAGAGGATTCATCATCATCATCAAAACCACCAGCGAGGAAGCTTGAAAATTCATCATCTACATCAACCCAGTTGAAACCTATTTTAAAAACTACGAAATACGGGCGAGTCGTCAAGCCTCCGGTACGCTTTCGCTGGGGGGAGAGTGATGTAGCAGCCAGATTAATCAAACCGAAACGGGAATAAATAATATATACTCCGCTGCTACCATAACGCGGAAGGCGAGAATAAATAAAAAAAACATTTTATTTCCTAATTATTCTTGGCTACTGAGATACTGCGGACTGTATATAGATAATTTGACGTTCTTATAAAGAAACAAGAAGCAGCCGCAAATATCATTCAGCGCCACACCGACTTCACACGCCGCTATCGTCACGTATCCGTCGACCAATGGTGAGCCGTTTCTTCAACGCCGCAGTTCGTTTCCTCTTGCTGTTCCGGAGCTGTATTCCACACCGCCGCCGCCCGCCGACTACGCGTGCGCACCGATCTGCATGTCTTATATAGCCCGGTCCAGCGACGTAGCTTCGTGAACAACAAACAAGTCTCACGCCGGGAAACGAAACGTAGATAATTGTATATTTTAAATAGTTTTCATTGGTCATAAAATAAGCAATATAATTGGCTAGGCAAAATATTAATTGTTACCATTGGCAAATCAATAGTGAGCCAGCCATATAAATATAGGCAAGGTTGATGCAAAAGATATTCCATTCCATTCCGAATCCCATTCGACAGTACATTCATAAACATAAACAGTAGTTTCATTTCTCCACCTTATAGAAAACCACTCGGAGTCTGTTAATAGTGGACAGTTCGTCTCCACTATTACACAGTTTAATAATATATTAATGGTTATGTTCCCATTCGTCATTACAGCCCTCTGTACCTATTAATTTTTAAATATTTTTAATGTATAAATATTACGTTTTTGCTTTCATTGGAATTATTGAAAGTAAGTATGTTTATTACCTACTAATAGCCAAGAAAAAATTCTGATTAGCTTTAAAATTTTAATTATATTTATTTTTTGGTTACAAATTGATCTGCAATTTTTTAATATAAAATGTAAACTGAGTTGACAAACGAACTGTCAGTCTACAAACAACCTGGACTCCTGCAACCAACTTCAAACAAAGAATGCTATAGATGTGTTCTCTCCTCTTAGGACTAAGATAGTGTGGCTCACAATCTGTTGTTATACTAGCTCTCTGCACTCTTCTGACCGTAACACAATTGTGTTACGGTCAGAAGAGTCAGAAGCACGCACTGCTGCTTAGCGGCAGTCATACGTAAGAGGGTGATATATACCCAGAGGGACTCCTAGGCACAAAAGAAGTCGTACCACCTAGTTATACCTGCGGAGTTTGTTTTCCCCGTTTCTCCTCCTTACAATATGAATAAAAATGTAAGTAATAAATATATAACGATAGACGATATTTAAAGCATATCATGATTTTTTACTCCCCGCTATGACAACCAATGATTTTCAAAAATCGGGAAGCAAGTTGTTTCACCCCGGTTTTCGAAAATCGAGTTGTCATCAGAACTCCACGTTTTGAGATCCTAGGAAGCCGTTCTGACATAGAAAAAGTCTACTTTTTTTACATACACACATACCTACAGATGTGTGTGTGTATGGATGTATGTAGCCCTCTCATAACTTTTGAATGGCTTGACTTGGCTGCGTTCAAAAGGGCTTTACCAAACTTAGATTTTCTATACCATTTGAACGGATAGGGAAATATACTGGTATTTTGAGAAATATCAAAAATAAAATTTTCTTAAAAAGTTGTTTTTTGAAATAAGTTTTAAAAGAAGTGGAATTTAGAGCGCTTTGCATTTGACATTAGCGGGAAGTTCCAGGGATGGCCAGTTGGGCCTATCGTATTTTTTTTCTTAATATACTAGACTGGCGTGTCTAACAAAAGCTTACCTTGGGCTGTTGGTCAGGTGGTTGGCGGTAAAATTTTGTCCATATATAATATAATATTAAATTTTGTTTAAATAAAAAATGTAAATATCTAGATATAAAATTCTTACAGCAATCACAGTAACACTCTCGTAACCCTGTTCAGACGCGGCAGTCGATCTTCGTGAAGTTGCTGCAGACCACGTTCCGCATCTACCAGTGCCCGTGGCTCACTCCACCGCAGAAGCTCAACGTCGAGAAGTGCATACGGACACTCAGCGAAGTTGGTAAGTCATATTGATCACATACTTATTTAATATCTTTCAATTCACAGTGGTATATAAACAATAAATTATATAGAATACAAACGATTTCTAAGTACATATTTAAAAAAAAAAGGTTATGCCCATACCATAAATTTCTCCTGTATAGAAAAGGTGTCGAACAGATGACTTCTCCGCAATAATCCTTAAAAGAGTGTACTCGCTGTTGAGCAGAATGCATGGCAGCCGCAACAGTATTATGAACCTGTTCACCGAAAGATGTGACGGGCATATGCTAGATCATTGATTGATTTGATTTGTCCTCAATCAAGAATCAAAATGAAAATGCATTGTTGTCACCCCTGAGGACTAAGATGGAATGCCTCGATTCCAGTGAAAAGGGTGCTCCGGTTCTCTACACTCACCATATGAAACACAGCAGCATTAAGATTATATTTTATATAGAGTTGGTGTGTTTAAGAGAGACCATTGGTGGAAACGCAGGCAACTTCACTATGGCGAATGATATGGGTAGGTACCGCCTTCTTGCCTGTTTCTGCCGCCGAGCAGCAGTGCGTGCATTGTTGTGCTCCGTTCTAAATGATATAGATAGGCAATATGATTAGGAGGCATTCCGTCTTAGTCCTTAGAGGTGACAGCACTTCCGCAGTTTTCTTTGTTTGAAGTTAACTGCAGTTGTACGTTTGATGAAGAAACCACGTATCATCAAGTGGATTGTAAATTACGTTTGTCACTTCAGTTTAATAAAAAAAAATACGTGTGGCACTCGGTGACTGCCGCGGTAAAGCTATTGCATAGCATTTTTTATCAACTTACGCAATTATAATTATTATTTTTTTTAAGTTTTATGTTAAGTCTTTGATATTAAATCAAGTTACACTTTTTGAGCGTGGTGACTGATAAGAAAACAATTTTTTTTTCTCTTATTGAATAAATGAGAAGTTAATATTGTTTAAAATATTTTTAATATCTTACAATACATGTAGGTTATTCAGGAATTATTATCATTGAGTTAGCAGCTAGTGTACACGCATACGTCATACGTCTAGTCGCACGCACACAAACACCGTGCCGAAGTCTGCCGAGTGCTGAAGTCTGCCGAACTGAAACGACGTTTTTGTGTGGCTTTCAACGCCACACCTCCGTACCCGTCGGAGTGGGCAGCGTGAGGTTTTTTTCGTTACGGAATTTCTGGATTCGGTCCCCGCGCTCAAGGCCCGCGATAGAAGCTATGCGATAGCTTAAAACTTGATTGATCTTGAATATTCTCTAACTTTTTTTTTCACTAATGGTTTCACCATTTAAAACTGTTATGATATTTTTTGTAGTAACGCCACCAGTCTCTGTACTGTGTACTCTACTTGCTCGCCTAATACAATTTTAGAGAATAGTATTTCTGTACTAAATCAGCACTTAAAGTTTTTTTTCAACCGACTTCAAAAACGAGTAGGTACTCAATTCGACTGTATGTTTTTTTGTGTGTTACCTCAAAACTTTTTTCTGAGTGAAGCGATTTTGTCGATTCTTTCTGTTAAAAGCTGCTGCTTCTCTTGTGGTCCCATATAAATTTGATCAAGAGCTGATCAGTAGTTTTTGAGTTATCCTTAAAATAATGCGTATTTAATTGACGTCGAATACATTGATGATGTTCTCATTATATTTATATTAAAGTCGGTTATACAAAGTTTTTAATTTTACCACTTGTTTGTTAAAATCCTTTTGATATTCGTCTGTCGTAAATAACTCGTGATCTTATCCACAGAGAGATAAATTTTTTAAATTTTTATTATCCATAGCCAAAAGTCGTAGTATAGCAATACCATTGGAGTTAGAAGCGAAGATACAAACAGTATTTGAAAAGGCGGCCGCGCTCTCCAGACAGACCAGCAAATGGCTGCTTGCGTCCAAGACTTCAAAGCTGGAGAAAATGGCTTCACAGGTGAGGAATATAATCATATTTTTTAAACAATTACTAGAAAAAAACTTTTAACTAGCTTTGGGGATTTTATTCTAAAAAAAAATCATAAATGAAATTGTATTTTTGAAAATTGTATGTTGACTGTGATGATGGAAATACTTTTAATATTCACTATTGATGACATTTTTATTTTGCAAATCTGTATCACATGTACACAAAGTACTTAGTGTATTATTTCTAATTAAAAATAGTTAGAGACTAAGTTTTTGTTAATGTAAGTCGATGGATGCATATGCCTCGGAAGCGTGTTTTGTAATATTCTTGGCCTAAGTTCACAGAACACTTGTGTTGAGATGGTCAATATTTATTATAGTACTGAAAACTAAACCTGGATCTTGTTTTGAAGGCTTATGGAACTTGAATAATTCTAAAACAATACACTTTATTGTACACTATTGAAAAAATACAAATAAAATAAACAAACTTAATCAAACACAGCAATTTTCTTCAGATAATCAACAAAAAAAGAGAAAGAACTGGATAGGGGACTACCATATTAATAAACTAAGTGACAGATCAAGAAATAAAGAAAAGATCGCTTTTTCTCTGCGGGCTTTAGAACTAAATTTATAAAATTTATTTACTATTATTTATTTTTAATATGTATCTCATTGTCTCTAAACATAATAACAGTGGTATTTAAATGACAACTGTGTTTCCTTCTAAAAAGGCGGAAGAGTTGGAACAGCCTGACAACACTGATCCCTCGAGAAGTGAAGTGAGTTACTTATATTGAGTTGATGAAATGTCACTGTTACATTGACACCTGTTGATTTGGCACTGTTAAAATTGTTTCTCCTGCATTATTGGTGTCACGTGTGCCGTGTGTTTTTTTATTGTTTTCCCCCCTAATTATCTATCGGTTGTGCACTGCAATCAAAATAAGAAAAGTAATGACTCCATAAAATTGTGACGTCTTGACTGTTAATATAAACCAGTTAGATAGGGTGAGTAACACAAATATTTTTATTTACAAAGGATCTATGACTTTATCATATCGAATTATCTTATAGAAATATAACATAGGTTTATTTAGGGTTATAAAATATTCTACGGTTGTTATAAAAAAGTGTGTGATTGATTCCCTGTATTTATGATATAACCAAATTTCTCATCGTCTTCAAATATCACTATTTGCTATATTACCTATTGGTTTATTTTTGAAACCAATTGAAACTGAAATACATTTTGTAATACTAAAACTTATTTAAAAATAATTTTGAGAAAATAAAGGCTATTGACAGTTCTATTCTTATTTTGTTTGCATTATACCTAAAATTTAAATATATACAATATTTGTATGTTGTAAGATCTTTTTGAGTAATGAATATATAAGAAGATCACGTACCTCAGCATGATAAATATATTTAGTTATTTCTATAGTGGAACCACATTCAAGCTAAATTAGATTCAAAAGTATACATACGTTATAGTGTAGTTACACACTACACTATAACGTATATATACTTTTAGGCGGTTTAAGTATATCCACTACCTCACTTAACAGAGGGGGCAAACGGGCGTACGGCTCAGCTGATGGTAAGTGAATACCAGCGCCCATGAACAACTGCAACACCTGGGGAAAACGCAGGTGCGTTACCAGTTTTTTAGAAATGAGTTAAACTCTTCGGTCCGGAAAAACGATTCCAGAAGGGGGTTGTATGAGAAAGAAATCTTCTTTTAAAACGCACAGTGGTGGGTCACGAAGCATCCAGATAATGTAGATGGTATATTGAGTTTAGACTCAAGGCGCGTTTGTAAAATATGGCGGCTGGATTTAATCCGAATAATTCTTCAGAACACTCCACTCCACGTGGTAAATGCGATAGAAAATCAAAGGGATGCAATATCCCTTCGCAGCACCAGCAAATCGAGTTATTCAGAAAGAACTCGATGTTGAGTTGGTGGGAAGAAGTGTTTTTTACTAATGTGTCCAGCAGTTCGACGTAGACCGAACACAAAGCTTTATTGTGACAACAAAATACGAATTTTTGTGCGACAATGTGGTCGTAGCATTCATATTCCGTGATGGCGTCCGCAGTCGCATCTGCAGAACGAGCGGTCGGTGATGGAGGGGCTGCAGGAGATCGTGTCACTGCTGGAGGAGCAGCTGCGGCCGCTGCTGCAGGCCGAGCAGTCGCTGCTGGTGGACATCCTGTACCGCCCGCACCGCCTCTTCACGCAGCCCGGGCACCTGGCGCGACCCGACACCAGCGGCATTTTCATAGCCAGGTCCATACCAAGCCATTCCATCTTAGTCCTCAAGGGTGACAACGCTTCTGAATTTTGATTCTAAATTGACGATAATTGTAGATGTCTATACGTTACCAGCATCATTTAATATCAGGTGTGCTCGTTTGTCACCTTTTTTCTATGTTATAAATTTTAAAAAAAAACTACGCTAGTCACGATTGAATCGAATCGACCGGGAAAGGACCTATTAACGTAACATAGCACCATTATAGTGCTATGTTACGTTGGTATTCTGTGCCAATAGATTTCTTTCAGAGAACCGTTTTACTGAAAGTTTACCGTCTTAATCCTCGGGGGTGACGATGCATCTGCATTTTGATTCTTAATCGAAGATATATTTAGGTATCTATGCAGACCACAATATTCACTATTCACTTCAGTCGGAGTATGTGCTCGTTTGTCACTTTTATTCTAGAAAAAATAAGATAACTAAAACACGAGATGGAAAGAACTTAGAGAACTAAGACATAAAGGTAGACCTGCCTGAGTTTTCAATATTATTTATATACGGATTCTACAAACACTATACTTGTTTGTACAATTTATACTGATAAATTGCTCAGATGATTTTATTGTTAAAAAAATATGTCCATTTTCAGATTAATACGACACACTGAAAAACTACTTGAAGAGAAAGAGGAAAAGTTGTGCGTGAAGGTTTTGCGCACGCTCAGGGAGATGATGGCGGTGGATCCCGAATATGGCGAAAAGGTAGGAATTATAAGTTTTTTTTTTAACGTTATCCCCACAATACGATTTTATTCTGTATCGTGGAAGCAGTTTACAAACATAAATTGCACAAGGACAAACATCCAGACTCGGATTTTTTTGTAAGACATACAAATATCTGTTCCGTGCGTGATTCAAAACCGCGGCCCTCAGTGCCGCAATTCCATGCCAAACCACTGCACCATGGAGCCGTCATCAGTTGACACCTTCCAGGGTCAAGGAAAAGAACTCGCTATGTTCAAATTCAATCAGAAACCAACATTAATACAAGTATTATTTTTCCAGGGCAATCAGCTTCGCAACAAACTACTGTCACAGTACTTCGTGAATCGCAAATCGGAGCCGAAGATCCAACCCCCACAGCCCTCGCTCACCGTCACGCACGGGCCCGGTGGTAAGGAACAAATTTATACTTCATGCTAATTTAATATAGAGGATTTCATTGATAACTAATAGCAGGGAAATTTCAACCGTAACATCGATACTTTAAGTCAGCTTTTTCCATACAGTTCAATAAACAGTTTATATTTTATTACTTTATTATCATATATATCATAAGATTATTTATTACTTATAAATATACAAATAAGATATTTGGTTGATAGTATATGTTGATACTATGACATCAATCACTGGTATTTTTATATACAATTTATACTAGAAAAATGGACTGCTGATAAAATTTTCCACCATTTCAATTGACATAAATGTCTACTCTATTAAAAATTCGCAACTGATGGATAAACAAACCAAACACTATATATTAACATTTTAATAAAAAATTACCTCTATATGCTAAAATATATTTTAATTTGGAATTTAGAAGAAAGAAATATGACACAAAAGAGTGAAGTGTTCGATTTGCAATATTTATTCCAGTCATTTATATTATATGTAATTAAATTTAATTAATTATATTATTTTAAAATAATTTAAGTTTTCAATCAACTCCTCATGTTTTAAATATTTTTATTGAAAACAAAGCCGAAACTACATTTAGTACCGAGCAAACATAGTTGCCACGCAGTTACATAGTATTCCAATTACAATACTAATAGCACATTTAGATTTAGAAGTGTCCAGCACATTGTTTAATATTATTTTAATTAGAAATTATTAGTTTTCACGGTAGATGAAGATTCTTTAAACAAAATAATCTTCAAGAAATAACTCCATATTGGTGCGCGGTATGAGTCGTGACCACTAGTGCAGGTAAAAAGATTGCTGGATAAAGGACGTGAACACTCCTTCAGATTCCTCCTTCGATTTTCGTCATCCATCGGATACTTGGTGACTAGTGTAGACGCACTAACTTGGCCCCATTACTGTTGTTCTGTACTCACGACTCGTGCTGATATTAACATATTATTACATATTTAAAGAGTTGTTTTCATTGTTTGTGACCACTATATTAAATAAAATAATACTGAAGCATTAGTAATATTACTTATTTTATAACAAAGGCGGCCAGCGAAGTAATTCACAAAAGTGTATTTGATTGGTTATATAAATTACTCGCATCATCGTCCCTATTCGGTTTATATGACCTTTTGGTTTTGCTAAGTCGGTGTTAAAACCAGTGGGTTATGATGTGAGTGGTGTATATGTCTCAGCCAACCAACTTCATTAAACGTTGTATTACTAGCCTAGCCATTACGTGGCACGGTCACTCTGTTACTCTGTGCCCTTATTAGCGTATGTGCTATATTATATAAATATACGCGGCTTTAGGGTGGCTCTTGGATCACCCTAGTAGTAGTTAGTAGTTACAGCCTATATACGTCCCACTGCTGGGCTCAGGGCTCCCCTCATTTCTGAGAGGGTTTAGGGCAAGGAAGTGTCCGCCGCGCTGCCCAAATGCGTATTGACGAACTTCACATGTCTTCGAAATATTTTTTTTCTTATTCCTCAGACATGCAGGTTTCCTCACGATGTTTTCCTTCACCGCCGAGCACGTGGTAAATCAGCACTTAAAATTGCAATTAACAATTTCATTGGTGCCGGCGGAGATCGAACCCGGGTTACTCGCGTTCTGTTATATTTACAGCGAGCGTTAACCACTGAGCTACAACGGATCACCCTAGCCGCATCTTAACCTACTGCCGCTGATATTGGCTTGACTGTTAATTGAACGGCTAATTAAGCTTTAGCTGCGACATATATACATAAAGCAACAGTATAAATATGATTAAGTATATTATAAAATACCTTTAAATTAATAACTTGCATATTTTTTAAAGTCTGATAATAAATAAAATATGAATAAAACCAAAAGCAAACACACGACATCGACCGCGATGATGCAAGTATTTCAAATAGTTATCAAGCTTATAGTGATAACGGCCTGCTCTAGAATTGTGTCTTTATTCGATTGCGCATGCGACGCAGCCTCACACGTGCAGCAGCTGAAGCCGGGTGGGTAACCATACAATGTCACATGCTATGTGTGTTCCTAAAGCCCATATTACACTGTGTTATTTTTATCTTTCATTTTCAATGAATCATTAAAAATGATAGCAAAATAAATGATCTAAATTGTTCGTTCATCGTGAATCGACATTACGCATACCCGATAATATTATTTTAGCTTAAATCCAATGACTCATCGGCATCTTTGATATTAAACAAAAAATTCCCTTTTCACAATCTGACAACCTGGTGGTCTGCGGGTTTTCACTCCTTTGTTCTCTGGGATTGTAGTCACACAATGGCTTATAATAAGTAAAATTTAATGTAAATATAAGAAAAAAAATCGAAAGCACAAAAACTCACGTTTTGTATTTTATTCAAATTATATAATTTCATGAACACAATTATTTCTACATAGACATTAGACAGTGTTCGTTTAATATTTATTAGGCATTTAGGATGTGTTTCAATAAATGAACGATGAAATGGAAAAAATATTAGTACGTGTAAATTAAAACAAATTTCATTGATCAAAGCGAATGAAGATTTACTAAAAATGATTCACTGAGGATGTAACGTCTTCTATCACCGTAATGCATGCTTCTGTTGTTGGTGTTGTTTGGATGTTTTAGTGCTCTTATTAAAACGGATTTTATAATGCACAATATGTACTTATATACATATTGTATGTTTCTTTTAAAATTGAACATCAAACAGCTTTACAACTTTATGCAGTAAGATTTAACGTTTTAACACAAAATATTTTTCATAATTCGTTTTAAACGTGGCACGGCACTATGGAGACATTGCATCGTATCTTTTTAGGCCGTGGTTGCAGTTTTATATAAGCTATGTAGAATACGACGTACTGTTTCTACAAAGTACCTATCATTTTGATGTCAATGAAGTTAGCAAATAGGCCTGCAGGTCGACGTTGTTCAGGAATACATCATCATGTACCAGGTAAGACATTGCCCACACCCGAGTCTAAATGACACATAGATACCGTGAATATAAACGTCGTATTTAAGGGTAGGTCGTAATCTACAAAAGTGTCGACATGAACCATGATTACAAGCGAAGCCCCAGTCACATATGGCTCTTTTTAATGGAAGTATATGAGAGCATAAAGCGACCGCAGTGGTAATTTCTTCGCGCAATTAGTCCGCAAATGTATGTGTCAGTCACAGTCCACCTGATGGTAAGTAGATTCTGAAGCTAATAGACATCTACATACATAATCCTCGATTAAGAATCAATATGCAAATGCGTTGTCACCCCTCAAGACTAAGATGGAATGTTTCGCATTCAGTAAAAATACTCTCCGGTTCATTGCTTTCACCATACGAAACACTGCAGCATTAAGCTGCTATTTTGCGCCAGTATTTTGTGGTTCTTAACATGTTGGAGCCAAGCTATTCGTGCTACAACAATAACATAGCTGTAGCGTGGTTCCACCACGTATAAAATAGTATGTGTGACACTGTCCCCTCATCTGTTGGATCCGTGTTGGTGCCTGAGCTTGGTGTAGTGGAGTCGGTATGCTGTGTGTGCAGCGAAGGTGCTGCTGCGCACTGGGCAGACGCTGGCGGCGGTGCAGGCGCACCTGGACCGCGAGGGCGCCTCCGACCTAGTGGTGGAGCTGGTCATCAACAGCACCAACCGCCCCGCCATATTCCTGGAGGCCATACAGCTGGGTCAGTGCACCACTCTTACAATACCACTTTCATTTCAGCCACTAAACTCAATCTTTTTTATACGCTTTTACTACTTTCATTCTTTTTTTTTATTTTAGTCACTACGAGAATCTCTTGTAAAGACATTTCACAAAGATGTCATCCATTATATTGGTTAAGGCCTCTCAAATGTTCAATGCTGATCATGGGTCTCCCCCATAGATTACCTCAAATGTAGACGATTTGCCATAGCTGCCACGTTGGCAAGTAGTTTAACAACCGCATTTTTATGATGATTCAGCTATTATCAGGATGGCCCATCTCCTCGTTCAGCTTCACTCTCTCGCCTCTTATGACATCCTCGGAATGATACGGGATAGTGGATATTTTTAAACTGCCACTACATGATTGCACAATCACTACTGTATGTTAGATAATAATTTGAAAGTGCGAACACCCCCATATGATACGTATTAAAAAGGAATACCTTTTGTGAACATGTCGCCTCATTTTCACTTGTGATATTGCGCTGATCGACAGACTGCTCTAAAGATCGACTGATGGCGGAACATCCATCAAATCACAACCTTTATCATACAGAATGATGACAAGGGTAGCATAACTTAGACCCCCTGAACATAGACCTCTCCCATTGCCTCATGAGAGGAATTTTGCCATAGTGGCCACGCTTGACTGACGAGTTGACAACCGCAGTTTTTTACAATTTTGAGTTGTCATCGGGAAAATGCTGCTGCCCATCTCTTTTAGTTTTCATCTGTCGCCTCTCAACTCACGGGATAATATGTGGGATATTTCAAGATGTATATTTACATATTATTAGAAAGTTTTATGTTTTTTTTTAAAATAGGATAGACTGACAATCGAGCACACAGTCCACCTGATGGTAAGTGGTTGCGGCCCATAGACATCTACATCTATCTTCGATTGAAAATCAAAATGCAGATGCGTTGTCACCCGTGAGGACTAAGATGGAAATCCTCGTTTCTAGTAAAAAGGGTCTCCAGTTCTCTACACTCACCATACGAAACATAGCACCATTAAGCTTCTATTTTACGCTGGTATTCTGTGAGAGCGTCGTCCTTCCTCGGACGAGCCGACCTATTCGCGCTACAACTATACTACTTAATATACGTACTATTAATATGCAGTAACAATTTATATTTGATTATCTATACGGTTGCGGCTCCAAAGAATCAATTAGTAACCTGTCTCGTTTGTGTAGTAATAAGCACATATAGAAATTTCCAGAAAAATCTCATGGCCTCCGATACCCATTTAGCAGTATCTAACATCATGTATGGCACTAAATTGTCCAAACTGGCGATGAGAAGCAGCATAAAAGTACGTCAGGTCTCTTGGTCAGGTACTTGCAATTGTAGGTCCGTCTGACAGGCATGACGATTACACTAGGTATCTACGCATATGGCCAAGTCCGGTAGACAATATGCGGCAATTTAATCGCCGAGTCGCTACTTGTTAATATTCTAATTTGCGAAGAATGGACTCAAATAGAACCAGTTGGTGTTAATATCTTTAATAAAATTTCAAATTAATGAATTCTTATTGTAGTGCCATTTATTTTAATGCTTAAACGACGTAATCTGTTGAGATTTACCAAAAGTCATTAAACTAAGTGGCACCAACCCCTTGATGATATGGTTTAATCACCATATCATGACGTGGTTTGTTGGTGGATATTATAGCCGTCATCATAATTTACATTGTTACATAATACTTTCTTCTTGATAGTACATAATGTAGCTAGATAGTACTTTATTTTATATTAACTAATTTCCATAAACTTGAAGTGGATTATTTGACATGTTCACAGGCATCGCTCTTCTGGAAGGTGGAAATCCTATAATACAACACAGCATATTCACAAAGTTACAAAACGGCGAGATATCTCAAGCGTTCTTAAAGGTGAGTTCAGTTTCAAAGATATGCCGTTATTTGTAACATAATTTTGATATTTAGTGCAGTAAGTAAAGTAAAACGGATAAAGAATGAGATTTGAAATGGCGGCTCATCGAGTCAGACTGTCAACCTGCACTACCAACTGCGAAAACTCGCTAATAACGTTATATCATTATAAAGTTATATTATTTAGCCAATTGGAATTTTTTTATAACTGGGAAAATATTTAAAAAGAATAGTACGTGCAAATAGGTACATTACTTTTAAAATAACATTTATAACTAGCGACCCGTTCTGGATTCTCCTGGGTGGGATCTGTTAGTGCGGCGTCATTTAGACTAAAGATAATCATTACATACCATTTATTTTATCTTATCAATATCTCTATTTTAATAACATCTCTAATTTTTTCGGATTAAATTTAGTCCAGAACACTCCTGGTATTGCTCTCTATTTGTTCGTGAAATGTTATTGCAAGCGGTTCAGCCATTCCGAAGATTAGCTTGAACAGACAGACAAACGAAAATTTTTAATATGGTTACTCATGTGTTAATGGCATGTAAATATTTTATACAAAAATATTAACAAACAAAATCTACAATAATTATGAAGAAAATTTTCAGAACGCGTCTAGCTCACAAATTAGCGAAACCGAACTGAATTTTTTAAATATTTTGTGGAAATTTGTTATCAGATTGATTCAAATGACAAGTTGGACTGAATTCATAAAACGTACGGAAAAACGCATCTCGCAAGGTATTTTTTACAGTTATTACCAGCGAGTATGAGTATAGATAGCGACAGTGTGAGAGAAGTGAAAAGAGGAGATGCCATTTCCAATAACATTCTTATTTATTTTTTATTTATTTATTTAAAAAGGTACACCAACAGTACATGTATACATATTATAAGAGTTACATTTATAAAGCACAATTCCTTATACATATACCTATTATAGGCGTACACAACATTGACAGAAGATCTTAAGTAACAACATAATATATATATCTGAAAATTTTAAAACAATAAAATAGTAAAGTTCACCAAAAAAAAACTAAAAACTTAACTAAGAACAAATGCCTCTTCACAAAGGGCCGGCCAGTTTTCGTTTAAATTTAAACTTAATCGTGGAAAATGTCAAATGTTTCAATATTCATCTCATTGTACTGCGCGCAACATCTGACGAGAGGAGAATGGCGTCCAAGGTTAGTCCTTACAGAAGGCAAGGCAACAGTTTTTTAATAGGATGTCGGGGTATGCGAGCAGGCACCGTCAATTAAACACGTTCTAGGAGCTCATTACATTTTATTTTACCGGTGACAAGTCCGTGCAAAATCACCAAATCCTGATCCCTTCGACGGCTACGCAACGAGTTCATTTTAAAAAAGTGACCGGTGTGACACGCCCTGCGTAATAAATGCCAAATGCCTAGTGAATGCACGCTGAATACCCTCCAAGCATTTGAGAGTGAACAGCATATACAGTGTTCCATGCCACGCTAGCGTACTCCAAGTTACTCCGGACCAAAGCATTGTATAATATTTTACGGGTGCAATTTAAACGGAAACCCGCAGTACTTCGCTTAAGAAAACCTAGCATTTTCGAGGATCATTTTCTTAAACCGCATGGCTAGTATATTTCTTTAATATACACGAAATGGGGAACGAATGAAAAAGTATTTTAGAGATAAGTACAACAGACCATCTTATCACTATGAAAGTATGTTTATTCCGGACAATCTTTGAATATTTATATTGACAGGGGAAACCTCAAAACCCGCCTCGCAAGTTCTTGGCAATGTGGTGAAGTATTCGTTATTATAATTGGTCACTTGATAACATAATTCATAAACAATTGCATTATATGTATATATGATGGCTCGCAAAAAGTACTTCAATTAAAATAAAATTTGAATTGAAATACTTTAGTTGTCTAAAGAAACATTTCTATAGAATTTGCGTATGTAGTGTTATTTTCCATTTGGTGTTTCATCACCACTTACCACCAGCTGGGATTGTTGTAAAGCATTGAATTATTAGCAAAACCTGTCTTAGTAGTTTTATGGACGAATTGACATCTTATTCCTTTTTTAAAATGTGATTGTTAATTATACTAAAGTGCCAAATTTGAATTATATGATGCAGTTATTGGATTATATGGTAGAGCCGACTATCCATTTGACTTGAGTAGCAACTGGCCTATTTGCTATTCAATATCTATTTTTATTAGGTATTCTACGACAAGATGCGTGAAGCTCAGCAGGAGATCCGCTCGGTGGCTACCAGCACCACGGCCACTAGTGGGACGGACAAGCGCTCGAGCATAGCCGATAAACACAAACCCGCCACCACAGAGGGTAAACTGAAATTTCTCTTTTTAAAACGTCTCACTTTGCAGATCAGCGTATTCAAAAAACATCTTGTTAAATACTGGAAAACATATGAGCAGTTTCTCATAATTAGAATAGGAATGACATTACGCTATATTGTGACGTCTTAGCTGTCAATATAAGACGTTTAGGTAGAGTGAGCAAAGCAGATATTTATAATAAAAATTAAATAGATTTATTTGGGATACTAGAATAGTCCACTTACTGTTATTAGATTTTAATTTAATTCCCTGTTTTATTATAAAGCTCTCATCATCATCTTTAAACTTCACCTTTTTCCAGTATTATTTTTTAAACAAATTAAAACTTAAATAGTTTTTGGAATACTATTCCTACCATACTTGTGTAACATAGCATAGGTAATAGCAGCAAACTCCACTTTGTGGATTTTGAATTTAAGGTTTTTTCCAAATACAGACGTTAGCATTTAATATAGCGTTTAATAATATCGGTAATAAGATTCGGTTAAATAACGTTGAAAAAAAAATGTATGGAATATAATTTCTTTTCATAACCATACTTGTTAAGTTCCAATAAACAAGTCGTGGTAATTGACATTCCTATTCTTATCTTGATTGTATTGTATATTATTATTATTATTACATTCGTTATTATTATTATTATTTGAAGCTCTAAACTAATTGAAAAAACAATCATATTCGAAGTTGTGAAATATTTGTTGTAACGCTCATCAATCGCAGATATGTTGACGACAAAGGTGACATAACGGATTCGCCATTTATTAAATTAAAAAAAAATTGCTACAGTGTTTCATAAATAGGACGTCCGTTTGTCGCTTCGCTACCATCGTCGCGAAATTAACACCGGTTGTTAATTCCGCAGACTACGTATTTTCCGCGGAACTTCTTTCTTGAAGCAATCTCTAAAAATTTGACATATTTTTATTTCAATTTTTGTTTTTCTTTAGTATTGTACTTTTTTTTACATAATCTTAGGTTCTGTATTTATGTCATACTCAAAGCTCAAACCTTCAATAAATGTGTATTCTTCTTAAAATAATTCATCAGTCTTAATGCAATCATCTTGTATACTAGATGCGAAAATACCGAGACTCGCGTAGTGACTCAGAGATGTGAGACGAAATGGAATGGAAATGGCGTTTTGGTAGCTCTTTTTTATCTTGAAGTTGTGTTTGGGCTAAAAGAGAATAAAGTCAGTATGGTTATATGCATAGGATACTATAATACACAATAGGATGGCTGTCAACCTTATTTTGTACGACAATAGGCGTCGTCGGGAGCACACATACAAGCAATTACGTTGTATTATCAGTTAATCACTACTACAGACCCGATTCGTTGTGTTGACAGACGGATTTTAATAAATATTTATTTGTAAATAGCGTGCAATTTGGCATTTTCTAAATAATTTGCATGCGAAATTTGAAAACGATTGTAACGTCAAAACACATCTCGTGTTGACATTTATACGAGTGAATTGACAAGTTAGTGGCATTTTAGTGGTTATACGACCTCCGCCCACTCCCCCGTTCTATTATGTATGTATGTATGTATTATTATTATTATTACTTAACAGGCTAGCAGTTAAAACAACTGATGTAAGCCCGTATCCTATTTTCAAATATGTAATTATTCTTATTTTAGATGTTTGTCTAATCTGTTCTTGAATTGGTTAATAGTTTGTGCAGATATTACTTCTGATGGCAGTTTATTGCATGCTTCAACCACTCTTTGGCTAAAAAAGTGCTTGTGTGGGTTGTTATGTGACACGGTTTTGGTTAATTTGAAGTGATGTCCCCTAAGATGTGTGTTGTTGAGTACTGGAATAAATCTCTGTCAAAATTTTCCAGATCGTAGTGTCCATGTATAATTTTATATGCTTCGATATAGTCTCCCCGTTCTCTGCGATCCTTCAGTGTCGTTAGTTTAAGCTTATTCAACCTTTCCTCATATGGTATGTTTTTCAATATTCTAGGGACCTTTGAAAATCTACGTTGAACTTTCTCCAGTAACTCAATATCTTTTTTGAAATAGGGGCTCCAGATTTGGAATGCATACTCCAAAATAGGTCGAATGTATGCCTTATGTATTTTTAGCATCATTTCTGGTGTAAGATGTCCGAAGGCTTTTCTAATCAGGTAAATAAAACTATTTGCTTTTTTTAGTTATAACTGTTATATGATGATTCCATTTTAAATCGTTACTTATATACACCTAAGTCTTTTTGTACTTTCACTTCTTCCAAAGGTATATCATGTTTTATATATTAAGAGGGTTCTGTTTCCTATATGGAGGACTGTGCATTTATTTATATTTAATTTAATAAGCCACCTTTTTGACCAATCTGATATTTTAATTAGATCTGCTTGAAGGCGATCAAAGTCCACTAGTGGGTTTGCGAATATCTTCGTGTCATCAGCGAACATACTTACATTACAACTCAAGCTTTTTGGTAGATCAAAGGTAAACAGTATAAACAATACCGGTCCCAGTACAGAACCTTGTGGCACATCGCTTTGTATTTCTTTTTCATCTGACAATGTATCGCTAATCCTTACTCTGAAGGTTCTTTGTCGTAGAAAACTCTGAATCCAAGTTAACAGTTTCCCTCGAATACCAACATATTCCAATTTATGTAAAAGCCTGCCTATTGGTATTTTATCAAAAGTTTTTTCGTAACCCAGATATATAACATCTATTGGTTCTCGATCATTTTGACTATGACCCAGGATGATAAGCAAGACATCAAGCTAGAAATCGTTGATCTATGAGGACAGAATCCATGTTGCTGTTTACCAATAGTTTGTTGTTTGTTAAGGAACTGCCTCGTGTGCTTAACTATTATCTTTTCCATGACTTTGCACACCACACTAGTTCAGCTTATCGGTCTATAATTTGCAGGATCTAATTTGTTTCCCTTTTTGTATACAGGAGTCACTAAAGCCGCTTTCCATAAATAAGGCAAAACTCCTTTGTCGTATGATTTTTGCATTACTGATGCTAGGTAACTATCAATTCCGCAGTTCTTTAAAACATGTACGGGTATTTCGTCGGGGTCAGGTGAAGAGTCTATATTCATTTCTTTGATAGCAGCTTGTACTTTGGATTCTGTGAACATATGTCCTCCATAACTTCAGTTGCTCTTAGGTTTGGGTCAAGCGCAGGAAGTTCTTCTAGTGGTTCTCTTTCAAATACATTAGAAAAATGTTCTGCAAATACTTCCGCTATGTCTTTAGAACGTGTCACAGATTGCCCATTACTGTTCCGTAAAATGTTTGGTGTACTAACTTTAGAGGTGATTTGCTAAGAAATTTTACTCGTACATAAGTACGAGTAAAATTTCTTTGGTCCTAGGTCTAATAGTTGATTTTCGTAAACTGCCCTTGCCGTGCGCTTTAAATTAGTCAGTTTGTTATTTAGCTTCCTGTATTCCTTATAGATTTTATCTGACCCTGTTACAGTATATCTCTTCCAAAGATTTTTTTTTCTCTCTTATTAACTCAGATATGTCATTTTTTATCCATGTTTTATTTACTTTGTTAAATGTTTTTACAAGAGGAACATGTGTGTCTATGGCATTAGTTATTGTTTTATGCATTATTCTAAAGTGTTCAACTGGACAAAGTACATCTTTAAACATTTTTTTTAAGCCGGAGTGAATTTCTTCTTTGATTTTTTTGTAGTCTCCTTTATTAAAGTTCTTTTTAGATTTAGATTGCTGCCTATTCTGTTGTGTTTGTAACTGTATAGTCGATACTAAGCATGCATGATCGCTTTTCCCAATTGCGGCCTCATAATTAATTCCAACTATCAAAGACTCATCGTTTGTCAAGATTAGGTCTAAAGTGGATGGCTGGTGACCCTGGCGAAACCTCGTATATTGATCTACCAATTGGTATAGATTGTTGTTGTTATACCATTGCAAGAAATTGGTTTCTCTTGGCAGTATATACACACAATTTTGAAAGTGGCCACTTGACTCCGCCAAAGTAGCACCCATTATTATTACGGTGCTTGACTGGGAAGCCAGTTCTAAATTTTGTAGGAGGAAGTTGTCATGATCGATAGTTGATTCGTGCCCTCTATATAGTCCACATAACAGTATTCTTTGAAAACCTACTTCAATGGTACTTACCTACCTACCTACTTCAACTTCAACTACCCATAAACATTCCCAAGAGTCATACTTCGTATTATACTGACTATTTCGCTTTGATGTCATATATAATACAGTCATATGTAACATTGTTCAATACATAAGTAGCGACTCCTCCACTTCTTTTATCAATACGATCGTCTCTGTATAAGTCGTAACCCGGTATCTTTATCAGTGAGTCAGAGGTATATTTGGTTTTAGCCATGTTTCTGAGAGGACTATAATTGATGGTTTTAGTTGATCAACTCTTGCAATGAATAAATCCAGTTTAGATGTTATCGATTGTATGTTTGTGTATAAGATTGTTATTGTCAAGAGTGCGGAAGGTATCGAAGATCGCGTTTTTTTGTTAAAAAGATTTACTAGTGAGGGTTGGTGAATTTGGACTAGTTTTTTATCTCCTGTTTACATATAATTTTAGGCTGCTCTTGTATATACTTGATAGTCAAGCCTTGTTCTCCATTATTAGTACGTTTCTCTAATTCATCACGGAGGTATTTTAAGTACTCGCGTTGCATGGCAGTTTGGTCTGATTTAATAATTGACGGTTTATCCAGTTTAGTTTTGTTAGGAAGTATCTCAATAGCATCTTTCTTAGACTTCATTACTACTTTAATGGGACGAGGAGGAGCCCCAGCTTGAAACTTACCAAGACGAAATAGTTTCACATTATCACAGCTAACTTTTTTGCTCACACACGTTATTATTTTCCTGCACTCCTCTTTATCATGCTCCTGCCTTTGTAAAGGTTTATCCGAGGTTGATTCTGGTACATCGTAAATTATTATATTGTTAGCTCTCTTAGTGCGCTCAACCAATTCTTGTATTGCTCCTTCAGTTACAAGCATGTTTTGACGTAATCGCAAGTGGTGTACTTCTTTAGTAAGTTCCTCCAGTTGTTTCATTATATTTGGTATTTGTGCCATTAGTGACTTACAATCGACACATAAGAAAGAAACGACTCGAGCTATTGTCTTTAACTCGAACACTCTTACTTCAGTTGGTGACATTCCATGACAATCACCACATAAAATTCTCTTGCAGGAGTCACAACTTACTTATAGCTTCTTGTCGTTTGTGGTTTTGCTACATTTAGAACATTTAAAGTTTTTTGGACTCATTTTATTTTTTTTATTTTTTTACTGATTTATTAGAAAATTTCTTGTAATGGCAACACTATTATCTATAGTTCGCTTTCATGGACAAAACCGGAAATCAATGATGTAAAAGAAATATAAAATTATGAAGGTAGATTTTAAAAGTTCGTAAGTAACGCGAATAGTTTTTTCAAAGTTTTGCACTTTTAGTTTATAATTACAGTGAGAAAACACTAGCACTAAACATCTTAAGCCTGCCTCATATCTTGATTGTACTTTTATAGCATGGAACACACTATTTGAATTTATTGGTACCAAATCATCAACAGCACTTGTACACACAACCACTTCAATTTGACAGTTTTTTATTATAAGTATTCTATGGTTATAGGCTTTATCCTCAGATGATATTTGTGATCTGTGGATATGGATTATGGACGCGTAGGCATACTTTTATAAATAACGTAGTTTATTGTAGTATATACTTTATATCACGTGAACTGTAAGCTCGTCTGATATTCAAAATGCTGAACATCGTGCATCTGACAGAGGACTACAGAATGATTACAATAGTCTTTGTTTTAAGTAAAATGTATTAATACAGAAGTTTGTTTACATCACTTATTTTATTTTTGCAGGCAAAGTGGCCCCAGGTCCGATAGTGGTCGGCGAGGACATGGACGACGAGGTGACCAACGCTTGCGGTTCCGCAATCCACGCCTACTCCGACATACACACTATGTCGCACGGTAAGCGCCATATAGTGCTGGTATTTTTTTAACTATTATAAGTCAGTAGTGACATCCCGACCCCTTTCAGCATACCTATCTACTGGATATAGGGATATAGCGTATATCCCTTGGGAAGTTTTTTTTTTAAATTGAAGTACAAACAAACTTACAAACCTCCTGATGACAGTAGCAACTGCAGCTCGTAAAGAAAACTAATCACATGTCGTCTTGACTTGAGAAGGAACTTTAACCGCTCGATTGCTTGCGAACAAAAAAACTTAGTTTGCCAATAATCGGGATTGTGTTTCTCACGTTCGACCCGCCGTCAATAAAACTTAATTTATGACTTACTCGAAATTCAGCACTTCAAATATTTTAAATTTTATGAAGAGCCATTGAAATAAGAAAAGGAAATACGTATGTTATTCTATCAAAATATGATTGCAATAATGTTTTAGAGGTGTTGAAATCACAAGTACAAGCCGTTTTATCGACTTTTTCTAAAAAATCGGGTTTATCAAAAAAATAAGATCGATAAGTGTATGATTATTTATTATACTCTTAAACTTGATGAATTACTTGATATACTTATCTATATTATAAAACGATTTATATTTAAATACGTAGTAAAAATATTAAGTGAAACCTGACGAAGAATTCACGGATTGCGCAATTGATGGCTATTTGTTAGTTACAATCTAGGTTGTTATTACATAAAAACTTATATTATAATATGATGAACAATTTATAAAACTTTATTACTTAAATTAAATAATTATATTCAAATACCACTACGACTATTTCGTATTTAAAGAATACAACATAATTACGATAACGTAAGCTATAGAAAATTATGTTTAGATTCGCGTCATTCTGAGTATTTTTAAAAGTCGACTTTATCACATTTTTCATTCACTATTTGCAAAAATATTACTTTAATACAAGAAAAAACTAATAAGACATTAATTTGGATTTAGACATTAATTATATAAATACTAGCTAAAGTCAATAAAATTCAATACTCACGGCATATTGTATCACCTCGTTAAATCCACTCAAGCGTCACTTCACTCACAAAAGTTTAACTAACAAAGTTTCAATATTTTTCGTCCAAGAGGTTAGTAATTTTTATCTTGATTCTGTTTTTGCAACTGTGGTTTCAAGAAGCAAACGAGCGATTATGAGCATAAAATTGTAAAGGCAAACCCCTGGCATACCTTTTAACGTGGTTGCGTTTCAATTTGAAAAATACTGGAATAGCACAATTCATTCAGATAGCCACAAGTAATTTTTGCACCATGAAGATATTTTGAAGTTATTTTTTAACCATAAAATTTAAAAAAAAACTAATGTAATACCGCTAAGCAAACCTTACGTGTGTTAGATTGGTGTGTGACCACGAAACGTTCTTTACACAATACGACATGCCTGCATGATTGAGTTGAACTGAACGCGGACAGAACGGGGAAAAACAATGTAGTTATACTCCTCAGTGTTTATTTATTTAATTTAATACATTATTTTTTTTGGTAGTTTGCTCTTTGCTATTAAATAAATAAAACAAAAAAATGATAAGAAAATTTTAGTTGGTTTTGAATTAACATTAAATGTAGAAATATAATTTCTCTGTAATATTTCATTTTATCTTACAACAATTTAGATTAGGTATAATTAACAATTGAGGTTAAAGCGGAGGGAAAGCCAATTAATAGCAAAGAAGTTTATCTTAGTTCAGGAGCGACACTAGACTTCTAGCATTATTTGTTATAAGTACGTTCTGGTATGAACGGGCTACAGGAGACGCAACCAGGTGGACTATCAAACCGTTTGTAACTCTTATAAAAATACTTGCTAAAAGTGGATTGAGAGCTCGCTTTTTGCTCTAATGTCATACATATTTCTTCATTATTTTCTTGTTACTTGGCAGCAGATCTGTGATTTATCCATTTATTTTCATTAATAAAAATACGCAGGAACCACGGTGCTGGAGGAGATAATGTCGGAGAAGAAGCGAGAGACTGGCAACGCGGACGTTCTGCCTGCGAAGGTGGCCGTGATGCGTCCCATACTGCGCTTCCTGCAGCTGCTCTGCGAGAACCACAACCCGGATCTGCAGGTTATTGTTTCCTCAATAATTTCCTCAGACCCATAAAGAAGTAAAGACTGAACATCCCACTCTTAGAAGTGAAGCATACAATATGGAGACGATTCGCCAATACTATAGTAATAAAATTTCATATTTCAGAACCTACTTCGGAACCAAAACAATAAATCTAACTACAACTTGGTGTCGGAGACCCTGATGTTCCTGGACTGCATCTGTGGGTCGACGACGGGCGGGCTGGGGCTGCTCGGGCTGTACATCAATGAAGGCAACGTGGCGCTCATCAACCAGACGCTTGAAACCCTCACCGAGTATTGCCAAGGTATTACCCTATTTCTCTCGGAACCCTAATTCTTTTTCTAAAATATAAGTAGCTTATCCTACTCCTTAAAACATCAGCTATCTGCCAGTAAAAGTCCCGTCAAAATTGGTCCAGCTGTTTTGGAGATCAACCGGAACAATCACAGATTTTTTTAATTTGTGTTTTTTTATAAGTACCGTATATTATACTTTCATATACATTTAGTAAAAAAAAAACTGTAATTTTATACTACAAACAGACTTCTATTTAATTTCTTTGTATAGATATGTTGGTCATACTCGTTCCGTTCGGGGTTGAACCCGTGGAGCCACAGCGCCATAAGTAAACGCTTAACCTTTGCGCTATTGTCGTTCTTTATATTTTCAAATTTCATCTTTATTTAACCCTTCAATCGCCATAAAAATCCCATGCAGTCACATGCGCCCGGCAAATCCCGAAAGGTCGCATGTGACCTCACCCACCTGCGGCGCTTAAAACCATTAAAACTTATATTTAGAGACTACTTTTTTTATGAACAAGTTTGGTATTATAAAATCTATACAAAATTCTCTAAAACACTGTGCTAAAACACTAATAAAACAATAAAAAAATCCAAAAATCAACACAATAACATTCACGCGAAAATGACGTACGTAATGAACGTCGATTATAAGTAAATATCCTTAGGATAAGTTTTTTTTATTGCACTAGAGGATGGACAGTTTTATATTGATTCTATAATGCCAAACTTCTTCATAGAAAAGTAGTCTATTTATAAGTTTTAATGGTTTAAAGTGCTGTGGGCGTGCGCGGTCGAATCCGACCGCTTGAATTTTGATTGAATAGCGCCGCGGTCGAATTCGACCGCTAAGAGATTGAAGGGTTAATACAATAAGCAAATGTTTATATTTCAAAGTTTAAACAATTAAATGCCCGCGTAGCGCGACGTACGAGAATCCGCAACCTCATGTCATCCCGTGAGTATCTTAAAAGCCAACAAAGAGAAATGAAACGGGAGATGGGCAGCAGCATCTTGATGATAAAAGCTTGTCGCAGCTATGTCAAATATGGGGGATATGAGGTAGTCCATGGGGGATGCCTATGTTCAGCAGTATACTTTTAGGACAGCCGCACACTGAGCCACTAAAGGCGGCCACTAGAGGCTCGGTCAAGCCACTAGACGCGGCCAACCAATCAGAGCCACTAGTAGAATACAGTTTAAAGACCTTGCAGTGGGGAAACGAATGTACTTTTGTAGAGCAACGGTACAGCGGGTCAAGAGGCAGGCCGACCTCGTGCTAGCGCACTTCACCGAGTCTGATAGAAAACACATGCGGTTGCCGCGAGCGTTTTTTATAGTTATTTATTTTTTTTAAAATTCGTGCCGTTTTGAAAAATATAATATCTATAATAGTGAATTACTGTTATAGTTATATGAGTTACTAAGTGAAATTGAATTCAAATGACGGCCATGCTTATGTTTTTCTCATTTTCTTTGATAAAATTCTATACCCGAATTCGAATACACACTACATAATTAAATATAACTATTGAAAACTGATAACATCTTGTAAATACTTGTAAATGTGTTTTTTTCTCGTAGTAATAAAAAATGATACATAAAACATAAACACTCACTCCTGTCACCCAGAGTTGTAGGCAGAGACTACAGACTTTCATTAGGCACGATCCTGATATACCTCTTTCGCCTCCTCCACGTTCATATACCTTCGCATAATGCTCGTCGGTTAAGGGTACTCTCTATTCCCATTTTCAATATATCACCAATTTGGTCGATAAACTATCGCCTAGTACGTCCCTTTCCGACTCTGCCGTTCACTTCTGCAACATAAATTTGTTTTGTCACTCTTTCCTCATTCATTATTTCTACATGACCAAAAATGATCTAGTTTAATAAATGTTTTTAACTTGTATTTATGTACATAATGTTACTAATAATTGATAATGAGTATTTTAATATCCAAAAGCATTTTATTTCCATTTTCGTGACAACCTCGAGCATACCCCACCGTCGCGCAATTACCTAATCGGACGGCGTCATCGCCGGACATCAAAGGCGTTTTACAACTGTAAGGTCTAAACTGTGGTAATAGCGAGCGCGGGCAACTCTCGCAGCTTGTGGCTCGAAGGCGGCCGCTCGAACGCTCAGTTTGCGCCGATGCTATACAAAATGTATGAAAAATGTCGTCCGCAATGCGGCGGCCACTAGTAGCATTGCTGTGACCGTCACTAGTGGCCCAGTGCGCGGCAGCTTTTAAAGGCTGTAAAGACGAATAAAATTAAATTGTTCGATACAGGCCCATGCCACGATAACCAGAACTGCATAGCTACACACGAGAGCAACGGCCTGGACATAATAACGGCGCTGATCTTGAACGATATCAATCCTCTTGGCAAGACACGCATGGACCTGGTGCTCGAGCTAAAGAACAACGCCTCCAAGCTCCTGTTGGCCATCATGGAATCCCGCAACGACTCGGAGAACAACGCCGAGCGAATATTGTACAATATGAACCCTGAGCAGCTGGTAAGTGCTTTAAATTTCACCGTTGCCCAACCATTTAATATAATTCTGATTATAAAATATTAAACTTGAGGGCTATTAAAACTTTAATTAAATAGAATAAACGTATTTGTTGTTCATACGATTTATATATGTTACGGTTAAAGGTGGGTGTGAATATAAACTTAAGATTAGTCAGCTAAACCTAGGTTTATCTTCGACGAGGTTTTAATGTTAGTTTCTTCTATCTTTAGCCGGCAAAACTTAAGTGTAACTGCAGGCCCTTGGCTAAAAATGTAGAAGGAAATGGAAAAGGAAAAAATGTAATAATGTTAACTATTTTGACACGAAAACTTTTATTAAAAAATAATCACTCTCATTACACATACTTTTATGTACCTATATAGGTATTCAAAATTACGATTATTTCAATAAAAAAATATTAATTACTTAAAACAATATCTACCTAATCATTAAAATAAAATAATATGGAACCATTTGGTCATTACAGAATCTTCTGTAGGTATTTAAAATTACAAAATAAAACTTACAAAATCTTCAATCAAAATTTGTTCTTCAGTGTTAATTACTTAAAACAATATCTAGTCACTATTGTTAAATAATATGGAGCTATTTGTTGGAACGTGATGAACTAGAATGACATTTAGAATTACAAAGAACATTTTTTATTCGGCAGCGGCATTTGCGTGTTTTTTTTTTGCGCACGAAGCAAATATGGGCAACCCTCCGGAAAGCGGGGGGAGGGAGGCGGTGGATGCTTATAGCATACCACGCAGCCGGCTGCGTGGTATGCTATAAGCATCCACCGCCACCGCATGACTTTTACCTACTAAACACCGCCTTTATGGATTGGCTTACCGATCTGACGGGAGATCTCTAAGCCGTATACGGACGCGACCCTCCTTGGCAAAAAGGAGGGCGCATGCATTTGCGTGTACCACATTTTGTCTTGCAATGACATCTTTGAAAGCCTTGTCCACCTGATGTTGACTGTTCACTAGCAAGATGGCGAATAGTCATTTTCACCGACGATACTTTTTCCAAATCTACGAATTTTCGTTCACAAACTGTAAACTGATTTCGTGAAAAAAAAAACTGTTCGATCGTACCGTTTTCGTTGCCCAATTTATAAAGTCCGTCTTCATTTTTATCTAAGACTGTCAATAAAATGTTCATAAAATCGTCCCGGCCTCGATCTACTTCCTGTATCTTTACTCTTACTGTATCGCCCTCCGCCGGCCCGGCGCGCCCATCGAATACATTTTTAGCCGTTTCGTTTCGGTTAATGTGCACATTAACCGGCTAAAGATGGAATATCACGACGCAAACTAACATGTTATCGAACTTTAGCTGCTTCTCAAAGATAAACCTAAGTTTAGCCGGCTAATCTTAAGTTTATGTTCACACCTACCTTTAGCCGTAACATATATGATTGTAAAGAAACTGCAAAGTCGCTAGATCATCATTCAGTTATATTTTATAGCTTCATATCCGTAACAGAACTACCTATTGCATTAAAAATATTGCCTTGAAAGTCTTTAATTAAACAAATATTTTTATTTAATTCATTCCATTAATATTTACTACAATAATTAAAACAAAAACTGTGATATGAAAAAAATAAAATATTAAATTGTCATATAGTCGATACCACAGGGAGCAGCCCCGTGATATCGTGCCAAGAACGCTGGCTGCCTTTTCTCGCTAAATGGCTATACTTAGCCTTTGAGCGAGGAAAGAACCAGCCCTCTTATCACCAGCAGTGACAACCAGTCGTGGATACAGTTCCTTTAAGAACTTCACTGCACGTGGACCCCGCGTACCGATAGTCTCTACAGCAAATGGCACAAATATGTAGTCATTTAATTAAACGTAATTTAATAAGATCTCACTCTTGATATAGATTCTGTAGAATATTTGTTCGTCGTAAACCTATTTTTTATAATCATTTACATAGCTTGCTTCCTTTTAACATAGTTAACGGATTATCAGTCTAAAATATAATTAACCGTGTCCAGGCATACTATTTTCTTAATTATTCTGAAGTGGAAAACAAACTTACAATCTACCTGATGGTAAACACTTAATAAGGAAGGGTACAGATGTGTTATCACTTCTAAGGACTATACATTTCCGACCGGAACACAGCAGTGCAGGCACTGCTGCTTGGGGCCAAAATAGACAAGACAGTGGGTACCTGACGAATTCCTAGGCAATAAAGTAGGCCTACCGTCTATTATATTTTTTACCTAATTAATTCGGGGGTGGGGGGGATTGAGATGTTTGACCTCCCGATGTCATAGTTAACCGCGGTTACCCACGGATTAAAATTATTAATTTTTGTTACGATCTATACCACCAGGTCGAACACCTAAGCCCCCCCCCCCCCGTGCGTGACCATGGGTGCTGTAAAGTGCTTGAAACACTGACCTCTATATATACAAGTACGCTGGACTGGCTATACACCGTGACATGATGAAGCGATTTGATTTCCGCCATTTTGGCGCTGACAGCAGAAGTGCACGTCCACGGAACTAATAATAGGGATGAGACTGTACCAAATTATATCGGTAAAATTCTATACCCTACCTATACCTAAATAGAATGGACTCTATGTATAGATGGACTCTACCCGTAACGTCCATTCTATTTATGTATCATATCAATGTAATGCCATTATCATTCATCATCCTAAAGCATTCACAAGTCCACTGCTGAACATTATTAGGCTTCCCCCAAGAAATGCCACAAAGCACGGTCCTGAGCCACCTGCATCCATCAACTTCCTGTATGTCTTACCAGGTTTTGACTTCATCTAGTGGGGGAACGTCCTACACTTCACCTGCCGGTACTAGGCTGCCACTTGAGAACCTTTTTTCCCCATCGGTATTCGGTTCTTCGAGCTATATGGCCGGTCAATTGCCACTTCAGCTAACTAATCCATTGGGTGATGCCTGTCACTCTGGTTCTGCTGCAGATATCCTCATTCCTAAGTTTGAACCCCTGAGCATAGCCCTTTTCATAGCTCGCTGAGCGACTTCGAGCTTCCTCATACGGCCAGCAGTGAAAGACCTCGTCTTAGATCCATAGGTCATCACTGACAATGACTGACGAGAAGATGTGTTGTAATCTCCCGAACGCTGCCCAGCCGAGTTGAATCCGTCGATTGACCTGTCGGTCGAAGTTGAACTTTCCTAGTTGGACTATTTATCCCAAGTAAAAATACTCAGCAACAACTTTAGCTAAGTGCTCCCAAAAACCACCGGCATAGGTGTGACATGGACATTACACATGACTTTTTTTGTCCATGTTCATCTTAAGACCTATCCGTTGGGAGACACTATTGAGGTCATTGAACATAGTGCGTAGGTCCTCCAGCGATTCTGCCGTAAGGACTATATTATCGGCAAATCGAAGGCGAGTGACGTACACGCCATTGACGTTCATACCGTATCCTTTCCAGTCCAGTAGCTAGCTGAAAAGGTCTTCCAATGCAGTGGTAAAGTATTTCGGGGATGTTACGTTACCCTGTCTTACACATCTCTACAGTTGGATTAGTTTTGTATTCTGGTTCTCTCGTATTCTAGTACTCGGATAGCCATCGTAGCCCTTAGACCATTCAACTAAAAATTATTAAGATTAAACTAACTACACAAAATAAAAATAAAAACATAATTTCTAAAATAATTTATTGTCAACCGTTCATTTAGTTCTAGTATTATAAAAAACAAATCAGCTGCTATAATAACGCCTATTCTAATCAACTACAGGTCTGTCTATAGACAGTAAAATATTTTCTACTATATAAAAATTTATGTTTGCTCTTACTTTCTACAATGCTATACCGTTCATCAGATTACGGTAACTTACTTTGTCAACTTATTGGTTGCACTTGTGCGAAGGTTATATGCATGGTACAATTAACTGACAATTGGTGGCGTGCGTATTATACCGACTATTTATTTGAAAGTTATAGAAAGTTATATATCATTCTATTTCAATGATTGTATTATCATTCCTAATTATACAATATAACCACAATTACTTCTTCTGCGGCAGTAATGCACCGGGTACGAGCTAGCAAAATAATATAAAAAAAATATAGGCTTTGAATTACATAGTTATCAGTTATTTACAACGTCATTTTCGAAATTAAAATAACAATATTAAAAAAAAATAACAGAAATTATCATACAGTCCTACTTTCTGTGGTATCTTCCCAATAATGCTGGCTACGTGTCCTCTCTTAATGGCTATACTTAGCCTTTAAGCGAGGAAACAATAAACTAAACAACTTCTTATTACCAGCAGCGAAAATCAGTCGCAGATACAGTTTTTTTAGGAACTACATCGCATGTGCACCCTACGGACCAATAGTCTCTACAGCAAATTGCTCAAATATCTACTCATCTTCTAGATATTTTGGGCTATTTACTTAGTTCAGTTGCCTCTAATGCCACCTCTGCTTTAGACAAGGTACCCCTGAGATGGGATGCTGTCAAAGTGTTCGCAAGTAGTATCCCACACTAAAGCGTTATCTCTCTATCTCTCTCTCTCTCTCTCCCCCTCAAGCAACCTGTTGAGTTCCTGGTATCGTCTCTAAATAACAAAGCTTAAACCGAGGAAACATTTATAGAGGCTCTTCGGGTGACATTGTCCAAGAACTAAGGACAACATTATATTAAAGAATACCATAACATTATTACACGGTTATTTAACGACCAAACGAGATTCGACCAAATACTATGTTAAACCAGAGTAACTAACCCTCGAATAATTTTACTCTTTGGTCTTATACCAAGATAACTTCATTTTGCGTTTTGTAACACAAAGGTAGAGAAGCTAATACTGGCTATTGTTACTCCAGAGTTGGTAGTTAGTGGTAGAGTTTATTCATTCAAACAAGTAAACCAACTTAAACAACAACTGTTGCAAAGCGCAATCCAAGATTTGAGGTCCACATAATTTGCCGTAAGTGTAAATAATGCCGCCCAATGGCAGCCTTTCCTTAGTTGCTGACTTCTCCCCCCGTTTTCATTCTCAGATAAGGCGCACCAGAAACAAGCCAAACTGCCCTTCGCGTCCTCTAACTCCACCTGCACTATGGACTCCCCGAGCCCGATATGTGAATGGAGCCAGGGAAAACTATCACTTGGAAGCATCAAGTGGTGCAGCCTCACCAAAGTCGCGAAAGATAGTCGAGTGGCGCATTGCCAATCGCCATACCAACACTCCTCTTCCCTTACGACTCCACCTCGACTACAGCGGTACAGGGAGAGGAATCTCCTCTAGCCACAGCCCAATAATACACATCCAACGTGGCTCGACATCATCAGGCGACCTTTCGACACTTGGCTATGACCCTTGAGTTTGGTGAAAAATGAGGAAAGAAGAAATAAAAAAAAAACATTCGAAATAATAACCTAATACTTTTATACTTACTGGTACTGGTACTACCAGAAAATATTGTCGGTATACTGCACTTTTTCAAAGTGGTGCAGTTCTCATGTCTAATAAAACAGTCGCCTGTGAAATGTTTGGAACAAACATGATCATTTTGTTTCGGACGCCAATTCACAATATTTATGTTTTTAGGCTATAATTTTAATCTAGGTTCCCTTGGAAACCAGTTAATGAATAAACATTTGATAATCGACTTTGGCGATTTGTTAACAGATATGGGTAGGAAAGAACATCGATAACTATTATAGGCAAGTAACTCGACAACTCTATTGAATTTTATTGTTTATCAATACTCAGTAATATACAGCCAAAGATGTTGGTATATATGATATTAAGATTAGTCACCAATTTTTAAGTACTTATAATATCAAATAGTTTCAATTTGTTTCATATTTGCTGTAAATTCCACTTACTTGTGAAATGTTATACCACTTCCCTTTTGGTAACGAGTTTTATAGATTACGCACACTCATTATTAATAAAAATAATTCTTATTATGTAACTAATATTATACACAATCAAACTACATAAAATACTTTCGTTTTTTTAGTTTAAAAGTTGAAAATACAGATTTATTAAATAAGACAATTTAAATATGACAACAGACTTTGGCACGTTATGTCAATTTTATTTTTCAAGACATCCTTTAGCGGCGCTTCAAATTGGCACAGTCATTTTCTATGGTATAGCCAATCCAGCGTACTTGTATATATAGAGGTCAGTGGCTCGAAACGTCGGAAATATAAAAAAGTTAATATACACGATAAAATCCGTAGAAACTAGTTTTATTTAAAAGTGTAGTGTTCGCATAAATAAAGAAAATTATATTACGTGTTGTTTTGCTACGTGCTCGGTGATGAAGGAAAACATCGTAAAGAAACTTGCATGTCTATATAAAATATATCAAAGAATTTTGGAGTTTGACAACACGCATTTTATCAGCGCGGCGGACTAATCGCTCCATAATGTTCTTATAGAAATAACAGGAGGTCTTTGCTCAGCTGTGGGCATATGTAGGCTGTAATTTTATTATTATTTTAATTTTCGTGTTCGCCGACAGGTTGATGTTGCGTGCTCAGCCTTCAATCAGGAACACGCGATGGACACGGAATCTGATTCAGAAGACGACACTCCCGTTCAGGGCGTGTCTCCGAAAGAAGTTAGTATTTTCTTAGTCCTAACCGGAATATAGAGCTGTGCAAAGAATGTTAGTTGACTTACTGTTGCTATCTCATATTTATTTATATGTTGCTGATATTGTGTACTTTTGTGCACACTTATAATTTCAATTTAAGATAAACTCCTTTACCAAAATTTTATTCGGAAGAAATAGCTGTGTTGTTGTTATCAGTGTACCTAAAAGAGATTGTTACTTATAGCATTGCTTTGGTACACATACATACCATAAAAATAACTAAGAGTATATTACAATAATATTTATAGGCACTATTAAACTCTACTTAAGACGCCTTGACAATGCCGCTACAACTATATATAAATACTGACACTGATTGCCACGTTAGCCTAGTGGTATAAACGTGATTGCTGATCATGAGGTCCCGGGTTCGAATCCGGGTCAGGCCAACATCAGTTATAGGGTTATAGGTAGTTATTAGGTTATCAATTATTGGGTTTTCTGTCCAGAAATTCTCAGTAGCAGCGCGGAGTAAAAAAAAAAGTGGGCGGTGTTTAACCCCCGTGCCTCGGAAAGCACGTAAAGCTGTTGGTCTTGTGCCTTGTTGGCCTGATCTCACTCCGGTTGTGTAAAATTACAGTGCCATCGAACTATGAGAGTGAGGGAATAGAGTGCAACTGTGCTTGCACATACACTTGTTCACTATAATCCTGTTGTAAGTCAACGGTTAGTCTCGAATTCTTGAATAAAATAAACAATACTTCGATATGTAGACTGTATAAGTAATTTAATAGGCAGATATAAAAGAGGTAGCAGAAATACGTGCGTTCGCGACCGGGTGGTACAGAGCTAGTGGTGTGCATAGTGGGGTTGCGCTGTATACACAATGGTAGTGGGGTGGCGGAACGCTCTCACAAACGGGTTGAGGTTAGCTGCTAGGCAATACAGAATGTTGCAACAACATTCTGTACAAATAAACGCTTTCAATTTGAAAAAAAATGTATTTGTTTTGCAGGTGGGCCACAACATCTACATCCTGTGCCACCAGCTGGCCGGGCACAACAAGGAGCTGGCAGCGCTGGTGCGCGCATCGCCCGGCGCGCCCGCCGGCACGGCCGGCACCAACGCGCCCGCGCTGCGCTACTACCGCACACACACCGCGCAGATCGAGGCAAGCGCACCTCACCCTCTGCTACTCCTTCTCCTTAGTCCCGGCGTGCCCGCACCAACGCGCCCGCGCTGCCCTACTACCGCACCCACACACCGCGCAGATCGAGGCAAGCGCACCTCACCCTCTGCTACTCCTTCTCCTTAGTCCCGGCGTGCCCGCACCAACGCGCCCGCGCTGCGCTACTACCGCACACACACCGCGCAGATCGAGGCAAGCGCACCTCACCCTCTGCTACTCCTTCTCCTTAGTCCCGGCGTGTCCGCAGCAACGCGCCCGCGCTGCCCTACTACCGCACGCACACCGCGCAGATCGAGGCAAGCGCACCTCACCCTCTGCTACTCCTTCTCCTTAGTCCCGGCGTGCCCGCACCAACGCGCCCGCGCTGCCCTACTACCGCACACACACCGCGCAGATCGAGGCAAGCGCACCTCACCCTCTGCTACTCCTTCTCCTTAGTCCCGGCGTGCCCGCACCAACGCGCCCGCGCTGCGCTACTACCGCACGCCCACCGCGCAGATCGAGGCAAGCGCACCTCACCCTCTGCTACTCCTTCTGCTTAGTCCCGGCGTGCTTGCACCAACGCGCCCGCGCTGCGCTACTACCGCACGCACACCGCGCAGATCGAGGCAAGCGCACCTCACCCTCTGCTACTCCTTCTCCTTAGTCCCGGCGTGCCCGCACCAACGCGCCCGCGCTGCCCTACTACCGCACACACACCGCGCAGATCGAGGCAAGCGCATCTCACCCTCTGCTACTCCTTCTGCTTAGTCCCGGCGTGCCCGCACCAACGCGCCCGCGCTGCCCTACTACCGCACACACACTGCGCAGATCGAGGCAAGCGCACCTCACCCTCTGCTACTCCTTCTGCTTAGTCCCGGCGTGCCCGCACCAACGCACCCGCGCTGCGCTACTACCGCACACACACCGCGCAGATCGAGGCAAGCGCACCTCACCCTCTGCTACTTCTTCTCCTTAGTCCCGGCGTGCCCGCACCAACGCGCCCGCGCTGCCCTACTACCGCATACCACACCGCGCAGATCGAGGCAAGCGCACCTCACCCTCTGCTACTCCTTCTCCTTAGTCCCGGCGTGCCCGCACCAACGCGCCCGCGCTGCGCTACTACCGCACACACACCGCGCAGATCGAGGCAAGCGCACCTCACCCTCTGCTACTCCTTCTCCTTAGTCCCGGCGTGCCCGCACCAACGCGCCCGCGCTGCGCTACTACCGCACACACACCGCGCACATCGAGGCAAGCGCACCTCACCCTCTGCTACTCCTTCTCCTTAGTCCCGGCGTGCCCGCACCAACGCGCCCGCGCTGCGCTACTACCGCACACACACCGCGCACATCGTGGCAAGCGCACCTCACCCTCTGCTACTCCTTCTCCTTAGTCCCGGCGTGCCCGCACCAACGCGCCCGCACTGCGCTACTACCGCACACACACCGCGCACATCGTGGCAAGCGCACCTCACCCTCTGCTACTCCTTCTCCTTAGTCCCGGCGTGCCCGCACCAACGCGCCCGCGCTGCGCTACTACCGCACACACACCGCGCAGATCGAGGCAAGCGCACCTCACCCTCTGCTACTCCTTCTCCTTAGTCCCGGCGTGCCCGCACCAACGCGCCCGCGCTGCCCTACCACCGCACACACACCGCGCAGATCGAGGCAAGCGCACCTCACCCTCTGCTACTCCTTCTCCTTAGTCCCGGCGTGCCCGCACCACGCGCCCGCGCTGCGCTACTACCGCACACACACCGCGCAGATCGAGGCAAGCGCACCTCACCCTCTGCTACTCCTTCTCCTTAGTCCCGGCGTGCCCGCACCAACGCGCCCGCGCTGCCCTACTACCGCACGCACACCGCTCAGTTCGAGGTAAGCGCACCTCACCCTCTGCTACTCCTTCTGCTTGGTCCCGGCGTGCCCGCACCAACGCGCCCGCGCTGCGCTACTACCGCACGCACACCGCGCAGATCGATGCAAGCGCACCTCACCCTCTGCTACTCCTTCTCCTTAGTCCCGGCGTGCCCGCACCAACGCACCCGCGCTGCGCTACTACCGCACACACACCGCGCAGATCGAGGCAAGCGCACCTCACCCTCTGCTACTCCTTCTCCTTAGTCCCGGCGTGCCCGCACCAACGCGCCCGCGCTGCCCTACCACCGCACACACACCGCGCAGATCGAGGCAAGCGCACCTCACCCTCTGCTACTCCTTCTCCTTAGTCCCGGCGTGCCCGCACCAACGCGCCCGCGCTGCCCTACTACCGCACACACACCGCGCAGACCGAGGCAAGCGCACCTCACCCTCTGCTACTCCTTCTCCTTAGTCCCGGCGTGCCCGCACCAACGCGCCCGCGCTGCCCTACTACCGCACACACGCGCACATCGAGGCAAGCGCACCTCACCCTCTGCTACTCCTTCTCCTTAGTCCCGGCGTGCCCGCACCAACGCGCCCGCGCTGCGCTACTACCGCACACACACCGCGCAGATCGAGGCAAGCGCACCTCACCCTCTGCTACTCCTTCTCCTTAGTCCCGGCGTGCCCGCACCAACGCGCCCGCGCTGCCTCTACTACCGCACACACACGGCGCAGATCGAGGCAAGCGCACCTCACCCTCTGCTACTCCTTCTCCTTAGTCCCGGCGTGCCCGCACCAACGCGCCCGCGCTACGCTACTACCGCACACACACCGCGCAGATCGAGGCAAGCGCACCTCACCCTCTGCTACTCCTTCTCCTTAGTCCCGGCGTGCCCGCACCAACGCGCCCGCGCTGCGCTACTACCGCACACACACCGCGCACATCGAGGCAAGCGCACCTCACCCTCTGCTACTCCTTCTCCTTAGTCCCGGCGTGCCCGCACCAACGCGCCCGCGCTGCGCTACTACCGCACACACACCGCGCAGATCGAGGCAAGCGCACCTCACCCTCTGCTACTCCTTCTCCTTAGTCCCGGCGTGCCCGCACCAACGCGCCCGCGCTGCCCTACTACCGCACACACACCGCGCAGATCGAGGCAAGCGCACCTCACCCTCTGCTACTCCTTCTCCTTAGTCCCGGCGTGCCCGCACCAACGCGCCTGCGCTGCCCTACTACCGCACACACACCGCGCAGATCGAGGCAAGCGCACCTCACCCTCTGCTACTCCTTCTCCTTAGTCCCGGCGTGCCCGCACCAACGCGCCCGCGCTGCGCTACTACCGCGCACACACCGCGCAGATCGAGGCAAGCGCACCTCACCCTCTGCTACTCCTTCTCCTTAGTCCCGGCGTGCCCGCACCAACGCGCCCGCGCTGCCCTACTACCGCACACACACCGCTCAGATCGAGGCAAGCGCACCTCACCCTCTGCTACTCCTTCAGCTTAGTCCCGGCGTGCCCGCACCAACGCGCCCGCGCTGCGCTACTACCGCACACACACCGCGAGATCGATGCAAGCGCACCTCACCCTCTGCTACTCCTTCTCCTTAGTCCCGGCGTGCCCGCACCAACGCGCCCGCGCTGCCCTACTACCGCACACACACCGCTCAGATCGAGGCAAGCGCACCTCACCCTCTGCTACTCCTTCAGCTTAGTCCCGGCGTGCCAGCACCAACGCGCCTGCGCTGCGCTACTACCGCACACACACCGCGCAGATCGAGGCAAGCGCACCTCACCCTCTGCTACTCCTTCTCCTTAGTCCCGGCGTGCCCGCACCAACGCGCCCGCGCTGCCCTACTACCGCACACACACCGCTCAGATCGAGGCAAGCGCACCTCACCCTCTGCTACTCCTTCTCCTTAGTCCCGGCGTGCCCGCACCAACGCGCCTGCGCTGCGCTACTACCGCACACACACCGCGCAGATCGAGGCAAGCGCACCTCACCCTCTGCTACTCCTTCAGCTTAGTCCCGGCGTGTCCGCACCAACGCGCCCGCGCTGCGCTACTACCGCACGCACACCGCGCAGATCGAGGCAAGCGCACCTCACCCTCTGCTACTCCTTCTCCTTAGTCCCGGCGTGCCCGCACCAACGCGCCCGCGCTGCGCTACTACCGCACACGCACCGCGCAGATCGAGGCAAGCGCACCTCACCCTCTGCTACTCCTTCTGCTTAGTCCCGGCGTGCCCGCACCAACGCACCCGCGCTGCGCTATTATTTGTGCCTGGAGTGGTTTACAATATTAGCGAATGGTTAATCAGAAGATACTATATTTTTTATAGGATAAGGGTGACAAACGAGCACACCGTCCACCTGATGGTAAATGGATTCTGTGGCCCATGGATATCTACAGCTGTTCTTAATTAAGAATCTTTATCTTTTAATCTCAAGACTTTCCAACTTTGGAGTCAGTAGTCTTAACTAGCTAGTATCGGTTGTAGATAGTGCGCACGGACCGCAGCATGGAGCAGATCGTGTTCCCGATCCCGGAGATCTGCGAGTACCTGCCGGCGGATAGCAAGCACCGCGTGCTGCAAAGCGCCGAGCGGGATGACCAGGGCAGCAAGGTCGCCGATTTCTTCTCCCGTCTCGACAACCTCTTCCACGAAATGAAGTGGCAGAAAAAACTACGTGGTTCGTTTTTTTTTTAAATTAACTATATCAACAAAACTGTACAATATATTACAAATTATGGTCTTCCAAACTGTTAGTAAGTTTGTCGTTAGAAACTGTTTAATTCGTTAGTAAAATAAACTGTTTAAACAACAAAACACGGTCATGCGTCACCTGCATCCATAGACTTCCTTAAAATGTGCACTGTGTATGCATTTTACAATGGTAAACCATAAAAAGTGATGAAAATACAATCCTTTTTTTCGTATGTTTTGTAAGAGAAAATAACAGCAAATGTAGTAAAATGTAGCATAATAATCTAAAATTAAGGAATTGGCAGTTAATATACTCCATTATTCCACGATCCCCTGCTAGATTTGATTACAATCAAAGCAAAATTAGTAAAACAATATCAAAATAACGCGCATAATATCAAGTGCATTCTCTGAGAGAGGAAATCTCATGTTGTATCTACACATCAAACCCTCTACTGATTATTATTTTGATACTAACATTGACTTCTCTGTTGGAATTAAATTCAATTACAATAATTTTTATTCAACATAGATTTTATGTAATATTTATTGTATCATTTATGCTGTTACCACTAGTTCGGAAAAACCTCTTCCCTGGGTTGAACCACCAAGACCCAGCGGGACTTTTTTTGAAATTACTTGAATCTATCTAGTCGCTATCTTAGTAAATATTGTGTACAAAATGAAAAATAATTTGTCTCTTTATAACTATATTTTCTTCCTGTAATGTAAAGTAAATTAAATATAATACAGATTTGAGGAATGTTTTTTTGCCACAGGGCAACCTTTCCTGTTCTGGGTGTCGTCCTACATGTCGCTGTGGAGTAACATATTATTCAATTTCGCCGTTCTTATTAATGTCATCGTTGCTTTCTTTTACCCGTTTCAAGAAGAAAATCCAAGTAAGTATGTAATAATATAATTTCTATTTTTTTATAATGAGGATTATAAGATGTTTATTACTTAAATATACCTTTTTTAATTTACTTTAGTGAAGTGACCATGAAACGCAATAGGGCATATACACCCATTTTTAGATAGTGCTTTAGATGAATCCTATAGTGATAATGAACCACTATAATTTTTAAAAACAACTTTTAAGTCGAATAGTGCCATAAAAAACGCTAGTCGCCATGCTTGTGATGTCACTGTCCTAGGACGCAGATTTTGCAAAGGAATAAGATATTTTTGGATGTTTAATAATGAGTCATCGTCTTTATCATTGGTGGGTTGTGCCTGGATGCAAAAATACAAGCATAAGAACGCTGTGGAAATAAATTAATTCAAGTGCCAACTGATTTAAATATGAGAAATACTTGGTTAAAAATAGCAATAAGATACCCGAATACATTATTTACATATAAGACTACATTATTTGATTTGTATAAAAGATATTTAACTAACTTTTATACAAATCAAAATATCATTAGAGTGATCGGTATTGCATTGCAAGTCAAATTTTTAATGACCCGGAATTGTGTTATTGTACAAATAAAAGTTGGCAGTAGGTTCTTACATTGATGTTTTACCATTCTTCAACTCAGCAGAACAAAAATTGGGATTGCGTGTAAAAAAAATTCCACAATAAATATACTGGACGACCTTTTTTACCGTCTGGAAAAAAAACAAGAAGAAGTATTAGAAACAAAAAATTTGTATTAAATAAATAAATTAATTAATAGGTATCTATCGAAATTTAAATCATATCCGCCCTAGCCTGTGGTCCTGCGAAGTTACAAGGTCAAAGATGCCTACTAAATTAATTGTTTTATTGGCGTTCGTAAAGTAGGGTGTATGTATATGATTTAAATTTCGATAGATTTCAATTAATTTATTTATTTAATTAAAAATTTTTGTTTTTATTTTTGTAAAATATTAGTTCCATAGGCTTTGAATTCGTTCACATATTACACCCTATTTTTTTCAGACGGTAAAAAACGTCATTCAGTATTTGTCCTTGGTAGATTAATACTTTCTGAAAACGAATCCGTCTTCTATTACGCCTTTTCAATATAATTCGGAATAAAACTCAACAATCTTAAATATAACTTTTAAAATATCGAAATAACGCACAGCACATTAGATAGTTTACTTAACCAGTGATGTCACGACGGATTCTAATATGGCGGATAGCGTTTTAGAGATTTAGGGCACGGATAAAAAAATATTCTTAAAATTGAATTACAAAATTTATAATGCATTTTTATGAATATAAATCAATATTTCTGGTATACTTTTCACAAAACCTATCATAAATCAAAAAAATAACCACATTGTAACTATAACACGTTTTTTTTCTGTATGATTTTTTCAAGATTTGATATCCATTCCGACTAAAATCTTGTAGCGGTTACTTTAAGAAGTACCTTGTTATTCACTAATCGAATAACTTATGCCAGACGCATTACTCTATAAAGGTGTAATTGTGTCAAATATTTTAATTATTTTACCAAAATCTGGATAGTTGTTCTTTTACACAATTATTATAATTCTACACATAATACTAAAAAGTGTTGTTTTTTTTTTTTCAATGTAATACCTGTCTCTGATGGTTTGGTGCGTGTGTGCGTGTGTAATGTGTATATTGACGCTGTGTGCGGGTGTCGGAGCGAGTAAATTGGTGCGGCTGCAAAGCTGGACTCGCACCTGTCGCTGGTGGTGTTGTGCGTGTGTAGTGTGTATGTTGACGCCGTGGGCGAGTGGTGGAGCGAGTGTATCGGTGCGGTTGCAGAGCTGGGCGCGCACCTGTCGCTGGTGGTGTGGTGCGTGTCACTGTGCGCGGGCGCGCTGGTGACGTGGCTGCCGCGCTCGTCGGGTGCACGCGCGCTGCTCGCCAGTGCCATCGTGCGACTCATCTTCTCCGCCGGACCTGAGCCCACACTCTGGACGCTCGGAATGCTCACCGTCAGTACGCTTTTTGTTATATTTATTCTGTTAATTAATTAAGATTTTCTATTGTTTATTAGGTGATAGCTCCGTAATTGAATCGATCACTCTATTTCGCACTGTAAGATTCGTAATGAGGCTAATAAAGTATATTTGACATTTCAAGATATTATACGTGGTAGTCATGCTGCCCCGGTATATTATTATAGTTGTAGATCGAAGGGGTCGGCTCGACCAAGGAAGAACTACGCTCTCATAGTTATAGGAAATGCCAGAAAAATCGTATGGCTCTCGATAGATGGCGGTTCAACCATCTTGTAGTGCAGCTGTAGCTCACACGACTTAATATTGGATATTGATGTTAATAGTCCTAGACAGTTCAACACGTCTCCTTCTTATTGACACCTTTCCAACATTAGAACCTCCTTGTAGTGTTTCAAAACAATTGTGAAATAAATGTTAGCTCTCAAACCCAATATGCCATCGTTCGCATTTCACGATATGCTTGGCAAGTAACTGGCATTGTCACATTGTTTTTTGTTACGTCCAACATGAACATGGGTCGTAGTCAAGTCTTAGATCAACTAAGGATCATATTTATTTCAATTTTATAAATTACTTTTGGCACTGATACTTGACGCTCCATGCGTCTGTAGAGCAATTTATAAATTTCATTCACTGCCAAAGCGATTCAATCATTTGGCCAGATTTCAGCACTTACCCAACAACTGCGATTCTGACCGGGCGATTCCAACCTTAGTCAAAGTAGAAAAACTAGCCGTTGCATTCGGGTAATTTACACCTTGGGGTAAACTGTGTAGGTTTATAATGACTTCTCTACGATAAAAAATACACATTTTTCAGAAATCGAATCCGACTCGAAGGACCAGAATCTCCTCGAGAAGTTTTTCGAGTTAATCAGAATGTCTTGTTCTTACCGTTGTGTAAGACTAAAAAAAATAACTCTAATTTTATATAACTAGTATAATTGAGGAATAAAAAGTACATGATATACAAATAAAAATTAAAACGTTAGTTAACTTGTCGCTCGACTCGAAATCAGCCGCGGTTAACTACCAGCAGACTGGTTTTCCTGCCTCACTCGCCTCAAGAGTCATTCAGAAATCTGAACAACTGAGATTTTGCCTTTTTAATTTATTACAAAAATATGAGCGCATTTACATTATAATAAATCCACATTAATTACGCGGCAGATAGTAGTGAAGGGCATCCACCTGGTCAGCATTATGGGCAACCAAGGCACGTTGTCCAAGTCGACGCGGTACGTGATCACCGACCCCGAGCTACTCTACCACAGCGTTTACCTCGGATTCTGCTTTCTCGGCATCTGTTGCCATCCATTCTTCTTCTCTGTGCTTGTAAGTAATAACTTATAAGTCTAAATTTTTTCTTGTTTTGCCTACTAAATTCTTGCTGTTATAAATACTGTTAATACGTGAACACCGAACATATATTTTTAACAAAGGATAGATATGTTGTCGTTTGATAACTGAGATGGAATGACTCGTGTACCACCCTCTTAATTCTTTCTGCCGCCAAATAGCAGAGCCTACACTGCTTTCTTGCAGTCGGAATGGTATAGAGAGCCGGTGTAGTTACTGTCAGTTAGACATTCCATCGTAGTCCTCAGAGATGACAACGCATGTCTAGCCTTCTTTGTTTGAAGTCTGCCAAACACACGCGAAGTAAAGTCGCCAAGCCGGCTCGGAGTGGCCACCTTAGGCCAGCTATGTGGGTTACTCTTAGTTCCCGTGGGTGACTAAAAGCCATGACTACTAAGCTAGTCGCCACGACATTCCGGGGGGGTATGGAGGACTATAACAGCCACTTACCCATCAGGTAGTCTGTAAAATCATTTATTATTTCAGTTTTATAAAAATCACTGCAATGTCTGCACTGCTTCTTGACGATAGCGATACAAAGCAAAGTTGGTAATTCTGCCATTTAGTTTAGATATTGGTCAACTGAAAACTAACTGTGTCGGAATGAATGTCAATAGACTGCAATAGAATCATAAAATTCTGCCATAAAATTCACGTAATAGCTATCAAACGCTTTCTCATATTCATATACTGAACGATAAAAAAGAAAAAAGAAGTAATTACTAATATTTGGTTATTTCTGTTCCATGTAGCTGCTAGATATCGTGTACCGCGAAGAGACATTGTTGAACGTGATGCGATCAGTAACACGCAACGGGCGGTCCATCCTCCTGACGGCCGTACTGGCGCTGGTGCTGGTCTACATGTTTTCCATCGTAGGCTACATGTTCTTCCGCGACCATTTCCTTGTCAACGTCGACCGCCTCGATGGTAACCAATTTACTTTTTATCCAACTCTTTCGTAGGCTGATAGTAAGCCATTAAGTAACATCATATCCTATAATATTATGAGTCACAAGAATCTTCTTACTTCCGAGGGGGTTATGGAGGAGGATTAGGAAGGAGTCATAGCGCTGTTCGAGTGGAGAATGTCTGGACTTCACATATTCTAGAAATATTTTTTAATTCCCTCGTATAATATTTTTTCCTGGCGATGTGTTTCGGAACTTCTTTAGAAATTGTAAAGGAATACCTGTAATAACTTTGAACTGAAAGTACCAAACTCAAATTATTTGTACTATTTGATGGGCTCTGCGGCCTTATTACATTGCGCTATTAGTTACCGTCAATTCTCCGTAACCATTTATGTCGACTGCGAGCGTGTGAGAACATTGTGCTACTGTGCACTATACTAATGTTAAAAACTCACTACCCGCGGTGCAATAAAGTGGGGTAATAGGACGTTGCGGCAGGCATATTCTGTGTTCCGAAATAGAAGGTGAACCGTATGCTCTTTTGCTCCCTCTTCTATAAAAAAATAGAACCCAATATACTGGCTAATGCAAATGACGTCATATATCGACGCCATAATGGTGATTCGTTTCAAAACATTGGCCAGTATATGACATTATACATTTGCGCCATATTGGAAAAGTGTTGGCAATTATTTTATGTAATTTTGTGAAGAATGGAGATACCAGTATTATATAAGTGAGTCGTGTTGCTATTGAAATTCATTCTAATTCATTCGATAGTGATACTGATGACGATGATTTAGTGCTTGGCTGTTTAAAAATTGTTTTAATATGGCGGGATATCCGACACAATATGGCGGCGGCACGCCAGTGCAGTAGGGCGTTAATTAATGACGTCATTTGCATTCGCCAGTTTACTGGGTTCTATTTCGAAACTCAGACATAGTGGTGCACTACTGTCGTGTCGAAGTATATATTATGAAAAAGTTGAAAATGCAAAATGAAAAGAAAATTACTCAATAATAACTTTTATTATTGGTCGAAAATACAAAGTAAGACTTAATATAATAAATAAAAATAATACGCGTACAATAATTAATCTTCGTCCCAGTCAGAGTCACTATCGCTATCGTCAGCTACGCTAATGACAGAGCGCTCACATAAATGTGCTTTCTGCAAATGTTCTTCTTGAAGTGGTTTGTTGTGTAGAACACATTTCCACCAATTTTCCACAATAATTATTAAATTACACGCACTTATTAACAAACTACCGCGTGCCAGCGCTCACTATTCCTCATCCTTCTAAGAATTAATAAGCGGTTATCGATAAGTGACGCACCGCACGCGTCTGTCCCTAGCGCACCGATAATCTATGGCACCCCGGGTAGCGAGTGTTTAACATTAGTATAGTTCTACGCTTTGTAAATCGCGAACGTACTTTTGGACAATCTAACACTGATTTAGTTTAATGTCACTAAAAAAAAGCTGTCATTATGACCTCGTATGTGCGCACTTTGTCATTCTGATGTGAAGTTTATTTCAGACAAGTACGTAACTTCATTAAGTATTTACCATTACTTAAAATTGGTAATTATCGTAAATGAAAATACAACCCGGGCGTATCTATCTGTCATACCCGCCGCGTCTACGTCCGTGCGATCCATAACTGTGACAAAGTTTTTGTTTTTTATGGCTGGTATTGTAGTATATATAAGTCTTTGATGTTTGTTATAAGTTGTGTGAAATACTCTTTTATTCATGATCTAATTCTATAACTTAAGGAGGTTAAGAGAAACTTATAAATAAGAGTGCCATGTTTTAAGACAACTTGGCACACTGTTGTAAATTTTAATTACTATCGATGTTTATTTGTGTGATTGTGACTGGTGAGTAGACGACGACGACCCGCGCTTCGAGGAGCGGTGCAACAGCGACTCCGCCGCGAAGTACCAGCGGGCGGCGCGCTTCGTGTCCGTGGGCGGCGCGCTGCGGGAGCGCAGCTGCGACTCGCTCATCATGTGCATCGTCACCACGCTCAACCAGGGGCTGCGGAACGGCGGCGGCATCGGCGACATACTGCGAGCCCCCGCCAGCTTCGTACGTACACACATGCACACGCACGCTGCAATACGCAGCTGCGACTCACTCATCATGTGCGTCGTCACCACGCTCAACCAGGGGCTGCGGAACCAAGAATTGCTTCGTTTATAAACTGCTTACAATTGTTATGGCGGGACTTGTAAATAATATACATGTTTTAAGTTTGAAGATCCATTTATTACCAAACTGCATTAATATGATTTATCTGATTTTGTACTTTTTACTTAATCACTATGCCACACAATATACACAAAGCAGAAGCAGCAACATCGCTCGATCCTAAATATTACGACGAAATTGCCCAATATGACAATTTTCATTATTTAATCGATCTAGAGAGAACCTGAAGCAGTTCAATAGCGGTATATATTATGATTAAAAAAATAGTAAAATATAAGATAGTATTTAAAACGTGTTATTTAAGAATGTGTGATGTGTATGAATTTTCTTATAATATTTATGTTCCAAGACTTAATCAAGACCGGTGACGAGGAATTTAAAATAACTGCACTACTGTGGCGTACTTATAGTAACAAGAAAGTAAAACAGATTTTAAAAAATAAGATGACAATTCAATTTAAAGCAAAATAAGTGTTCCTGATCCGCGAGCGACCGTTCTTCATAAACATGGCTGAAACAGCTTAGGACAATATTTTCTGTTTTCATGCTTACGTTAGCTTTCCCGTTTGTGTTAAAATAACTGCACTACTGTGTCTGAGGGAGTCGTATTTATAGTAACAAGAAAGTAAAACAGATTTAAAATAATAAAAGATGACAATTCAAACTAAACCAAAATAAGTGTTCCTGATCCACGAGCGATAATTAAACGTAAACATGGCTGAAACAGCTTGGGACAATATTTACTATTTTCATGCTAACGTTATTTTTCCCTTTTGTGTACTTTAGAGTTTGTGGCACTCTGTTGTCTTCTGTGCACTTGTTATCTTTTGACGGTATTCAGGAATTTAGTATTGGAAACAATTAGGAGGACATTATTATCATTGTAGCTTCTTTTTTCTGTTATCAGGAGCCATTGTTCGTGGCGCGCGTGGTGTACGATCTACTGTTCTTCTTCGTGGTTATCATCATCGTACTGAACCTCATCTTTGGTGTGATCATCGACACTTTCGCCGACCTTCGTAGCGAGAAGCAGCAGAAAGAACTTATTTTAAAGAACACATGTTTTATATGTGGTACGTGCGTTGAATTCTGTTAAAGTTTTTCCTTAGATGAATAATAATTCTATTTCGGTGTAAAAAAGCAATAAAAAAGAAACAAGTTTTTTTTTTTAATTAATAAATTTATCCAGACGCACTAAATCATACATATTAAACTGACTAAACCAGCAGACATATTAAATATTTTTCTAAATAGTTTTTGAGGGTCATACATAGTTATTCCGAAATCTTCAAATTTAAAACTGCACGCGCTTACTTTTGTATTTTCAGTAAAATCTAAATATGCACGCCCTTTCTATTGTGTTTAGTAAATTATTACTATAATTGACATGATATAAATGATTAAATCTATCAAAAATACAATGCGTGTAGTTTTAAATTAGAGAAAATCTAGGATAGGACTAGGGATTTCCAAACCATTTTGGACAAAAGACCCCTTTTCCAAAATGAACTGATATCTCAGACCTCCGTAGCCAAATTACTTTAAAAATCCTATATCTAGTTTGTTTCCTATTGATACTTGAAAATACTTACAAATTTAAAAACTTTTTGCTAAGTGAGTAAATCTGACATTATTTTAACTCATCAAAATTTTACAAAATAAATAGACATAAAATCCGGTAAATATCAAGTGTAATTAATAATTATTAATACAAATGCTTAAGTAATTAAAAAAAAACGATTAAAATGGCAAAGTAAACAAAATCAGTTTTCGTTTATGTCGACCCCTGAGGAAACCGATTTCAAACCCAAGGGGACTGGGAATCCCTGTTTTATACTATCTACTTTGGCTTTACTAGGTACTTAATAATATTCAGGTTCCTCTTTCAGGGTTGAACAGGTCAGCCTTTGACAACAAGACTGTCTCGTTCGAGGAACACATTAAGAGTGAGCACAACATGTGGCATTACCTCTACTTCATGGTGCTCGTGAGGGTCAAGGACCCCACCGAGTTCACCGGTCCCGAAAGCTACGTGCATTCTATGATAAAGGTAAAAATATACCTACATAAAATTTCAATGGAACGAATTGTTGACACAAAAGTAATTTTGTAAGTGGCACGTTTTTTTTTTTTTTTGGTATCCTTCGATCGTTTTTATCCTTAGCGTTATAGGTAATGGTTTTCTGATTAGCGTTTTAGGTAGTAGATCTTTTTTGTTTTATTTTATTTTAAATCACGTACCGGCCGTTACGGTACGTTGCAGCCGCAGAAGAAATAGTTGTAGAAATATCGTTTTAAATTTGGAAAAGTTATATTGTTTAATTAGGAATTATAATACGTTCACTGAAGTTAAAATTATATATAACTTTTTTAACAAATTTGTTGGTACTACACGCGCACCACCTACTGTAAATTAATTATACTAATGTATTAAATTTCTTGCAATAAGTTGAAAAAACTATACCACAATTTGATGAACGGCATCGCAGCACATAAAATACGAACAAACAAAAATTATTTTTTATAAATTAGATAGTCTTAAACATAAGCAGTATGACGTTAAGTTTAAAAAAAAAATGATAACTCGATCATTACTAGTTCAAGAAAAATATTCCGAAATAGTCAATTTTCTTCTTAGGTAAAATAGTGATTATATACTCATTGATGTCAAAATTAAAATTAAAAAATGTAAACTCTCAAAATGAGTATAACACATACTATTAAAAGTAATCACCTGGTCTTGCCTATAAGAAATTCAACATCGCGGTCACTCGCTCGTTCGCTCATTAGCTTTAAATCCTATAAACGTGGCAGGTTTATAGGATTTATACAGAAGTTATAATGGAATGTAGGAATGGTAACGTCGCTTTTTTTTGAAGGCACATGCCTGCATGGACTCGGTATGCATGGACGCATTTATAAACCTCTATCTACTTTACTATCGGCAGTAAAATAATGAATTTGTAACACACCGCACTCGCCATAGGCCTCTTTGTCTTTTCGCAGGATCGCAGGCGTAAGGACAAGACTGCCTGCACCTATTTCAGTCAGCCTTGAATATCTACGGCGTGACGTCGTATAAATTGTTTATTTTTCCGCGTGTGTGTCGGCGGCCCATTGATAGTTATCGTAAAACCACCATTACTCTAATGTCGAATACCTAGCTACCTAGGAATGGTAAGATTTTATGTCTTGTCTGGTGAAAACTTAGACAGTGCGACAAGTCGATATTTACTCGCGTTTCGAATTTACAACATGCACAATGAGCACTGCTAGAGTTTCTAAAACCCACACAAAATCAAAGAGCGTGCTCATCAAATTCGTTTTAGAGTTAACAATATGGATTAAATAAGTTGATTTCGTTCTTTTAAATACCTTTTAGATGTTGCAGTATACGATAGGCATAAAAATTATTATAACGCAAGATAATTATGTAGTAAAAATTAATATAAAGAAATTTAACATGTAACTAACCCGTAAAAGTATTAAGGAAAGATCGAAATCACAAAACTAAAAGTCTGAAACGAAAGGTTTTTGGTTCCGGCGGCAGGAGTGGCTTCGGTTGTATTCGGTCTGCACGAATGTATGTCGCAGGCAAATAAGAAATAGGACGTATTAATAAACGCCTGTGACTGCAAAAAATGGATTCCCAGCACTTTACGTTACGCCTGTAAGGGGTTTCTTAAACAAGCTGTATTCTAACAGATTCTAGCGAACCTTGCAAGCAGGTTAGAATCCACTTTGTTGCTAATCATGCGTAGGACTCTGTTCAAAACATGCTCAACAGTATATAGCTTACAATGTCTACTAATTATTTTAAACCTCCTGGCTCAGCAGCACCAAGTCGTCAGCAAAGCTAAGGTTATTATATTAAGATAAACTATAATGATTTCTTATATTTACGCGAACACTACACATTGAAATAATACTAGTTTTTACGGAATTTATCGCGTATATTTTAACTTTTTAAATACCCGACGTTTCGAACGCTTTACAGCACTCATGGTCACGGGCAGGACTGAGATGTTCAACGTCCATATGTCATAGTTAACCGCGGTTACCATAGATTAAAATTTAACTTTTGTTCCGATCTATGCAGTATGAACTTATGGTATCTTGAAGTCTTGCAGTTTTATGCTTGGGTTGGGATTTAATTTTATTTATTATAGGATCCCAAGCAGATGGTAGCACCCAGCCATCTTCTCTATTGAAATTAGGATGTTTTTTTATTTCAATAGCCTCGCGAATCATCTTTGGAAGGAGCCTCGCGAATCATCTTTGGAAGGAATCGGTGTTTAGCGAGGATCTGCGGTCTATCAAATCTGATGTAGTGACGGGGGCGATCCTGTACATGTTCACAGACTGCAGACTTCCCGGAGCGTCGATTCTTCACATCAGCTATATGTTCTTTAACGCGGGTTTTTATTGATCTTTTAGTTTCTCCTATGTAGGAGAGACCACATTCACAATCAAGCTTGTACACTCCTGCATCTTGCAGAGGGACATTACACTTGACCGATGGTAAAAACTGACCAATCTTCTTCAGCGCCTTGAAGTATGTTTTGATGGAAGCGCGCTTCAAGATGTAGCCAATCTTGTCAGTGACTCCTCTAACATATGGCAGTACAGCAGGTACACGCTCGACTGTGGCCGGCTTCAGTCGTTCACTGTGACGTAGGCGCGGGACTCGAAGCTTGTTGTCATGCAAAACTTGCTTGACATGGTGGAGCTCTGCAGCCAGGTGTTTACTGTCAAAGATCCCTCGTGCTCTCTGAAACAAAGATTTACCCACGGTAGCTAACTGTGAAGGATGGTGGTGAGAATCACCGTTTAAATATCTATCTGTACGGGTCTTTTTTCTATACACAGTATGGCTCAAGGTGTTATCAGGATTCCGAATTACTAACACATCTAGAAAAGCTAAGGAATTGTTTGCCTCTAACTCCATTGTGAACTGAATTTTAGAATTTATAGAGTTAAGATGGTCTAAAAATGCAGTTACTTTATCTAAAGGTAAAATTGTGAAAGTGTCGTCTACGTACCGCTTGTAGAACCTTGGATTTATGGGAGAACTAAGCAGGGCTTTCTCCTCAAAGTCTTCCATGAATATGTCGGCGACAATGGGAGATACAGGTGAGCCCATCGCCACACCATCTACTTGCTTGTAGAACTCCTCCTTCCACAATAGGTAGCCAGATGTAAGGCAGTGTCTGAGTAATACTGCATATTCTACAGGCATGTTGTTTTCTTCCAGCCTTCTAGTTACAATTGAGATGCAGTCTTCAACAGGTAAGCATGTAAACAATGACTGCACATCAAAACTGACCATAGTTTCATTGTCTGCCAGATGTAGGTCTTTAATGTCGCTGACAAAATGGTAGGAATCCTTTATGTGTGCTCTTGTATGTCTCCTGAGTGGTGAGAGTATTTTCGCTAAGTGTTGAGCCAATCTGTAAGTTGGTGAATCGATTTGGCTCACTATGGGACGTAATGGAGCATTGGGCTTGTGTATTTTTGGTAACCCATACAATTTTGGTGATTTGGCGCACGTAGGTATTATCCATTTTACGTCCAGATTTAATTTTTCGGATAAAGAAACACTCCGAAAAATTAAATTTGGAAATACTCTCACCACTCAGGGGACATACAAGAGCACACATAAAGGATTCCTACCATTTTGTCAGCGAGATTAAAGACCTACATCTGGCAGACAATGAAACTATGGTCAGTTTTGATGTGCAGTCATTGTTTACATGCTTACCTGTTGAAGACTGCATCTCAATTGTAACTAGAAGGCTGGAAGAAAACAACATGCCTGTAGAATATGCAGTATTACTCAGACACTGCCTTACATCTGGCTACCTATTGTGGAAGGAGGAGTTCTACAAGCAAGTAGATGGTGTGGCGACGGGCTCACCTGTATCTCCCATTGTCGCCGACATATTCATGGAAGACTTTGAGGAGAAAGCCCTGCTTAGTTCTCCCATAAATCCAAGGTTCTACAAGCGGTACGTAGACGACACTTTCACAATTTTACCTTTAGATAAAGTAACTGCATTTTTAGACCATCTTAACTCTATAAATTCTAAAATTCAATTCACAATGGAGTTAGAGGCAAACAATTCCTTAGCTTTTCTAGATGTGTTAGTAATTCGGAATCCTGATAACACCTTGAGCCATACTGTGTATAGAAAAAAGACCCGTACAGATAGATATTTAAACGGTGATTCTCACCACCATCCTTCACAGTTAGCTACCGTGGGTAAATCTTTGTTTCAGAGAGCACGAGGGATCTGTGACAGTAAACACCTGGCTGCAGAGCTCCACCATGTCAAGCAAGTTTTGCATGACAACAAGCTTCGAGTCCCGCGCCTACGTCACAGTGAACGACTGAAGCCGGCCACAGTCGAGCGTGTACCTGCTGTACTGCCATATGTTAGAGGAGTCACTGACAAGATTGGCTACATCTTGAAGCGCGCTTCCATCAAAACATACTTCAAGGCGCTGAAGAAGATTGGTCAGTTTTTACCATCGGTCAAGTGTAATGTCCCTCTGCAAGATGCAGGAGTGTACAAGCTTGATTGTGAATGTGGTCTCTCCTACATAGGAGAAACTAAAAGATCAATAAAAACCCGCGTTAAAGAACATATAGCTGATGTGAAGAATCAACGCTCCGGAAAGTCTGCAGTCTGTGAACACGTACAGGATCGCCCCCGTCACTACATCAGATTTGATAGACCGCAGATCCTCGCTAAAGAACACCGATTCCTTCCAAGGATAATTCGCGAGGCTATTGAAATCAAAAAACATCCTAATTTCAATAGAGAAGATGGCTGGGTGCTACCATCTGCTTGGGATCCTATAATAAATAAAATTAAATCCCAACCCAAGCATACAACTGCAAGACTTCAAGATACCATAAGTTCATACTGCATAGATCGGAACAAAAGTTAAATTTTAATCTATGGTAACCGCGGTTAACTATGACATATGGACGTTGAACATCTCAGTCCTGCCCGTGACCATGAGTGCTGTAAAGCGTTCGAAACGTCGGGTATTTAAAAAGTTAAAATATACGCGATAAATTCCGTAAAAACTAGTATTATTTCAAGATAAACTATGTCTATGTGACAATCTGCGTGAATACTGCAGATCTTCTCATACAACTGTCTGACATAAATATTAAAGAACCGACATAAATATTATAGATCGGCCGTTTGGAACTTATTTTGCAGCCACCACGATCTTTCGACCTAAATCCACCAGATTTTTTATTGGGACCGCTTAAAAGAAAAAGTTTACAAAAAAACCAATCGCAACAGTAAAAGAACTGCGTCGACGTGTTTTGGACGTGGCTCAAGAAATTGGAGAGCGTGGATGTACGCGGTTATTAAAAAGGTCGTTTATAAGATGTCGAGCAGTTGTTCCTAACCTTTTTAATATTATTACCACTGTGACCTATGAGGAACACTAACTTTACCCCGACTTTCAAATGTTATCAAAACAAATAATACAAATTAATAAATACAAATATTTTTATTAATCACAAATTACACAGTAATCGTATGTATTAACTGTCTTAATGAATTAGCAACGAATATGAACACGTATTATCAATGAATATGAATGGAAGCAAAACAATACCAGCCCTCACAGATTGGTATCGTTTTGCATCTGTAAGTCTCTCTATCCGAGTACTTTATTCCATATAACACGCTGAGGCTTTTCTCTATCCCTGACAACAATATTCGTGAAACCTCATTGTAAAAATGCTCTTTATAGGAGTGTTTTTCCGGATGTTAAGCCATGCTACTTAAAAGTGTTACTTAATGCTACTTAAAACAATCGTAAATAAATGTCATGGATAGTAAAAAAGTAGAACTCTTGTACGTAAAAATGTTGAAAACAAAAAAATGGCTTATAATATTTGTTCTTGTATGATTGTACGTTGGTTGCACTGTTTTTTTTTTTAAATAAGTAAATACGAAATGTAAAATATTTATAATGCGTTCGTACACAAGTTATCTCTGAGTGAAATGGCGCGGGTCGACACTGGCGCGGGCGGCGTGGCGACGTGGTGGTCCGGCCTTGACCCCCTTCTCGCTCACGACTGCAAGAGATAGTTTAATTTCGCGGCGGGGATCTGTCATATATTTTTAATATCTATACATTCTACGAGTTTTGACGTTAGCTGTCAAATGACATTAGGGTGATTGATTAATTTTTAATGAGGAAATTGAGAATTTGTTATGAATTGATAGGAATATTGTCCATAATCTCGATCATGTATGTACGCGAGCCGTGAACGTGAAAGAAATGGCACAATTATTATCATTATAATAATTATAGTAGAAAGAAAAATAGCTTAAAATTAAAAAAATTAAATAAAACTACTTTTACGGATTTTATCGCGTTTAATTTTAATTTTATTTTTAATTCTCGGCGTTTCGGGTGCTTTCCAGCACCCATGTTCACCAATTAAAATTAAACGCAATAAAATCCGTAAAAGCAGTTTTAATCAATGTGTAAGTGTTCGCGTAAATATAAGAAATCATTAAAAATTAAATAAATTAAGTTAAAGTAATAATGAGATGAAAACTATGAATAAATAAATAAAAGAAGAGTATTTTAAAATATAAATACCTACACAATTTTACTAGTTTGTGGAGAATACCAGTTTGGGTTGAATATCGGTTAATCCTTCTTGCGTATCTTCATGCCAGCTTTACGTCTTTACATCAATGATTTCAAAAGGAAGGATGGGCCCATCTAAATATTTTACTCATAACTTTTTCATACAAGAAAAAGTAGCGCATCTGTCATAATACAAACGTCATATCAAAACACGACCTAACCAGGGTCGGATTTCGTAGTATAATTATCCTGATTGTACCATTATTTCATAGTTTGTAGTACATAGTATCGTAATAATACTAAGCGAAAATACCATAATTTTACCTAAAGGTCGACTTGTATTATTATTGGGTCCTTTTACATTTTAATATTAACCCTACGATATCGAGAATTTCTATATTGTACATGAGTACCGCGTTATTTTAATAAAATTAGATGTTACGGCCCTCAGTTACCCCAACAAAAGTCGACTGGGCTAGGGCCCATAATAACCCAACTCGACGAGCAACTGAGGGGAGGGCCCTAATGGCCTATGGATAATTAATTTATAACGTCTGTATAAGCAAACTTACCGAGCTCCGGAGGTAGTGTCGACCATAAGGCACCGTCAGGGGTAAGTAAATGGTATGTGTGAGTGGTGTAGGAAAGTGTTTAATGTAACCTGACGTCACCGATGTAATCTTTAAGCAGAACCGCATGCGTTGCCACGCTCCACAAGGCGCTCACCGCTATCGGAACTCAAAGTCTAACGTCACTTAGCACAAACTATAATCGAGCGCGATCGCCACCCGGATCACAAAGTTTAGCGTTCAACCGATAAAGCAAGATTCCTTAGCACGATATTAAAACGAAACAAAAGCCACGCGTCGATGCAAATTAATAGCAATCGAAGTTAAAATAGTCACTTAAAACTCAAGAATAAGCCTCGTTGTTACGTATATTACCGAAATAAAATAACACAATGGAGGCCGTCGCAAGGCGACGCAGCAATTCTTACGTAACTCGCGACTCTAATCGACACAGTCGTCGCGTCCAAAGATTCTACCAGACTGGCAGGCACCGCCGTAGGCGCAAGCGAATGACCCCCCCCCCCTCCCGCGCAACGCTAATCGGTTCCCCGCTCTGAACTAGCGCCTTGCAATTTGGCGTAAACATTAGAATTATCACTCGGAGACACTCAGAGAGCCGTGGTAGCTCAGATGGTTAGCGCTCGCTGTAAATTTCACAGTACGCGAGCAAATCGGGTTCGATCCCCGCTGGCACCAATGAAATTGTTAATTGCAATTTTAAGTGCTAATTTACCACGTGCTCGGCGGTGAAGGAAAACATCGTGAGGAAACCTGCATGTCTGAGAAATAAGAAAAAAAATTTCGAAGACTTGTGAAGTCCGCCAACACGCATTGGGGCAGCGCGGTGGACACTTCCTTGCCCTAATACCCTCTCAAAAATGAGAGGAGGCCTGTGCCCAGCAGTGGAACGTATATAGGTTGTAACTTTACTTTACTTTACTATTAGAATTATCTCCCTTTCTGGTCAATCGATGAAACATGAAACATCAAACGTGATATATTTTTTAAAATAGTATAATTTTATTTTCCACGTACAATATTTTTAAAGTTCTGAATCCAACCCTGGCCTAGTCTTGGTAACGTAACTAAACTAACTATAAAATAAAACTTTAAAAATGCGTTTATATAATAATTTAATTGTAACAAAATTAATATAAGGTTATTTACAGATGACACGATATCTCATGTTTCTTTTAAATCTTTGTATCGTAATTTTGCATTCTTTTACCACGCAACTAGACATATTTGTGACAGGCAATCTGTCAAAAATTCAAATCTGTCCTGCGCGCGCACCACTGTCGACCGATTCTTGTTGGCCTTAAACTGTAATTTTAGGGCCAGCACACTGGTCCGTTTTAGTTGTTCAGTCGGCCCGGTCCTTGCGCTAGTAATATACAACACGTAACATAATTAACGCACTTTGAGAAAGTAGTTTGTTCAGAGTCGTTTACTGAATCGATTCCTATCATTTTCAATATAGGTAATTTTTTATCCCAAAAATAATTAAAACTGCGTAAATTAGAGTCACACTAAATCTGTACAGTCAAAACAAACTGAAATGGACCGTAACTTAAGGCAATAAGACTTTTAAGAGTGCAGTTTTATTTGTATTATTATTAATTCTGTCATTCAATAAAATTAAAGGAAAAATTAACTTTATTTCAAGCGTGTTAAAGTCTTTGCGTTCGTGGATTTGTACTGTGACCACAACATTCTTCCGGAATTAGTATAACTAATTTGATAAATAATCAGTGCATAAAAATGTTTAACAAAAATTCAGTGTATGTATTATGATTATAACATAATATACTAATTGGGGTGTCTGAGGGTGTGCGTTAATTACGTTACATATTGTTATAAGTTAATGCTTTACATACCCTCAATTACATTTGAATTTATTTCAAGTCTAAATGTGTGTGTGCAAGGGCTAATGTTTTGTACTTTTTGCTATTGTGTATAGTTTTGGAACAGATTAAGTGTGAGTACAATAATCGTATTATTTCGTGCGTAGTCAAACAATCTGGATTGGTTCCCGCGACTGCGGGCGCTCTCGCTGGTGGGGGGCGGTGAGGGCGAGGGTGGTGAACTGGAGCTGCGTGCACTGCAGGCGCAGCTGGAGCGCGCGCAGCAGGCCGTGCGCACGCTCACCGACCTGCTCACCGAGCTGCGCGACCAGGTACCGTCCCGCAGCCACTGAACTGCATTGCACTGCACTGTACTGCTGGCGCGGATGGAACGCGCGCAGCTGGCCGTGCGCACGCTCACCGAGCTGCGCGACCAGGTACCGTCCCGCAGCCACTGAACTGCATTGCACTGCACTGTACTGCTGGCGCGTGTGGAACGCGCGCAGCTGGCCGTGCGCACGCTCACCGACCTGCTCACCGAGCTGCGCGACCAGGTACCGTCCCGCAGCTACTGAACTGCACTGCACTGCACTGTACTGCTGGCGCGGTTGGAACGCGCGCAGCTGGCCTTGCGCACGCTCACTGAGCTGCGCGACCAGGTACCGTCCCGCAGCCACTGAACTGCATTGCATTGCTGCACTGTACTGCTGGCGCGTGTGGAACGCGCGCAGCTGGCCGTGCGCACGCTCACCGAGCTGCGCGACCAGGTACCGTCCCGCAGCCACTGAACTGCATTGCACTGCACTGTACTGCTGGCGCGGATGGAACGCGCGCAGCTGGCCGTGCGCACGCTCACCGAGCTGCGCGACCAGGTACCGTCCCGCAGCCACTGAACTGCATTGCACTGCACTGTACTGCTGGCGCGTGTGGAACGCGCGCAGCTGGCCGTGCGCACGCTCACCGAGAGCTGCGCGACCAGGTACCGTCACGCAGCCACTGAACTGCATTGCACTGCACTGATGGCGACTCACTGTACTGCTGGCGCGGTTGGAACGCGCGCAGCTGGCCTTGCGCACGCTCACTGAGCTGCTCACCGAGCTGGCGACCAGGTATCGTCCCGCAGCCACTGCACTGCTGGTGCTGGCTGGGGTGGGGTGGGGGTGGGGTTGTAACTTATTTGTTCCGAATAATACAAATTGCGTTAAATGCTGCTATCACATCCTAAAACAATAGAATACCTTATTATTACTACGTGGAACTCAACATTGGGAGCACCAGAAATGTTAATGCTAATGGGATAGTTGATACCTTTGGATATTGACTAATGGGATGAAAAACTTTTTCTTTTCTTTAGATGACTGAACAGAGGAAGCAAAAGCAACGCATCGGCCTCCTCAACTCGACGTCTGCTTATCTGCAGAATCTACAAATGAATTTACCGCCGTGAACCGCTGCCGTCGTCCACTAGCGATGTTAGAAGTACTTCTAACCACTGTTATATGATGTGCTAAGGTGTTTTGTTAAATAAGTAGTAAATTTTTATAAAACACAATTTTGTGTTTTATACTTAGTTAATGCAAACATACCTTCGCGTGAATAAAGTTATTATTTAATATAATCTATTTACAGAATTGGCATAACAAAATATATCCTATATGGATGGACGTAAAGGGTAGTTAATAATTATTTATACATATAAGTGCTGCGGCGTAAATTACATCTAGAACGCACAATCGACTTTATCCCTATAGTTTCACGGTATATTTTCCAAATCATTTCACACAGCAATGACACACGGCAATCGTATAATCCTATTATACGATAGAACTGCAAAAAATACGTAACTAATTTTTGCTCATATTTAGGTTTACAGATTTAAATATAATATTAAAGTTACCAATTTGTATAAATTGAGTGAATGGTTAAGAGGCGGCGAAGGTATTAAGGATTTCTTAGATGCTCAAGATTTAAAATCAAAATTCAAAAATCTTAGTTAATAACTTGATAATGTTAGACCATATGTCCCGCCCTCTAAATACTTCTCCAACCATTTAACATTAAAACATTATAATAATTATACAAATGTCAAACATGTGACATTAGTACATATGTATATCTTAACCGTGAAACATATCTGCATAGTTTTGAACTATGATATATATTTTTACGTTTAAGTAGATAGACTATAATCGATATTATATGTCTATGTGACATTGACAGAATCTCTTTGACAAATTATACGATTATAAAATGTAGAAATCATTGTTTTCATAGAATTGTGTTGCCAACTTTCATACAACCTGCAGATATTCTACGAATAGAGAAATTAGTTACGGAACTTTGAACTAATTGACTAGAATTAGTGAATGTAAATGTAGTAACAGAATAATCAAAGCATGCGATTAGAATATTTAACCATAGATCGCTTATAGCCTCATAGCGATGATATTTATGGCGACCAAATTTTGCGAAATGAGTGTATTGAAGCATAAAAGGCATGTCTGACTATGTCTTACACCTCTACAATAATCTAAATTATTTATCACACAGAACAACGTTGTTCGCAGCATAGTGTTCATAGAGTAGTTATTAAGCTGTTACGGTGGAGTTTTTTCTTTACAATTTTTACTGTATCTTCATACTTTAAAATATATCTTTTAAGTACTTCAAAACTTATTTTTACTATATTGTTATAAATATATCGACTTTTAGATTTTTTATTGTTGATCGTCTATTTACTAAGTCTTTACTGTTACTAAAGATTATTTAGGAATTTATAGTTAAATATTTTCTTATTTCTTATGTAAAACATTTTAAATGTTTTTACAAAAGAAAATATTTCCATTAGTCGAAAGTTTGTAGCTCCTTTTGAAAAACTTAGGACGTGCAATATAAGTTAGCTCAAAACCGTTACCTATTTACTATAGCATTAATAAAAGATCGAATTTCATTAAAAATCTTCTAAAGATCTGAATTCTATCATCGCTGGCTACAGTGCAATGTAAAATCTACTGACCAAAATGATAATCTTAAGAGGTTTGGTTTGAATTCAGCCTCAGCCTCGACAGCCCTAGTGTAGTTACAGGCAAATGGTTTACTGTTAAGTTGTACGACGTGGTAGTACTGGTTGCACGTGTATACTAAATGTTAAGTTAGTATAATATTATGTGACTAGTATTAACATTGGTTGTTCATGTAATGACGTGTTTACGAATATTTCGTTAGGAGAATGTTGACTTCTTACAATTTAAGCGAAGACGTTTTATTTTAAGAAAACCGTTTTTATTCTATATGTATTACAATTTTTATTAAATTATTTTTGAGAAAAGTTTTGGTAATTTCTCGGATATTTTTCTTTTTAATTATGTATTTTAAAATGTTTTGTTACCACATGATTTTTAGTTTAATATTTGTAGGAAAGTTAACAGTGCCATGTTTGTTGCAACAAACAAAAATAAATAATTACGAATCTTAATAAAAAAGAGCTGTGTTTTTATATTTTTGAGTAAATTTAACTTTATTTTGTACTTAAAATATTTTGTCTCGAATGTTCATATACAATATAGTTAGTTATAGTCACATATTGTAATTTGAACTTTACATACATTACACATCATTTTTCTTTTTAACTTTTACCAAAATATCTTCTATCTAAATAATCTAAATAATATTTAATAAAGTTCAAAGTCAAATAACATAATAAATAATAATATGTAATAAGTACCATTCTAGCAATTGTCACATTCCTGCAAAAAAGTAAAAAAAAATTCCAAATACATACAAATTACATTACTGTTTTACATTCGTTTTGGATTGTTATCAAATTAATTATATTTGAAATGCATTAAAACAACGCAGCTAAATATTCCAGGGTTTCTGGTATTTTTTGTTATACTTATATTATTCTACTTTTTCTATTTTTCTACTTATAATTGCACCTTAGCATAATTGAAACATCTTTTTCAGTATAGTATGAGAACACATTTTCCTTTTTCTATTAAATTTTGGTACGAAATTTTCTTTATACATATTTTAAATACATTTCTGATACCATTTTATATAATTATTTAAATCTGGAAAATTTAAGATGCTTAAAAAGATGAATAACTCTTGTGCTGTATTGAATGTTAATCTGATAAATTGTCTGAATCTTTTTTCTAGAATAATTTCTATGTTTCTGGTTTAATGTTTAACTTTTTTCCTTTGTTAGTACTTTTAAGTAGCGGATATTACGATATTGTAACTATTATAGTACTTTATAATGTGATGGACCTCGTTGTGATGGCTGCAATAAAGCGTTTTGTTTTTAAAAAATAAAAAATGGCACAAACTTTTATTTTTTTAACTACCCTTAAAATTCATGCCGTGTAGCGGCGGTTGAGAATATCCACTACCCCATATCTTCCCGTGGGTTTCGTAAGAGGCGACAGAGGGAGACAGGCAGGAGATGGGCAGCAGCATCTTCCTGATAACAACTGTGTTATAATAAAAAACTGCCCCCATGAGCAACGACACAAAAAAACGGCCCCCCAGTCCCCCACGACCCCGCTATTCCTGAATACGGTGGTGACCATGGTAACAGCGGGGCAGGGGGTACTAAGAATCTCCGATGGTGGTTCGGTTGCCATCTAAGATGACTAGACCTGGCAACATATAAATAACACACCCTGAGGACTGACGAAAAGGTCCTGGAACTGGAAAAAGAGGTATACGATTTGCGCTGGCATATTGTAGTATTATCGTAAGTTTGAAGAGGGGAGGACACGGCAATCCTCGAATCCGGCAGCTTGTTCCATTACAGAAAGGGTGACTATCTGTCGCAAGAAGGTGTCTGATTTATCGTCCACAAGTCTTGTCAACAACGTTGGGTGAAAATATTGGGAATATGTCTACGAGGGCTGCGCACCATAATCACCAACCGGTATTCGGTGATAGTCATATAGGTTTGCGCACCGACCTTGCACATCCCGATGAGGAGGTGGAGGAACCGTATGAAGATATCTCTAGAGCCATGCACTCCTCCAAAATTAAATATATACAAAACAAAAATATGGTGTTGATGTAAGACTTCAACGCAAAACCAGGTACAAAAGAAAGCGGTGAGCTCAAGGTAGGGAATAGGGCAACGGAACCCAAAGGGCCAGCAGCTGGCCGACTTCGTGGAGAAAGAGGGACTCTTTATGATAAAATCTTTCTTCCAAAAGCGGTTCCACAGGTGGTAAACATGGTCGAGCTCCAGCGGTTTGACAAAAAATGACTTCATTATGACGACCAGACGCCAACTGTTCAGTGATGTATCAGTGATCGCAAGGGTGAAAACTGGTAGCGATCATCGAATAGCTAGAGGCACACTAACGTTAAGTTGGAGAGGTCTCGTCTAATGAAGTCAACGCTTTGTCCCCCTCGTGCGCTAATCCAGGGCTCCGAAAACTTTCAGCTCGAATTACAAAACCGTTCAGTGCCTAGAAGACTGCATTACTGTGGACGATATGAATGACAAGCTCGTGGAAACTGTCCATGTGGTTGGAGCTAAGTTCTGCAAGACCCGCTGTAGAAGAACACAAAAACTTCGATCACACTCTTAATCTCATGGCTTTTAGACGGGAAATGAAGCTGCAGTCTTCAACAACTTTGACAGCATACAGGCAACTGAACAGACAGATCTCCAAATACATGCATCGGACTTACGCAACTTCAATACAGCTCGTATTGAATGAGCGATTGAGTGAAATCAGGGCTCCAAAGTTAGGTGCACGAAAGTGACGAATGGTATGGCGGGGCGAACGATTAAGTGCACTGTATTACCGTGGTTCAAAAGGAATCAAAACAAAATGGTGGACGTGGCACGTGGCAGACAGATGAGCTGCTGAGGATAAACGCACAACAAATAATACAGCTCATAAATAAGGATGGACGCTTTCTTGGGGAAGCGGCGAGCGGCTTCTCCCTACGGACATGCAGGCACGATGATAATTGCAAACTGTTGTCGGCTTGTAGACAATGGTGGCCCTAGGGCGGTGCGAGCGGTGCGACCGCGTGCTGAAACCAACCGAAGCGCATCGGGTACTTGTCACCGACTCATATCACTAACATTCAGTTTTGTTGACACTAATGAAGAGAAATAAGAAAGAGAGTATTTTGTTGCTTACAAGTCGGTAAAGGACTCTTCGGGATAAAAACCAGTGTTTCACCAAGACATGAATGATGGTCGAGGGCAATAATACGATAATGTAGCGAACATGGCAGGAATAATTAAAGGTATATAGTTAATATATAAATCATAATTCTGAATCATATGTGGTAGTCACTCTTTGAATTTATTGGTAGCTGATGCGGACAGAACTTACGTTAAATCAGCTTCTTTTTTCGGATTTCTCCAAATCTGTTTGTTTTATTCTCTAGATCAACATTGCGATAGAAAGAGATTTTCAAGCATATTGAAAGATTATTGCTGAAAAAGTTTGTGAAACTCGCCGGGAGAGTAGTTTCTAGCCTTTCTGCTGTTCCAGTGTTGTATCTTCAGACTATCTTTAGACTCTTTTAAGTTTTGTCGCTTTATATTTTTAACACTGTCTGCGGCATAATGGTTTAAGTAAAAGTAGTCAAACAAAATTATTTACTGTAAAGTTTTCTCATCTATATAACTAGTCTCCGCAGCAGTGCTAGCACAGTGACGTTTTTTTATATAGAAGTGAGTAAGCAAGCATGCGGCACACCTGATGGTGACTACCACCGCCTATGAACAACTGTGACACCAGGGGAATTGCAGGTGCGTTGCCGGACTTTTAGGAAGAAGTAAGCTCTTTCCTTGAAGGTCGTATCGGCCCGGAAAAATTTCCGGTGGTAAACAATTCCTCAAAAAAATCATGCGAGGGATCATGCATGCAAACACCTAGTAAAACGCACAATGGTTGACCACTAAACATCCAGATGACGATGATTTCGAGCACTCAGAACATGTTCTGATAAAAGCGATAAAAATACAAAGGAATAAAACATTCATTAACAAAGTCAGTGATCAATCAAAGTCGACGATTCGTGCCACTCTGCGCTGTGGTCTAGCGGATAAAGATGACACAGAAGTGGCCCAGAGATGAGAACAGTATTCCATGTGAGGCTGAACTTGCATCTTGTAAAGTTACAAGCAACGTGCTGCCATGAAATACTGTCCCGCTATGCTGAGCGCGTCAAGATTGTTAGAAGCAAACTTTGCCTTCCCTTACAAGTGACGACGAAGCGGCACATATTCGATACGTCGATGATTCGGACTCCAATGCTGAGGCAACAAGGGGAGTGCTCTAAAATTGAAACGATACGCCAAAGTGGTTCTTTTTAGCGGTAAACGCGCAAACCTGTGTCCTCTGAGGGTTATCGAGCGCAACAGAGTAGTGCGAGTGGAATGAATAATATTTTTTAACGCAAATGAGCAGAACAAATGCTACGTCATGAGCTGTGCTTGTCCCGTAGATACACCTGTACTATATTTGGTAGGTCTCGTACTAAAAGGTTGCGGAAATATTTTGTTCGTATTTTATATTTGTATATATATTCAAGACCATTTTTTAAGTTTAATTACATTTATGTATGCCATTTTCTTCGATAACTTGTTGCCAACCTGCAGGTAGTGACATAATCTCGTTTCTGTAGAAATCTTGGGATTATTGATTAAAAAAAATTTTACAAGTGGTTTTCCTCTCTTGATGTTAACCCAACGCTATCCAAACAATTCTGAAGAGACCGAAACTGATGAAAATCTGAGGGTGCAAGGTCACGACTATATGGTGAATGCAACCAATTACTCTTCCCAACCAAGTTCTCTTAATATTTGCTGAATGGCCAAAGATGTGTGTGGTCTGGCGTTATCATGATGCAAGGCCACTTTCACATAGGCCTTTTTCTGTTGATCAGTTCCGGCCGTTTTTTTCTCAATTTTTTTCTTGAGTTTCGTTAATTGTTGGAAGTAGGAATCCGAATCGATGGTTTTGCCCGGCGGTAAAAGCTCATAATGATGCTAGATGCCCTCCCAATCCCACCACATACACCATCAGCTTATTGCGTGTTAATCCGGGTTTCTATCCGGGTTTACTCTTTGACCACGATCTTTTTTACACATTCTTCTCGTAAGATGATCCACTTTTCATCACCAGTGATGAATCTTTTCAAAAATGGTTCGGTTTTATTACGTTTCATTAGAGAATCGCAAATAAGTACACGATGCGTGAGGTTTCTTTCAGTGGTGGTAGTAACCAAATATCGCGCTTTTTTGTTTAGCCAGACTTTTTCAAACGGGTTAAAACTGTTTAGTGATTAATTCTCAATTTTTCGGCTATGTGGTAACTACTAATATGCATATCTCGCTCCACTTTTTCAAAAATGGCATCGACTTTATCCTTATAGGGCGACCAAAGCGAGCTGCGTCTTTGACATGAAAATTTCCGGATCAAAAACGCTTGAAACAAAAAGTTGTTTCAAGCGTTTTTGATCCGGAAAGAGTAGCACAAAGGTGCTACTCTTGCTGACACTGCATTAGGTCCATAAACGTCACATTTTTTTATAGCGGGTTGAGCCGCATTTGCATGCATGTTTCGCATGCAGGTTTGATGATTTCCTTCACCGC